TTCTTGGAACCACAATGTGCCACAGCAAAGCGCTACAGGGCACAGCTACTACATAATATAATTGTTCTACATTTGAATTAAGTAGGCACGTCACAATTGAATTTGCCAATGGCGAGCTATTTGACATTTACTTAAAACGCATTAATTAAGTAGGTCATAGCTTTTATCTTATGTTGCCTGAACTCCACATAATTGGCATGGAAAATGCTTTATTAATAAATAAGTAAGGAATAAATAATTTAAGGACAAAGATAACCTAATAATTTAAGATCAGAGATTAAATTTTAAGTTCTAATTACAAATAAATACTAACTGTAATTGAAGGTGTGATTATATCTTTGTTAAAATGCTACTGTAAATATTAAAAAGGAACGGAATACAGTATAGGAATAAAATTTTACTAAAACTTCTAATTTTAATCCTAATTATAATCCTATATATTTAATCCTATTCTAATCCTACTTACAAACTTCAAAAAGGCTTTTGTATTAGTAGTATCATCTATCATATGGGCTATATCAATACTTTTCGATGCCCGATTAATGTCAGTACATACATATTTATATTGCAATGTTAAGAATCTTCAGAGATCTATCTATGTTGCAATTAAATTTTAAGCATATATGCACACAAAACTACAGTGCTACATAGGCAATCGACCTGGCAACCAGAATGTGACAACAACAACTTAATACGTCAGTTTTATTTTTTGGTGCAAATGGAGATAATAATATGATAATAGTTTACTACCATATTAACGTGCATTACAGAGTTTCAGCCGACAAAGTATAAAAGTACTAATAAATCAGGCATTAATCATTTAGAAAAATAAGCGTTATCAATATCGCACACTAACAAAAATTAATTCATTGTGTGCGTTGCCCCAATCGAATGTCATTATTTGAGTTTAACAGATATTTAGTGTATAACGTCGTCTATTTGTGTATGGTAAGTAAAAATTTGTGCAACCATGCCCACTGCTTCAGATGCAGTCTTATTGCACGAGATTCTAAAGGAAATGCGTAATAAAACCATAGAATAAAAAAAGGTCCGCTCGGACAATGTTGTCCCACCGGAAACAGATTTTCGTGAATAACTCCCCAATGGTTGTATGCACAATTTTTTCCTTACCATACACAATTACAGGAAGTCATACACTAATTATCTGTTTAACTTAAATAATGAAATTCTAACTTTTTCCGCTGGGGCAACGCACACGTTTCTTGTCTGGTGTACGATCTTATTGGTTACGTTTTTAATATGCATAATCAAGTAGGTGGTGATTGCACTATAAATTATTATTGCATAAGTAATACATGTATGGAATATGTTGCAGTTTTGGTATTTATATTCTATGTGGTGAAATCTAATCAGAAATTTGGTCGGATTTTTTTAAATCAGTTTTTTTTGTTACATTATAATGGCTACGGTTGTCAAGTAAAATAAAAATGTATTCAGGTAAAAACGTCTCATTCTCTTCGGTTTAGTTTTTCTTTTATTGGAAAACAACCCAGCACCAACAACCACCCTCATTTGTATATAGAATACAAAGATGATGAATAAAGTTTGAATTGATTCTCCAAATCTAAATGTATAAACTCTGATCTCCCATTCGCTTGACAAGGTTGTTTATATTTCCCTCTATGCATGAGAAACGCAAAATCAATGCTAAAAATACAAAGAAGATCGTTGTATTTGCCATCGTTGGATAAAGAGGTGTTAGGAATGGCAGGTTTTATTATTTCTTGTTATTTACTAAGTTATCTTGCAATTTAAACCATTCTAGAGCGATGCTTCAGAACAAATGGGTCGGCTAGACCTGACTGATTCACCGAGTGAGTGAAGTTACCAGAACCAAAACCTTCCTCTGATTTTAGAGGGAACTCAAAAGACGGCAAGGCACTTGTGACTCTCGACTATCAGATGACCATGGGCGGCGATAGTCGAGAGTCATCAGAGGCATCAGATGACTTCTCTGTTCATTTGCCCTCTATGAGATAAAAAAATTAAGATCATTATTATCATCATCAGCAATTAATAATCCACAGGGACATAGGGCTCTCCATAGAAAAGAGTTTTGGCCTACTATACCACGCTGGCAAGACGGGTTGGTTTACGTTTTGGTTCAAGTTTTCCCCCTCTTTGCAGTGCTGTTGTCCTGCGTAGTTTGGTCCCTTAGTCGTCTATTACGACACCCACGAAATGAATAGGGGTGGTGACACTCCGTATCCTTACTCCGTCACCACGCGGACTCGATGAAACCATATTTCTTTCAATGACTGAAACTCTTAATACCTACCTACCTATAATATTGTTAACGTAACATATTTCATAAAATTATAACTGAAGGCCAACCTTAAATGTCAATTATAAAATAAAAATGAGCCAATTGTGTTTCGGACTATTCAGTGATTACGGGACGATCGGGGAAGACATAATTATATCAGTATCACGATTGAAAGTGAATAACTAATGTAAGAATCATTTAACTGCATTTAAAACATTGTCTTTTACACATACTTCACAAATAAAATGTTTATGTGTTGACTTCATAAATTAAGGAAATTCTTAAATCGACTGTTCGTTTGTCAATCGTAGCTCTTAACTTTGTTTGCTTTTGTATTATAGATTATTATAATTAATTCTTTCCTAAGCCATAATGTTAATGTAAAGTCAAGGTACTTTAAATTAATGTCTATTGTCTCAGATACATAAACATTATACACTAACAATGAGTCACTATTTGGCCCAATATAGACCACTAATGATAAACTTCAGTATGGGTTTGATCGTACCACCAAATCAAGCGTCGATACATCATTCATGAGGTATGAGTCGACATTAGTTGAAATAACGGGCTGATAGTCGCTGGGGTCGAAATGTGCTAGAGTGAAGACCGCGATTAGGCAAACGTAGTGTAGCACGCCCTACAGCTCGATGGACCGACGACTTGGAGAAAGTGGCTGACAACGGATGTTGCAGGCAGGATGTGTAGCAGTTTGCCTTACTTGGAGCCTTCATTCTGAGTGGACGGCGATAAATTGATGATTTGATGATAGCGAAGACAAGTTGGAGTGAGTTTAATAGTAAATAAATAAAAGTAATAATAGGGCTGAAACTCACATAGGTAGTTAACATGCTATCCTAACAGTGAGATCGTATAGATCAAAGCAACCTCTAAGTGACGCTAAAGCATTTTAATGAGCTTCGGAAAAACATTTACTTAATTAATAATTCAAGACGGAATCATTTATAAACGAACTTTATATGTTCGATTAACGTCAGGCTTTCAAGTTATTTATAGAATTATCATTATTATTGTGATTATTAGATTTAAGTTTTATACAATGCGTTTAGAATACGTATTTGTGTACTTTAACTTCCAGCAGCTAAATTATTAGAATCTTACTTAAAATTTACTAAAATTCGTTTCTAAAATTAGTTTTTTTAAATCTCTTTCGTTGACTAACATTGGCTGACTTTTATCAGAGGTGTGTAGTAATTTACTCGTATATATTTTTCCATCCTATGTATAATGGTACCTACTACTAAAATTTACAGTTAACATAGAAATATTTTTAGACGCCTACGAGATTAATCTTCAGGGAACTTTTATTTTTCATATTTTATTGACGTAGATTATATTTTCTTCTTTCCGTTCCTCTACACACGAAACAATGGATAGTACCCATATGTTTTGTAAATATTACACGCCTTCATTATTAGTGTTTATACAATTATATATCTAAGATTCTACGATCAATTAATATACTCGTAATTTTAATTTTCAAAGAAATTTTCAAAGAAATTCAAAGAAATTTCATTTCAATTTCATTTCAAAGAATTTCAAAGAAATTTTCAAATCGCAGCTGCCATTACCAACAAAAAAAATAGTCATGGATTCTGAAATACTGCCATGTCTAACATATGGCTGCCAAACTTGGATTCTTGATCGCAAAACCAGAAATAAAATCCGGACGACTCAAACAAGAATGGAGAGAAGTTACCTAGGTATAAAGTTGAGAGATAAAATCAGGAACACAGAAATATGCAAGTGGACGAAAATAACTGACGCTCTCTCCTTTTCGCTAGTCAGAAAATGGAAGTGGGCAGGGCACGTGGCCAGGTACACAGACGGCAGATGGACAAAGAGAGTGACGAAATGGTCTGGGCCAAGAGGCACTAGAAATAGAGGCAGACCTAGCGCGAGATGGGTGGACGAAGTCGTGGAGACGGCGGGTCGTGATTGGTTCACAGTAGCTCACAACAAAGAAAAATGGCATGCCTTGGAGGAGGCTTTTACCCACAGGGGGTCCGCACAAATCTCTTAAATAAATATTTATACTTTTCAAACTTTTTTACCTTGTAATTTGTACGGAATCAAATAAAGCTTTTTATTATTATTATCATTATATTATTATTATTATTATATAATTTATTTATTAATATTATTATAATTTTAATTTAATTATCTGTCTAAGATGTTTAAAAATATTTGGTTAACTCAGTTTGTCATTGCTAAAAATGTCAGCAAATTATAAAGTTTATTCATAACAATATGTAGGTACATTGACACGACAGCTGATGACCTCAAAATATTAATTTGAGTAAACACCATGTCAGGTTTATTGTTAGTAGAAGATCGCATCTTTAGAACAAAAACCGTTGTAGTGTAAATTAATTTATCATTATTGCTTTCACTTATTCAACATCTGTATGTATACATCTGTAATGAATATTCAGATACTAATTTTTTTTACCATTAGCGTTTGGGTAAAACCCTACATTAATGTGTTCTTTCATGAAATTAAAGACAAACGTTACAATATTGTTCCTCAATTTTTGGATTACTTTAATGTACCTACAGTTAATTATTGACTTAAAGTATTTTAATATTTTGTATGTTATAATATTTATTATTTATTTAGCTTTGTTTATAATTCAGAGGTCTCAATGCTTAATCGAAATTTCAGTACTTAAAGTAACAGACGAGTCCTGACCTGTAGATTTTCACTGTAGCGGGATCTCGCCGATCCTGGCACATTAGGCCGCTCTAGAAGCAAGAGTTCAGTGAGAACTATCACTCCGAACACCGCAAAGAACATGACAAAGATGAAGAAACTGATATTGGCGCGCTCTTTGGCGCGGGAAGAGGCCGCGCGCGCGTGCCACTTCATTGCGTTGACACTGCACTCGCATGAGCTATCAAAAACAGTGGCCGCTAGCACGCGCGCCACATAACTGAATCACCAGGGCCGGAGCGCCATGTCACCGCGCGCACCGCGTGCGGCGTCAAAACACAACACGACGCTTTCCCACACTAACACACTATGACAGGACCCTGCTCTATCTTTGGGTTGCAAGCTCAGGATACTTATCTTATACCCCTATAATTTTTACTTTTACATCCGCATCAAAAGAAGCCATTAGTTTCACGAGGTTGAGTATTGACATGAGGAAATTTTTTTTTTTTAACTTACGGAACGCAAAAAAATACAGGATCCTTAACTCGATACTTGTAAAATAATTGAATTGAGCAACAGTAGGTACTCCTACAACCAACAAACAAACCAATAATGGATTAAGAATAACCTTCAATGTAATTATATTTAAATAAATAATTGATTGCTTACCACCATAAGTGCTTTTGGCGGGGTGCATAGCAACCCTGATTGGTAGGCATGAATTACGCATGCGCGCCCCCGCCCTTCGTTCAATGACTTGACGCTCAATGTAAGGTATATCTACAATAAGATTTTTATTAGGCCTATCAGCTGTCGCATGCACCCTTATCTCAAATGCAATGTTTGTAGGAATTTCCGGTACACAAACAAAGCAATTTTCTGGTCGAAGACTCTTAAATTGCTTAAATATGACAGCGAATACCATCCTGGATGTTTACGACCTTTTTGTTTGAAATTTGTCTTTGTTCATCATGTTCAAAAAGAGAATGTTATGTGTCAGTGGGACATTGAGAGGGGGAGGTCCCTTATTTAATGTGTCAAAACAGATCGTAGGCACATTATATAAGGTACTTGAGTTGCTATTTTTTAAGTGCTCACTTACACACTTGGCATATGTAGGCATTCTTCAAGGATCTTATTATAATAGTCTTGATTCGTATGCATTAATTACGAATTCTTTACACGAAAATAATATTAAAAAGAAAGCGCATAACCGTATCTCAATTTCTCATATTCAGCCCACGGTGATATTATAGGAATCTAGTAATATTGACCTAATTACCCAGTAAAAACTGGATGCGCTTAATTATATAGAGTTACTATTTAAGTCGACCTAGTTACTTTAAGGAATTTTAGTTGCCATCATTTCTGATAGATTTTATTATAAAATAACATATCCCAAGCATTTTCAAAATATTGCCGAAATTTTACCTAATGCGATTTTTTTGGAACTAAAATCTTTAATTTTTTTGTTCTAGTATAGTTAGTAATTCCATTCCAGTACCAAAATTGTAGCTAACATAACAAACTGGACTGAAGTAGATGGTTAATAATGGCAAAGTTCATTTGGAAAACTGTTTTTTTTCTTTGACGGATATAAAAAAAAACTATGACAGTTAGGTTGGTTATAATAGTCTACGATAGTATCAAAATTGTTGTTGCCCTAGAACTTAGACTCTCACAGTGGAAAGTGTTCACTACACTTACCACTGTGAGAGTCTGCTATAGAGCTGTGAATATTGCGGGCCTATACCCATATCACTGCACATCGCCGAAACTAGTTACAGAAGAAGGAGATCCTTTGAAGAGATTGGATTTATGCAGATTTGTGCTTAATGCCAAATTAAATTTAAAAAAAAACAAATTTACAAATTAATTTATTTTTATTATTGCTAACCATCTACTTCGGCCCAGTTTGTTAAGTTAGCTACAATTTTGATAATGGAAATTATAAAAGAATTTAAATATACAAAACATTAATAAGGGGAATCGTCCGCTTTGCTTTTAGACTTTACTTTTTTGCTCCCCGAAGTGCTCCCCGAAGTATATCGGCGGCCGGCTGAGTACCTGGCGGATAGTGGCAGTCGACCCATGCCCGAAGAGATTCCGACACACCACCCCTCCGCAAAGTTTCCACACGTAAAAAAAAAGGTAGGGAGGATGGTAGGTGCTCACTGGTCATAACTGCTATGGTGAGTACCTGAATCGGATCGGACGCAAGGAGACGGCACAATGCCAGCACTGCGCAGCCGACTGCACACAGCAGCACATGCTAAAAGACTACCTTGCGTCTGAACGCGAAGTCCTGATCTACCAAATCTGATGAGACCTGTCCCCGCCAGCAATCATTGCTGCCATGCTGGCGGGTGAGGAGGGCTGGGGCGTAGTGATCTCTTTCTTTGAAGCTATAATGCCAGAAAGAGACCGCTGAACGGGCTGCTGCGTGGCAAGCCCGCGGCTTCCCCGGGATAGGGTTTTACTAGGCATGGCGTCAATCAGGGGGGCACCTAAAATAACATCGACCTGGTCCGCCTCGGAGTAGGGCGCCTGAGTCCGGCCGCCGGGGTGGTCTTTAGTGGAAACACCACATACTCCTGGCTCCTACATCCCTGAGGAGCCTGAGATCCGAAGGGATATTCCACCCTGTCACTGTCTGTTTTTTTTTATAAATGTTGTCAAAAACAATTTGTGAATCATAAATAAAAAAGGAAATAATATATAATTCACTTTAATAGACTCATAAAACATAATGACCTGTACATATTGATTTCAGTACAAAAACAATTATTTCCAATTTTAATTACCTAATTAAAATGGTTTTATTGGTCGTATAGATTGTAACTATTATATCAATTAGTACGAACGAATAAAAAATATCTGAAACCAAAAAAATTGAAACATATGTCTACTCTTAATTGTACTGTAACTCCTCTTTTTGAAACTAAGTAACTAAATTAAAGCAACACGAGAAGCAGGTAGTCCGTGTATCAACCTATTCCGCTGTTTAAATTAATACATAAATTTATGTAAAGAAGCATATTCATTACGACCGTGATTTTTACTTTAAAAAATCTCCTTTGTCGTTCTTATTCCGAAAAACTGTAAAACTTCAACAGCTATATCGTTTTAAAAAGTGTAGAACAGTTATGAGTTTAAGTCATAGGGGCTACATTTTTTTCATTAACACGCTTTTATTAGCTTGGTATGTATGGATCCATACACGTAGCGGAATCTTCGAACGTGATTTTAACCCACTTCAAAACCGTCGAATTAAATTAAAAATTTGCACACTTATCAAAAACCGATGGCAATGCAATAATTTAAACAGTTTGTCCCATTGTTCTGATCAGGACTTTTTCCATATCTAAAAATACCGTAGTGTTTTTGCCACGTACTAGGCGCGCACTGATGCATATATGTGATAATATACCTCATAATAATATACCTCACACATCTCACACACGGCGGTCTGATCCCAAACTAGGCAGAGCCTGTACTATGGTTGGTTACCACTGCTGATAAACATACATATATTTTTAAATACATACATATTATAGATAAATTAAACCCAGACACAGAACAAATGATCATGCTCATCACACAATATTTGTTCTGAGTGGGAATCGAACCCACGACCTCACGATCAACAGGCCCGTCGATAAACTTACATGTTACTTTTTTGTGTTAATACTTTAATAATCATCATTAATGACTAAAAAAGGAAAAAAAATGTGTAAAGAAACTAAAAAAAACAGGGTTTTGTAAGGACCAAAAATAAGGATTTTTTTGGAGCATGGAAAGTAACTACCGTTACCCATAAACGCCTGAAACTCAGGAGGTACAAGCGCGTTTGAGGCCTTTGAGGAAGGAGTGCTCTTTTCTTGAAAATCGTATCGGTCCAGAAATACCGCAGACGATAACTTGTTCCACATGTTGGTAGTGGAAGGCAAAAAAGGGTCTTGAAAAGCGAACAGTGCTTGAGTGTGGTATGTATAGCGGGGTAATTTTCTATAAGTTAAAAAAGAAAAATCATTATATCGTAGAAAAGCGTGGAGTGCTTTTTAAGTTATTTTATAATATAATAACGTTACTTTTACCAATATCTGTCGGGATAAAAGCAGTCGTGAAAGTCATAGCGGTGGAGAGCTGAAACAGAAGACTGTGGCCACTGATTTTCGAAACACGATTAGATATGTGTCAGAACCAACTGGTTCTGATGCACAAGACCAAATCTATACTTATAATGATGTGGATCAATAACTAGGTCGTTCGTAAGTATGACGTCATCTTAAAAACTCGATTGGGTTCCATATTTCACCAGAAATTAAAAGGTACATTTTCTGTGTGTTGTCACCTCATAAATTTACTAATCTGCAAGGATTGTTCACGGTAAGGCCTTTTACTTACTATAAAGATATGTACGAATTTGCTAAAACTCACGCGTCATCTCAATGACTCAAAACATCGACTACAGCTGCGAATTTTATTGAAAATATTAGTAAAATATTTTACATTGTTGCAACCGGTAGTAAATGATCTGCAGTCGGAAGTTGGACCATGAATAGTTTTTCTTTTGACCATGAATTTTTTTTATGCGACCGCAGTAAAACAACTGTCACTACGGGCCATGGCGCGTATGATAGCCGGTAGCGATAGATCTCCTCCGATAACTGCAGTGAGGACCCCATGCTGAGAGCCGAGTCCTCACTGCAATTGCAGTGGTCACGGGCGGGACTCAATTCCCTCCAAGCGACCCAGTGCAGGTACTTCCCGAAGCAGCCATGCCCCGAAAGGACCTGCGTCAGTCGGAAGAAAAGGGTCCCGTGCTCGTCGAAGAGCCACCTTCCATCTCGATGAAATATCTGTGCCGGCTGATACGGGATTTGGAAGGAACCGGTACGAGGACCAAGTTGACTACGATTGAGCCGCCGGGGGTTGGACCACAACGGGGAACATAGTATAAGAGGGCCTCCATCTTATCCAGGGCCACCCGTAAGCCCATGGCCTCAATGCGTCCGACCACCAGATAGACTCCCCTGGTGGCCAAGCACGCTCTTGAAAGTTCGCTCCCCGAGCGTTTATTCAGGAATCTAAATATTGAAACCCTACCTCGCCCACCTTACAGCCCCGACTTAGCTCCTTGTGACTTCTTTTATTCCTCACCATAAAAGATAAGATAAAAGGCAAGTTTTTTTCAAGTGCCGAAGATGGGGTGTCTGCCTACGAATCAGCCATTTTGACCTGTCGGAGGAAGACCGGAATATGTGTTTCCAAGACTGGTTTAGGCAAATAGAGATTTGTATAGAGAGTGATGGAGAGTGTTTAAAAAAAAATTAGGTATAAATTGTTTACTTTTTCGTGTCTCATTCAAATAGTGATCTACGTAACTTGTATAATATTTGCATGAGTTTTGACATCAGTTCATATACTAGCAACACATACAAAATGGCGAACACAAAAATAATTTATTTTAGAAATAATTCACTGGCTTATTTTGTTAAAACCGATACGTAACAGAGTACCAGAGGGACTTGCCGATTTTAGATGACTACTTAATTTTATTTAGATCGTCTATCACAATTTCCGCACTCTTTCATAACACAAATCGTCATTAGAAACAATACAAAATATGAAAGCAGCGTGTTTAGTGACAGTACTTCTGATACTAATCGCGAGAAAAGCATTTAGAAGCCAGCAATTTTTTCCTCTGCTTTCACAGTTTTGACTGTCCGTCTAGACCAGCATTTCCCAAAGTAGGCGATAACGCCCCCTTGTGGGCGCTGCAGGCCTAAAGGGGGGCCTAAAGAGACCCAAAAAAATAATTGTGTAGAGGCTTAGGGGGCGATTTGTAATTTCATCTAGCTAGGAGGACTCTTAGGCCCGTATTTTAAAAGGTGTCTCAGTCGTGAATCTAGTCTTAAAACTAATTTTAAGTAGAGATTTTATTATTGAACGTCACTTAAAACGAGATTCACCGATCCATAATCAAGTGAGTGATAGCTTATTTTAGAACGATGTTTATGTCGAAATCATTACTCAGGTATAGATTTTGACAGCTGTGATCTTTGTTTACGTGAGACAAGCTGAAACTAGTCTCAAGCGGTGATTTCTAGGGCATTTAGGGAAAATGAATGTGTTTTACGATGAGTTCTTTTTGAATAATTACGAAAGATTTACTTTACTTTATTTACGAAAGAATTACTTGGCATACTATCATCAATTTCACTTTCATTTACCTTAATTGATATGAAATTCACCAAAATTCACATTTTACACACACAATACCAGTTTAAATCACCACAACCTTTTGGTTTATGTTAAAAGTATAGTAATTTAAATTTTAGAAATCGTCGCTCGCATGACTAAAAGTCCTATCTCATTTTTTAGCTGATTTGAGTTAGGACAACTACATTTTTGAATTCGTGACTCTTTACATTTTTCAGTAACCGTCGTTTCTCTATGTTATTTGGATATTAAAATATAAACATTTTATAAGTCAACGTATCTCATATTAACTCAAATAAAAATATTACTAAAAGGCGTAACTCATTTTGGACTTTTAGTAAAATTAAAATTCACGTATTTGATTTAAAAAAAATATCCTATCTCAAATAGGACTTTTAGTGAAATTTTGTATCGTGAATTATTTTTAAAAGAATTAGATTTACACTGAGATATGTACGTTTTGACAGTTGAAAGTTAACTTAATGACACTTGACAATAAGACATAATTTAGGCCGGTAATTTCATAATGTGAGACAGGGTTGCGGGGAACATAATCATGCCACATCCTTTTCATGATTCAGATGCCTCAAATGATAATGACCCTGACTATAATCCGGAACCAAAGAAAAAACGTCAATTACTATCAGTACTGAATACTTCGGTGAACTGTTTCGAGCATAGTTCAAGAGAAAATGGTGACAATGCCAAGGTGAATGAACAACATACGCGTTTAAATATTTTTGATTCAACAGAAGCTTTAACGACAGTTCAAAAAAATTTACCCTTAAATCCTAGCACAGCTTCTGTTTCAAGTAATGAAACCGTTTGTTTGGAAGATAACATTGCCGAAATTGCTTGTGATGCGGCTAGAACCCTTCAAAAAAAATGTTCTAATGTTAGGAGAGATTCTAATTCAAGTGATGCAACGATTTGTTCTTTTAGTATATTACAAGGTAATATTGATTCAACAGAAGCTTTACCGACAGTCCAAAAAAATACCCTTAAATCCTAGCACAGCTTCTGTTTCAAGTAATGAAACCGTTTGTTTGGAAGATAACATTGCCGAAATTGCTTGTGATGCGACTAAAACTCTTTAAGAAAACATATGTTCTAATGGTAGGAGAGATTCTAATTCAAGCGATGCAACGATTTGTTCTTTCAGTATAGTACAAGATAATATTGAAGATTCAGTAACGTCTACTAATGCGGCACAAATCTTTGCTGTCGAAGATGAATACATAGTTCAGTCGTGTGAAGTTAACGAATGCGTAGAAAATGTTTTCAGTTCATGTCTCCGATGTTCAATTTTGTTATGTTGGAATCACTTCGATAACAATATAACTTGTAATGATCATCAACAACCACGTCCCATTTCGCCACTATGTGATTTAGGTTCTAATGTCCTTAATAGATTGATGCCAGAAGATTTTACAGTTGAAGGTTCACCAAGAGAAATTGTCATTCAGAAGAAAGAAAAGATATCTAAAAAGGAGTTGAATAAAAGAAATAAAAATTTGGGAAAGGAATATACTACGCAAATAACAAATAAAATTATACCTGAACGACAACTTGAACCAGTATGTAATGTAGAAAACTGCAAGAGAATCAATCGTGAATGTGGTGTTTTCGATGAAAATTCTCGTAAAACATTGTTTGATGCTTTCTGGGCGTTAGGAAGTCTACAATCTCAAAGAGAATTAATTGAATACTATAATATACTATTTACATAATGATGGCGAGAGGAAGAAAGTTGGTAGAACTTTTTTTTTTGAATACTTTGGCGGTTGGAGAGAGAACAGTTAAAACAGCTATAGAGAAGTTGTTGCCCACTGGGATACAGGAGAAAGACAGACGTGGAGGACGCACAATAGCGAATATACAAAAAGATGATCGTGCCAAAGCTCTAGTTGAAGAACACTTTAAGCGCTTCCCAAGAGTAGAGTCTCATTACTGTCGAGCCAAATCTACTCGTGAATATTTGCACTCAGATTGAACCATTAGAAAAATGCATCAAATGCTTGTCGAAGACTTGCAGGAAGAACCAAAACCCAGCCTTTCTCTTTACAGAAAACTATTTAAATGTAAAAATCTATCTTTTCATCGTCCTAAGAAAGACCAGTGCAGTTTATGCTCAACATATCGTGAGAGAACTGACGACATCAAAGCCAATTTGCACGAAACATATACCACCCATATACTACAAAAGCAATCATTCCGTGCAAAACGATCAGAACGAAAACAAGAAGCTCAAAAAGATGCATTAACAATAGCTTTTGCTACTTTTGATCTCCAGCAGGTTATTAACTTACCCATTAGTAATGAAAGCGCTGTGTTTTACAAGAGAAGGTTATCGGTGTATAATTTCACCATTTACGAAATGGTATCACATGATTGTTTCTGCTATACGTGGCATGAAGGACAAAGTAAGAGAGGGGCTTCAGAAATTTCTACTGCTTTATACATTTTCCTTAAAAGTTTGGACGAAAAAGGAATTCAGAAAGTCTATTTATTTGCCGATGGCTGCAGCGACCAAAATAAAAATTCAATTGTAGCAGCTACCCTTCTTTACGTTATAAACAATTCCCTTTCTGTTCAAGAAATTGTTTAAAGCATCTCTGTCCCATGCCATGGCCAAAATGAGGGCGACTCTGCTCATAGTGCCATTGACTACGCAATTTAAAAAAGTGGTGATATTTTCCTTCCTTCTCAGTTAATTCCCATTATAAAATTGGCACGAAGACGACAACCGTATATAGTAACAGCTCTAAGCTACTCGGACTTTTTAGATTTTAAAGCACTCTCACAAAATTTGCGGCTACTTTCTGTTCGAAAAGATGACACTGGTGAAATGGTAGATTGGAGACAAATGATGGAATTATCTTTTATGAAGACTGATCCCAACAAATTCTTTTTCAAAACTGATCACACTGCTGTAAATTCTCGTTCATTGACATTAAGAAGGCAAGTTTCTGGAGAATTGCACTCACAAATTTTACCACTCAATGTTACACAACCAAAGATTTCTCAAGAAAAGTACAACGATCTAATGACTTTGACTGCGGGTGACACACCAGTCATAAGGTTACCCGAATTCGTTTCGTTTTATCGTTCACTGCATCATTAAGATAGTACCTATCATTCAAACTGCAAACCACCTGTTTTCTAAAAGTAATTACAATTTATGGTTAAGATTTGATAAAAAGACTGATTTTAAAATGGATACTCAATTACTTGCTTCATGTGATCTCACAATATAACTGAATGAATAGGTTTATAAATTGTTATTTAATTGTTTTTTTATTCTGTTTGCTAATAATTTAATTGTACTTTTATGTTGCTTTTTTAAACATTTTTCTGTCTTTTTAAGTTGTGATTCTTAAAAAATAATATTAAAATTATTAAAAAGGTGTTATGTTCCTCTTATGTTAAACTCTTTTCTTAATATAAATTTAAAAGCGTATTGTTTTGCTTGTTTTATTTCCAAACTTAATCCAAACCGTAAAGTCGTATGTAGAAAAAAACTGTTCAGATTGATAAATAAAGTTTTCACAAAGTGTCCTATCTGTTTTGATAATTAAAAATAAATACTAATATTGAAAATAAATAAGTAGCTATATCGTAAAATTAAAGTACTATAAATACTCTTTACGAATAAATATAATTAAATATTCAGAATTGCCGATAGATGATACTTTTATCATAGTTAGAAATGTCGTAACCGCAAAACGCTTTTCCTGAACAAATGACAATACGGAGATAGGACAGTTAGTCATGCGAGCGACGAAATATCAAATAAAAACATCGTTTGACATTTCAACATGACAAGTGTTGATAAATAACTTGAACGTTCCGTTACAGCCTATTCATACAGCTAGTCATTTTTATTTTAATATTTATTATACTTAATTTTGAACGAACAACAACCTTGTTAATATGTTAACATTGCTACACTAGGCAATAGTATATTATATACAAATTCACAGAAACTATTTTTGTAAAAGAAAATTATTTTTTAAATAATTAGCTGCGTAATGTGGAATAATAGTGTCAATCACGCGGAAACGTAATTGAGAACAGACTGTAAGTTCAAATCAATACTTGAAACTAGTTTCAACTGAGTAAAACTTAAAACGCGTTCTATAATAAGATCGATACTTAAGATTTGATCTGCACTTAAAGCTAGTTTCAGGCAATCAGAGTTCAACCGACACTTGAGACGTCTTTTAAAATACGGGCCTTAGACACTGACTGAGCTCTCGACTCTCGACTACAACTTGTGACACTAATATTAATCAAGAGATTGCTCAAACTCGGTTCGATATTTCTCTTCACGTAGTTCATAATATCTGTCCTGTTTTATTGAATAAATGAAATAAAAATCATGTAACTCGGTCGCTCCGTTTCGAAATGAAAGTAGACACAAACAAACAAATAAAAAGGCAACAGACACACTTTCGCATTTTGATAGTTATTAGTATTCCTAGATAGGTAATTTTCGTAGATAATAGAACGCGGCAATCATGTTTTAACAAGTTTTTGGTTAATAACCCGATTGAACTTAAGTACTGCTAGTACTTAAGTTCAACACTTACTTACTTATTTCTCAAAACAAAACAATGTCGGAAGTAAAAAAGAAGAGGGCAATACTGAGAATGTATTAAATTCGGATTCATTGAAAATCTCACAAACCCGTCGTCGCCTTTTTGCCTTCTATGTCTAAAAACATTTTCGAATGAAGCAATGAAGCCTTCGGGACTGCAAGATCATTTGAATAAAATATAATACTCAGCCAAGTGTAGCAAAACTATTTTGGGCGGCTACTAAGCAAGATGACGTCGGACTTCGAGCTTCGTACAATATCTCTTTGTTAATTGCTCAAAAATGCAAACCACACAACATCGGAGAAGAGTTAATTTTGCCAGCAATAAAGGAAGTATAACTACTGTGCTTCATAAACCAGGCCGCAGATATTATCCGAAAAATTCCTTTGAGTAATAATTCTGTGCAAAGACGAATGGATGAAATTTCAGAAAACATTGAAGGATCATTGTGCAATCATCTGAGGACTAGTCAAGTCTCAATTCAGCTCGATGAGTCCACTTTACCAACTAATGAATCATTGTTGCTGTCTTACGTGAGGTTTATTAAAGATGATAAAATATGTAAAGAACTATTGTTTGCTAGAAATTTAGAGACCGATACAAAAGGCGAAACCATATTCAATACATTGGAAAAGTTTTGTGATGAGAAAGAGATTCCCTTGAAAATATTATACCAGTTGCTCCGGATGGCGCTCCGGCTATGACAGTGTGCCATAATGGCTTCATAGCGTACTTAAAAAATAAAATTCCAAATGTCCTTGCTGTACATTGCGTTATTCATAGACAACTTTGGTTGCTAGAAACTTAAGTGAACGACTATTTCAATCACTGCAATATGTCATCAAAGCAGTCAATAAAATCCGTAACAGCTCTTTGAAGATTTCAACCGTTTGTTGTTTTATACTGAAGTTCGTAGGCTATCAAGAGGCAATTGTCTGACTCGATTTTTTTTTCAATGACATGAATCTCCAACTGCAAGGCGATGAAATACCAGACTAGGTGTTGGATCCGTTTTCAAATGTCATCACAGCAATGTCACCTCAGCTGGAAGTAGAACTTATAGAATTGACAAAAACGAGGAAATAAAAATCAAGATCAAAAATGGCTAAAAATAATTTTGGCTACAAAAACCGATCCCGCAATTGTACCCTGGATTGTGGTCAACCGTTCAACGATTCTTGATAGCATTCCCATCGTCTATTTGTGTGAACGTGGATTTAGTGCTGTGGCAGCGCTTCTTACTAAAAAGAGAAATCGTTTGCATGTTGCCAGCGAACGTGGCGACTTGCGACTGTTCTTGAGTAAATTGGAACCTGATATCAAAAAACTTATTAAACAGCATCAGATTCATCCTTCACACTAGTTTTTTTATAAGAATCGATTATGTTTGTTTTATATTGAATAAAAGATACTCTGTATGAATACTATAAAGATGTGTTTCAAAAATCATTCTCATTGGCAGGTGTAGTCCGTAAGAGTTAACTTGAAACCTGAGCATCGTTGTGTACTACCTACTGCATTCAGGTCTGAAGTTAACTGCGGGTTATAGTAAAAGTTTCGTTTAGAATGAATGTTTAATCTCCGCTAATATAGCTCACAATAAATCATTAATTTAATTTGAAGTTATAGTGGTTTTTAAGTAGGTGAAAAAATAATTTATTCTTGAAGTGATATGTGATGATTTATTCTGAAAGTAGACAAAATAAGTTTGGTAACCCCTGACTTACACTGTACATTTTCTTTCTATTTTAAATCCGACAAAAACATTATTAAGTAAATTGGGGCGATGTTAGCGACTTGGATACCACAGCAAAAGTGGCATTGCCAAACTTTCCAGATACGAAATGGGTAGTTCCGCGTTTCGCCACCATCAATTTTTTTTTATTGGGCTGTAAAAACGCTTTATGGTTGGGAATTTTTCATTGTCGGTAACTTTATTAAAAAATATTAGTCAAATTAATAATAAATATGAAAGATACCTAAAAATTACCTCGTAAATAAAGATCTGGAGTTTATTAAAAGGAATTTTTAGTTGTCGCTTGTATCTTCCGACCTAAGAACACCTGAGAAGTGGAAATAAATTAGTAATAAAGTTGGAAAAACAGAAAACAAGTGTTCAGTCAAAAATAAAAGAAGAATTTAAATTTGCAATTTTTGTCTGGTGTGAAGTATACTCGCTAAATTTAGTAGGTATTCAGGCTGTTGAATGTGTGGCTGTTGAATAAAGAAAAGTGTCAAAGGAAAATAATTCGCAGCACATGAGTCACTTTTTTTGAAAGATCATCAAATATTGTACAGTTGCGTGGTTAAGAAAAATAACGTGTAGATTTAATAACGTTTATCGATATGTTATATGCACATTCGAAAAATCGTTTGGCAGAATATTAAGAAATTGGCAATCACTTTAGTGTTATTTCTCACTTCACAACAAACGATTCTGACGAGATTCTGATTAAACAATGCAATGAATTTAAAGAATTGTATCACGAAGACTTTAATGCATATGAGCTCAAATCAGAATGTTTTCATTTAAGGAAGTATTTTTATTTATTTTATTTAAGGAATTAGTGAATTTAAGTAGCTCAAACTTACATAAACTAAAAGTAAAGCCTGATAAGTTAGAAGAAACTTTTCCTAAATGTTGAAATTGCTATTAGAATTTATTTTTGCTTTATAGTTACCAATTGTAGTGGAGAGCACTCATTTTCACAGATAAAGTTTTACTGTCCAACAGGGCAATAGCCTAAGACAGCCTTGCGTCAGTAGGCATGTGGTTTAATGTAACGAGAAAGATAACTAAGCTTAGGTATTACTCGTACTCAATAGTGGATCAGATCTTCTTGAAGAAGCGCGGTGAGGTACTCCGGCTCACTGCCTCCAACTTTATAAAGCGCAAGTCCGACCGCATATGGAATACTGTTCTCATCTCTATGCAGGGGCACCCCACTACCAGCTTCTCCCTCTGGACCGCATCCAACGTAGAGCTACTCGAATCGTCGGTAGCCAAAAGATCTCCAATCCGCTCGATATCTTAGCGTTACATAGAGATAAAGTTTCACTCTGTATTCTCTATCGTATATATCATGGAGAGTGCCCCGAGGAATTTTTCGGACTAATACCGGCCGCAACTTTCCACCTTCGTTCCACACTGCAAAATTTTCATCCCCATCACTTGGCTAATTGGCAATCCATCATTGTGCGCTTTTCAAGACACTTTTTGCCTCGCACAACTAATGTGTGGAACAAGTTATCGTCTGCGGTATTTCCGGACTGATACGACCTTCAAACCTTCAAGAAAAGAGCGTACTCCTTCTCAAAAGGCTGACCACGTGCTTGTGACTCCTGAGTTGCAGGCATTCATGGGCGACGGTGGTTACTGTATATATAAGTCAGCTCACACCATAGTGCAACATAAGCCACCGGCGATATGGCTACTAATATACGTCTATGCCTGCCAGGTTCGATTTAAAGGTGTACCCATCAAAATCAAAAGCGATCACCATAGGAAATCCTAGAATGACAAGCAAAATTATTAATCCTCATAGTTTTAATGAAATTATCTTTAATAATACCGTTTTGCCTGTTAAAAATTCGGTCAAAGATCTCAGTCTGAACGACTTTGAACTGGCAAACTCAAGTAACTAGCCTCAGTCAGAAGGTTCCGAATATTTAACGAGGATTCTATACCCTTTTTTTTTTTTTAAATGAGCTTATTTGTTTCAAACGGTTTGTGATCGGCAGAACTACTTAGGAGGCATATGTAAGTATGTCTGCTACTTATAACTCCATTCATTAACTAACATAAGGATATCAGATAATACATTTAAAAATTATAACAAAATTAATACTCGGATATTCATATTTTCTTTTTTTATATTAATATTTTCGGACATCTGACACACAACGCCATCTAGTTTCAAACTAAGCAGAGCTGGTACTATGAAAGCTAGATTGACTGATAGAATATTTATTTACTTTTTTTGTAAATAATGTTCTACAGTACACAGCACAGTTTATATAAAAACACTAGCGATCCGCCAGACTTTGCACTCATGCTATGTAGATACTACTAATACTACTAATGCAGTGTCAGTGTAGAGTAATTAATTATACTGTTATGATAAGACTGCAGGACGTCTTAATATGCAAAATTTATAATAAATATTTATAATAAGAACGACAAGCAGAATTGATGCTGATAATATTACTGGCATCATCTTTAATGACACCGTTTTGCCTGTTAGTACATCGGTCAAGGGTCTCGGTCTGCACATCGATGCGACTCTGAACTGGCAAACTCAGGTAACTAGTGTCAGTCAGAGGGTTACGAATATTTTACGAGGATTCTATCGCCTTAAAAATGTCCTTCCAATAAAAAACAAAGACGATGCTTGTGCAGAGTTTAATTTTTCCAGTTATCGACTATGGTGATGTGTGTTATCTCGACTTGAATGCAGATCTGCTCAATAAATTAGACCGACTTCTCAACAATTGCATTCGATTCACTTTCAACCTGCGAAAGTACGATCACATATCCGCTTACCGTACGCAACAGTCATGGTTACCTATAAGACAGCGCCGCAGTTCGAGGGCTCTGACTGTGTTACACTCTCTTCTCCACTCACCTAACTCACCTACCTACTTAAAGTCCCACTTCCAATATCTCTGCTCTAATCATGACAGAACTCTTCGCTCTTCCAAAAATCTTCTCCTTCTTTGTCCTTCACATAATTCCAGTATGGTCCATTCTTCCTTCCCTGTTCAAGCTGTAACTCTTTGGAACACACTCCCACTAGAAATCAGGATGTCCACTAACCGATACACTTTTAAGCTTAAAGTACGGAAGCTCTATAAAAACTTGTTGACGGAGTCATCAGAATAACACCTTAAGAGTATATTTATAATCTTCGTATTATATATACTTATGATATTTATATGTATAAACTATATGTATGTGTATCTAGTACTTATATATCACTAGGATTTTTTCTTTTCTGCCATTGTAACATGACCTAATTCAGTCTCATCTTTACCTGTCCCAAATCTACACCTGCCACACACAGCTTTGTCCGTCATTAAGTCGTTGTCATTAAGTCCGCCTTATGCAATATGTTTGCAGGAAGACTCAATAAATAAATAACTATTTATAGGTCCACTCCGCTCTTGCCAGCGTGTGTAGGGCGACAGGCGCTTTGGAATTTTAAACTTCTGATATCTTCTAAGAGATTCATTGTAATGATATGCTGCAATAGGCAATTTTAATCTTACTTAAATGCACATCGTATGTAACGTATTTAATGGGATAAGAAATAATACTGTACTGTTCAAAAGAACTTCGTAAATTACCTATTACTTTTTGTAATTTGAAAAAAGGGTATTGTGGGCTATGCTTAGGAGATAGACATATACCATGGCGGACTTTTGGGTAGATCTTTTTAAGATATACAATTCTGTAGTACATCATTTTGATCCATCTTGTAAATGTTAGTCAGCGTTTGCAATGTAAGCAACACATGTTTTTACGACTTCACATTTAAAATTTTAGAAATTCTCGGTTTTCCTCTACTATAAAATGCATGTATTATAAATATAAACCTGATTCTTGAATTACTCTCTCTATTGGTGAAATCCACATTAAAATCCGTTGCGTAGTTTGTAAGATCTGAGCGTACAAAAAAAAGGGACTTCATTTTATACTATGTAGGTTCACAAAAGATATTTTTGAAGGCAACACAGATTGTTAATGTCAATTAATGAACCAATAGCTAGCCATTTTCTAGCAGAAACACAATTTATGTCAGACTAGGAATCAATTTAAAGAATTTTTTCAAGAAAATCTGAAAATGGGTCATGATCCTGGTGGACAAGATGACAATACGTTTCGAGCGTTTATGAACGCACTTTACAATACCATCGATGCACCTGTAACATATTTTAGAGGTAGAGAAGCATATATTTCCACTGTTTTATTTTGTTATGTAAGTATGTGCGAACTTACGATTTTGTGGTGTTACAGAACAGATAGTTGAGCCGAACCAAAAACAGTACCCATGGTACCACAAGAGGTATCGCCGCGTGCCAACCATCGATCAATGCTATGACGACGATGTTGTGTGTGACTTTGAAGCGAACGCTCAATTCAAGCGTGATAGGTTAGTTTAATCTTACTATAAAATACAAGGTGCTTCTGATTGGTATAGACAAGGGAGAGGCCTTTTACCGCAGCTGATTGTCTGAGCTACTGCAACCGTGGAAACCTCTTAACAGCGATAAAATAATAATCTAGTTGCTTGAAGTTAGGACAAAGGAATGTTAGCTTATGTGTTGTTTATAACAAACTTTATACGAAAATGATCGACATGGCCTGAAGGCTTTCCTTTTTCTTAAACAGATCTTCTCTAAAAGTTTCAACCTATATCTCCTTTAAAAACCTCTCAAATTATAGTCGCAAATCATTTACCTTATTGATAATTACTGATTGATACCAGAGGACCAATTCTCGTAATAACAGTTCAGTCTCAATTCAGTTCTGATCAACTTTCAGATCTTACAACCATCATAAAAGGTATTTTTGTGGTAAAATAGTATTACTAAGGCTAGCAGATAACCGATTCAATATTAAATTACAATACAATTAAATTACATTACAGTCAACATTAGATGTTTAATACTTTACTATGAAAATACCTTTTATGACGGTTGTAAGATCTGAAAGTTGATCAGAACTGAATTGAGACTGAACTGTTATTACGAGAATTGGTCCTCTGGTATATTATATGAAATGGGGATGTTGAAAATTAATTATTATCCAATCAATAAGAATAGGTTTTATTGAAAGTGTAATATATTTATTTTTAACTCTGACAGTCTGACTCATCTTTTGACCAGCCTGGTGGTCTAGTAATTCAAGTAAATTATAATTAATATAATAAATCATCATGTTAAAGAGCTGTGGACTCGGAGATCCTGAGCATTCTGCGACAACGTTATGAAGATTGTATGGTGTATGAACGTCCTGACCATGAAGCTGCCTGTGTACCTTTGTACAAGAAATACAAGGATGCTGCAGAGGCTTGGTTCATTAAATGTAAGTATTTTATTTTAAATTACACAAAATTTACTCTAAAATTGTTACTGCTCACATGATGTATAATCACACATATTTATAAATGCTTAATGTGAGACAAATATCAATAATGCTCATGCGTTTCGTATTTCTAATACCATTTTTATATTCTGTGTGCATTTCGTATTTCCAATACTAGTATTATATTCTCTACAGTCGTTAACTTGCCAGGATGATATGTCAGACAGTTCGTGATATCTTTTGGGTAGATTGCATAATCTAGATTGCATGTCTGTGAACTTCTGCAGACTTAGATGCATGTGGAGCAAGGCAAACCATTTAGTTTTGGTAGGCATAAGTCCATTCATATTTGTAAGGCCCAAATCAAATCAGAATTTCAAATCGCAATGTAACAATTTTTGTCAACATTTAAACTATCCATGGTTCAAACCGAGTCATATGTATTAAGTTGCTTGTAGTTGGTCCCTTCAAATTTGTCTCACTTGACTCCAAAAACATTGTTCTGCTTTGAATAAAGCTATAGTGTACAACACATTATTCTTGTACATTAATTATCATACATATTAACCATAGACACATACATACATCCAGACCCAATCCAACATTAAATGTTTATGCACACAAATGTTTGACTTGAGCGGGAATGGAACCCGCACCTTTGGCCGTAGCAGTCGGTTACACATCCGTGGATTGCTAAGTCTAAGTCTTTAATAGTGTTAAAACATTTTGTACATAAGCAAGTTTGGGCAGTGATCAATGAATAATATATTCAAATGTCCTCAGATGGGGACCTTGGCGGGTATGCTGATGCCCGGAAAGCGTACATGAAGCAAAAACATCGCATGATATGGGAAAGGCGTAACGGCAAGCTGTCTACTCTGACATAAGCTGCGTGACACATTCAGTCAAATAACACGCATAAGTAGATGGTATCTGTTGCAATATATTAAATAAATTATAGTCAGTAATAATACTATCTAGTTTTATAAATTACTACCTGTTGTTTCACTGAACTTAAATTTTGTTTATGCATGCAATGGGTGCGATTCGGAAAAGTAATGGTCAGGTTGATCAATATTTTGCCAAATGGTTTCCGTTTATTGCTTGCGCTCCTGGGGGAAACGAGCGGACGGGTCACCAGTTGGTAAGCAACTACCCCCGCCCATGGACACCTGCAACTCGATTGTCACAAGTCCGCGCTCGAGCGGGGGGGGGCAGGATTTCGGCTCCGGTATCCTCACTCAGGAGCTGGATGCAAGAAGCCCAAAATCGATCTAAGTGGCGTGCAATGGGAGAGACCTATGTCCAGCACTGAACTGCGATAGGCTAGTGATGATGATCCTCACTCACTCAGTAAAAGACAACGAAAGAATTGCTTAACACCGGTTTTCTGTAAGGCCCTGGTCAAGCCGGCCCATTCGTGCCGAAGCGGTTAATCCTAAATAAACGGCCTTTCTAATGCTTAACGAATTTCTTAACATCTAAAGATCTTGGGATTAGTTCAGACTAGGAAAATTATCAGCTTTATCTTTATCAATACATATATTGTATTTTCATCGTCAATTAGTTAACGACATTAGAAAGTTCACGGATATTATTTATACGAATTTTTTTCATAAGACGTTTTGTATCATTAAACAGACAGTACACACAATGCATGAAATAAATATTACTCTATTCTACACAGCTGCAGTAAAAGAAAAGAACCGATCTTTATTATATGTTAAGTTGGTTTTAAAACCTCGAAAAGTTCTGACCAAATGAGCTCAAATTATGACAATATACAAACGGTTTCAAAGATTGTTTTTATCTATTTTTCTAGTTTTAATCCTCATTTCTCATCTATACAACGACAATGTGCCACAGCGAAGCGTGGCAAGGTGCATATAGTTGTTTATAAATAATATGCAGTTATTAAGTTTTTTCAATAAAAAGTAGTCATTATTGTTGAAAAAATAACATTTATTTTCCGACACATTCATCATACATGCAAATACTGAAATGACTATAATTTCAATACATCAATCACTAGTTAAAACTATAACAAAAATCACAGAATTACGAAGATGTAGAAATAATTATAATAATCGCCTAACATCTTCTCATAATGAACTCCGAATGGGCACTTAAGTCTATCTTATTGTTACAAAATACACAATGTTATTGGTCAGAAAATAAAACAACAGCTTATAAAGTACTTGAACGTATCTTCACTACAGTCTTAGAGAAGTTGACAATCATTACTATTTTATAAACCTTAAGTAACATATATTTATTTAATTATGGACAGAAATCTGGCCATAAAGGATCCTTAGGAGAGCAACATATAAAATTTAACATCAAAATGGGTCACAAAATTGTTTACACAAACATTTCATGTTGATAGATTGAATGGCCAATACTGATTAAATGCGGACTGGCAGTAAAATAAAAAATATAATTAATTGCATTGAAAAAATATACTTAAGTATGCAAGATCCTGCTTACATAAAATATATAAAACAAATACAAACATTATCTGTAAATAATTTTAACAATTAAAAATCGTAGTTCCACACTGTATTGAATGTATATCATATTTTTTTATTTTAAATTAAATTTTTTATACTTTGTACCAATTTTAACAATGAAATATGTACATTATATACATACCTAAGTAAATTGTAGTTGACTTATGATTACAAGAACTGCCACATTCTACAGAATATTGTGATTACTAGCATTGAAGTGGAACCAAAATACGGCATTAATGGTACAGAGGTATCACAGTGATAATAATGCCTTACGCCCTTATTCATATACACCAAATAGTACCGTTATCCTATTCAAACAGTTTTTCTTGAAAAAAGATCAGGAAAAAGTTAAAAAAGCTTTAACAGTGTTATATGGTATTTGTGAATAATTGCTTGTGTGCTAATGTATAAAACTAAAATCACATGATTATTTACAGTTCATATTGTCATCGCGTTCCCGATTCTATATTAAAATAATCGGGTTATATTAATTATTAGACAATCCAAAGTATAATAACTTAATATCACTATCGACTAATCGTGACTTGGCGGTCGTTTTTAAACATATATCAGACCCACCAATCTCACCAGATTTTTGATCTAGCAAAATTAGATAATATACTAAATTAAATAAAAAGGTTTATCTGTAAATTTGACTTAACTATAATACAGACGAGTGGAAATCATTTTCATTTATAAGATTTACAATAATTTTTCGCAAATATTTATGCGACATAAAATTTATTACATTCAATAAAAACTATACATTTCTAAAATACTTGTAATGTAAGTGAAAATTAGGCCAGTATCTTGTTTTTTGGCGCCATGTGGAACTATGAGATTTAATTTAAACAGGAATAATCTGTCATAATAAGAGCATCATCGCACTTTCGGCACGAGCATATTCTATCAAAGCAATATCACCTACACCTACATACATTCAATACTCTTATAAAACATTTTGAACGTTTTTAATTGACACATGTCATTAAGGCCAGTTCGCAAAAAATGTGAAATTCAAAATCCAACTGGCTATTCATTGTAGGACTTTAGTTTTGGACTGTAAATGTTATCTAAAATTACATAAATTCGAACGTGATATTCCTACGAACGAAAAATTAAATTCGTCTGCACAATAACATTAGATAACATTTAAAATAATATATCTATATTTGAATATCTATATTTGAATAATTAAAGCAAATTACATGCAAATAGATTCGTGGCCTAAATATATTAAAGATAAAACTCTAGGCAAGAATCAACGTGTTCTATGATCATTGTACTTTATGCGGGCATCCGGCAAATGTTACAAGTGCGCGAGATGTTCATTAAGACTTAGCAACTATTCTTAACATATATTTTGAGCCTCAAATCAGTGATATGTACACTTTAGTGCTTTATGTTTTAAGAACAATCGTATATGTTGCAGTATCGTTATCTACTTAATGCATATGTAGATAATTATACTGGATATAGATAATATTTAAACTTATAAGTACCTTAAAAGTATCATTTGAAGTTTGTTTCAGTCCTTTGTTACGTGAAGAAATATAAACCTAAGAAAATAATACAAAAAAAAATGTCAAAAGATAAAACGAAAATAAAATTAGTTACAATTTAAGTTTGTTTTTAAACGTGTACATACAATGTAACTAACTTTACGGACTAGTTCGACAAGTAACAGGAATAGACTAAAACAGCACATCACGAACGCTACTCGGTTGGGTAAATGTAAATTAAAAATAAAGTTAGTCAAATAAAAAATAAAAGGGTATATAATATAAGAAACAAAGATTTTTGGTCAAGATGATTCTTAAGACTTACTTATTGTACATAGATATTTGGGACATACGTTTTATCGGCACTTTGAACATTTAACGAATGCACCATAAGATTTTCTTAATCTAAATAAACACATAAAAATATAAACATCTAAAATATTATTGTTACAGACATCACAATGTATTGGACACTTACAAAGTATATAGTAGTTAAAATTCGTTGCGACCCTGGCTATCACAGCTCGGTGGCGGGTCGCCCTCGGAACACGGACAATATAACCTACCTCGTAAAGGAATGCATCTTTGTATGACGCGGTGGGATTATGAACAATCAAAATGCGCCGCCAGACGGATGCGACCTGCCAAATATATATACTAATTAGTACTAATATGTCAAGTCAGCATTGTTAATTTTCTAGACATACAAATCATGCACACATAAATATATATAAAAAAAAAATTACGTCGGTTCTCCTGTGTGAGTAAAGCTGTCGGAGCCGGCAAGGCGCTGGCCGGTGGAGAACACCATATATTGTTCTTTGGCGATTCAAATACACGGGAACCCTGGAATAAATAACCAAAAGCTAAGCTATTTAACAGCAATCGAGTAATTATTATATTATAGCTACCATTCCCTACATAATTATAAAAATACTAGATTTACTATTTTAAATAGCGTCTAACCTAACCTAGCAACCCTAACCTACCCACAACATAATATACTCAGGTCTTTTATTCCCGAGGTGAATTAAACTCCAACATTTAGCAGAGTATAATGTTAGTTACACTTGAGTCGAAATAAATATACTTATCTGTACGTAGAACATTTTTGACCAAATTTTGTTAAAAATGCCCTATTTTTACTTGAATGGAGTAAAGTGTTACCTTCTGCCCGGGTGGAGTATCATGTACAGAATAATCTTCATGAGCCGGTGCGGGAGCAGGCTCTCGGCAGCGAGGCACTACCACTCCCGCGCACAACGACCAGCGAGCGCTCTCACTCTCCGTGAATATCTCCGAGTATTGACGGAGGAACTCGCCCACGCCTTCAGTACCTACATAAAAAAAAACAATAATAATTATATACATTTTAAATTTTCTTAATAGTAAATGTATCGCAATGGCTGTAGAAGTTGCCAATCAATTCGAACTTTATGCCTTAGTACCAGTAGATTTGAATAGGGTTCAAACGGCCCAGTGTAAGTTTATTAACCATCAACTCACTCGATCATGGTGACCGCGGTAGGCGTTGCGATTGGCCCGCATTGAACTCTTCACCGATCGTAACGCCCAACGCGTTCACCGTCGAGATCACTCTCGCTCGAATAAAGGTTCCGTTATGAGAATAGCAGAATCTTTATTGAAAAAGAATGTTTCTTATTGCAAAAAAATATTTCAGTTTAATAACAGAAACTTTAAATTATTAAAAAATAACTTTTAAAGCATTTCTGTTCATCTCATAAATTTTCTAATTGAAATAGTTACCTCTGAATTACCTATACTCTTTAACAATTGTGATAATATTGGTGTATTTCCTTATCTAATGACATAGTGAAATCCCTTGTTTAAATCAGGTAGTTTCTCAAACCCTTGTAACTTTCGCCAAATATCTGTACCCACTTTTAGTAAAGTTTTTGAAACAAGTATGTTTAACCAAATGCAGACACATTTTGATGTAAATAGTTTATTGATGCGTATTGTGTTTTTGTGACGTTTCAAAGCTTTTGATTGTGTCCAGCATCAGACTAATCATGAATCTACACTTTTATGGGTCAGCGGTGCCGCTCTAGAAAGTGATAAATCGCTTTCTGCTTGAGTGAGCATGACCTGTGCCTACTGCCGCCAGCTGTAAAATAGTTATCTTTGTGCTGCAAAAAGAGCTTTCTGGACTATCTATGGTACTCGGACTCGAGTTTTTAAGGGATATATTTAAAGGAAATTAATATAAAAATCTACTAGCAATATATATTTAAGAATCTATTGTATGCTCATGAGAATAAACATAAACTTAGTAAGAATAGTGACTATCATATGTCGAACTTAAAGTGGCAAAGATCATAGAAAAATAATGATAATAAGATTAGTTGTTACGCGTAAATTTGCGCGAATTTTTCTCTACTTTTTTAATGATAAGCGAAAGGTACTGTACTATAGTGAACTAATAGAAGTGTACTATTATTGCTTATAAGTGTTCGTATAAGCTAAAAGACGAAGCAACTCACCGGACTCTCCCCCCGGGAACACGGGCTCGTATCTCCTCGCGTACTCGAGGAACAGCTCGTCGTTGGGCATGGGGGGGCGCTCGGCCAGGATCTGCGCGAGGCGCCACACGGTGCGCCAGGCGGCGGAGAGCTGCAGGCGCGCGTCCTGCACCACGAACAGCACGCCGGCCGCCAACAGGCGCCGCAGGTCGGGCTCGGCGCGCTGCAGGCGCCGGAAGGCCGCGCCGAAGTACTCTTGCGTGGAGCCGCGCGCCACGCTGCGGTCGCCGCTCAGCGCCGCGCACGCCGCCAGCAGCGCACTCGCCCACGCCGGCGCGCAGCCGGGCGCGCTCACCGCGCCCTTCTCCACGCACCCGCCCGCCGCGTACACCAGCGCCTCTATCGACTCCGCCTCCAGCATCGCCGGCTGTAACAAAATATCGATTATACGAATTATCCTCTTTCGATTCGTCAGGAGTAGCTTTTCTGACGGTTCCGAGCGCTCACCGTGGGCAGCGCCCCGTAGAGGTTGGCGTAGTGCGCGGGCAGGTCGCAGAGCGCGACGGGCGGCAGCGCGCGCAGGCGCTGCGCGACGAGCGCGCGCGCCGCCTTGGTGGCCACGCGCACGCTGCGCTCGCCGTTGCTCTCGCCGCACACCGACACCGCCTCGGGGATCAGCTCGAACAGTTCCACCAGTTTGACGCAGCCGTAGTGCGCCACGCGCAGCTGTCGCCCGAAGTGCGCGTGGTAGGCCGGTACGAAGCGAGAGAATTCCATGCGAAGGTTCGGCGTGTAACGGAGGAGTTCCACGGCCTGCGATGACGAATAAAATAAATAATTGAATTTGTAAAGCTGTTTAACTACTTCGCTGTTTTATAATATACACGCACTTTAACCAGATTTTTAGAATGAAAACAAAATAAAATAACGGATGGTTAAGTAAATTAATTAATTACTATTCACCTGCATAGCAAACTGCCTCGTCCTGGCTCTCTCCTCGGGCGTTGGAGTACGTCTCGGCAATGAAATAGATCCATCTTGAGCGACGGACACAGCCTGCGGTCCGACTCGCTGCATTAGTTCCGCAATTGTACAAACTCCGTAATCGACCGGGGAGAATGGACGTCCAAAAGTAGTTTGATACATCAATGGGATATCATTAACAATGACGGTACGTCCCGGTTGAGCTTTAAGGAGTTTCACGAGATCCGAAGTCCAGCGACGGCTCTGAGCGGTAGCTGAAATCGTGATGATACGAGACGAACCTGACCCGAGAACCTGAGGAGAAAAACACAGTTATTAACTTTTCTCAATAATTCTTAAATGTATAATATTAAAAACAATACAGGTATAGCACAAAATCTTTGTAATATCACATTAATTTTACGTGTCCCAAATTACCCTTACAATTCCATTGAAACAATTTTTTGTCAGTAATATAAGCTTTAGATAGAATTAACTACTCACAACGATAGCACTACTGAGTGCAGCGAGCAAATCCGGCAGCTTGGTGAAGCCGTAGTCAGCAACACGACATTGTCGACCGAAGTGGTGGTGGAAGGCAGGAATAAGTCTAAAACAAAAAAAATGCATTTGCTCATGTAGTAGTGTTGACTATTCATTGTAATATTTAAACAAACTATAAATTTTCGACCATTAAGTGGCGTGGTCTAAAATCTATTCCTGTATCAACGTGGCAAATTCAGTGGATATATCATATTTCGGAAAACAACAGTTATTTGGGTAATACAACAATACCTAAGTAATAGATTCAGAAGCCACATAATACGTTCACATTAAAAATTATTTTTATGTGTAAATGCTTATATTTGCTATGTGTAAGTATAAAATATAATATACGTATAAAATAGTACAAACTTGCTAAACGGTATAGAGCATCTCGGAGCTGTACGCAAGAGATCAATAAGTTCACGTTCGAACAACGCGAGCATGGGTTCTAGAACGGGAGCCGTGCGGGGCCGGTCGCGCTCGCCACTTGAACGGGAACTCTCACCTATAACAAATAATATTAAATACAGTCGGTTTTTCTGAGGTTCGAGATCAGCTTTCATTGGCCATATTCTTAATATTTTTTTATCTTCTGAGTTCCAGAGATTAAATTATATCAGTATGATCTACTTTCATTTGACAAATGCTATTAACAATGATAACACCTGTGCATTTATTAGGTAAAATGATCACACTCCTACAATAGGCTTGTGTCCACTAATAACAAATTGCTTGGTTTATTGTTTCTAAATAAATGAAGACATGATAAGAAAAAACCAGTCTATGTCTCATAAAAGTTAAAGATTATTAATATTTTTTTTAAATAAAATCGAACAAAGTCGGCATTAAGTCACGTGACAGCGAACACCATTCAAAAAGTGTTACGTCACGCCACGCAAAACATTGTTGTTGTTGACGTTTTCATACAAAAGAGCAGGTTACTCCTTATTGTTTTTCGTTTTTAGCATATTTTCTCACCTTAATACAGTTTCAGTTGACATTGGACACAGATGTAAACAGTTTTGTTTCGCAGACTGTGACGTCATTCAAGACGCCATGACACTATTCAGCGTTTTCAAGGGAAATTTAAATTAAGTTTTTTTAAATACAAAATACGTAATGTGAATATTGCTTTTTCTTTAAAATATAGGTTTCTTGGGATAAAATAGATATTTAAGTATATAATTAACCAAGTTTTCAAATTGAGTCAACTAGCCTATTGTGGCAGTTACGAATCCTGTATACTGATATCGTATTACACTTACTGTTGGCAGTGTTATCAGGCAGGGAGTCCGTTTGACGCCAAGCGAGATGACGAGATGGTACATCGCGAACTTCTATCCCGGGGACACTGCGTAACAACAGCTCGAGTGCAACGCCGTGGCGGGTGTCGCACACCAGGGCATCGAAGTGGCTCTCATAGCACTCTACGAAGCTATCAAGGAATATACATAAATATTAGGTCTAGTCACCAAAAACTTGTGGAATGGTAAATCAGAAGGCTAATACGTGTAGTAGGTAGTAATTCCCTAAAACAAAAAAAAGGTAGTATTCCACAAACGAAATAAAAAAGTAAACGCATTAATTTCATGAATAAGAGCCGTTTAACGAGACGATAATATGTATCGTGTAAATTCATCATAATTACCTTAACAGTGGCAAGATCCCACCATGATTCTCTAACAAGATATGAACATTCTTAGCTAGTACTGAAATCTCCATATAAACCGGCTGCAAGATGCGAGTCCCATCCTCCTGTCCGGTATTCATAGACGCATGAATATGGCACTTCCAGGGCGCTTCTTCCATTTCAGTATTCGAAACTGGGGTTAAGTCCACTAACTGTACCATTCTACCGTACCCTTCATGGATGATTACGGTATCTTTGAGCTTCGCTATATCTGAAGTAGTTAGTGCACAACAATGACGACTCGCATATGCATCTCTCAGACGTAAAAGCGGCAACATGTGGTTATTTTGGTCGAGGAGTATAGCTCTAAGACGGGCTCTGAGGACATCTAGGTTTGGAGCGGGCGAAGGTTTGCCTAAGGACAGTTCGAGTCTACGGCCCGTCCACTGGTTATCTAAGCGACGTTTGTGAATACGTGCAATTGCTAGCCTCGCGTCCCATTCCGAACGAAGCACGACTGTTGCTAGTGGTCCTTCTCCTGCGGCCCATACTGACACTCGAACGACAGGGATGTATTGGTTGAACAGCTGTATCAGCATCTCCTGCACACATAAATTATCACATTTATATATAAAACAAACATCGAATAGGCAATAGGGTAGTGTCCTTTGGGTTAAGTATTTTTAAACTTTTGAGGTGTGTTAAAAAGTTTCAAGAAGTAATATTAGAAAAAATAAATATTAACCCTTGATATGTATTCTACCTCTCCTTAGAAAGGAGGTTTTGGCCTACTATAGCACGCCGGCCAAACGGGTTGGTGTAGGGTTTTTTTCTAGTTTTCCTTGTCTTTGCATTGCTGTTGTCCTGCATGGTTTGCTCCCTTAGTCGGCTCTTACAACACCCACGAGATGAAAAGGGGTGGTAACTCTCCGTATTCTTAATCGACAGATTCATCCATACTGACGTCTGTCTGCAGGTTTTTAAAAATGTAAAAATACAGTTACATGGAAATACTTAAGCGTGTCAGATATTGCTGGTTAGATACCCCAATATGCCTTAAATTACAAAGGTATGCTAATCTGCCAGCTTGCACGGTGGGAGCGGATATACCTACGGAAGGGAAAAAAAGCGAAAACACTGTTATAAATTGTTCTCGTACGAAAGAAAGTTTCGGCTAATATTACGTTTAATAAGCTGTTTACTATTTTCTGGAGTGGCAGCCTGTATAATTGAAATATGGTAAGTTCATTTCTATCTATTGAAGAAGGAAATCTATTGGATACTGTGCAAGAATTATAATCAGCCGTAATGACGTCATGGCAATGAGAAGCAATGAGCGGGCTGTGTAATAGAATACATGCTTTATTCCACCTAGACTCGGTACACCATATTGACGATTTTTGTTACTTTGGCTTAATGAAATTGACACGTTATATATTTGCGGGGTGTTGGAATTCATTCATTTTTTGTCCTAAAAAAATTTAGCATGTTATTAACCCACCTTAACCTTAATCTAACACGCTCGAGTATTTCTGGTTCTATAAGAGCTCTGCTCTGCTGAATACCTTTTCCTTGAGATTCGCTTAAAGGGGGCCAAAGCAGTGCTGGGAGTAGTTTATTGTCCCTTCAACGTTGACTTCTCTGGTCTCGAATCGATTCTGGAATCTTTAGGATCTGAGTATACACATCATATCATTATGGGCGATTTTGACACCGACCTCCTTGCCTCCAACTCCCCACGTTCCTGTAAACTCTCCAGGGTTATCGAATCAGCTAGTTTGCACATACTTCCGTTGTCAGCCACTCATCACAACACCTATGGACCCGGCACCATGCTGGACCTCATCCTCACCTCCTCTCCCTCCCTCGTCCACAATCATGGTCAACACTCTGTCCCTGGTTTTTCGCACCATGACTTCGTGTCCTACTCCTTAAAACCTCCAAAGCCCAGTCCTAAGGTACTACACGTTCGCTGTCTCGAAAGGATGGATGAAGATAAACTTCGATATGATGCCTCCAACTAAATTGGAAACCCGTGCTGGAGGTCGCTGCAGTAGATGACAAAGTAAACTCGTTCAACACCTTTACGATCAACACGTCCCAATTACGAAGATCAAATTAAAGCGTCCTCCGGCCCTCTGGATAACCGTCGGTGTTCGAGAGGCAATGCGTCGTAGAGATAAGGCATTTCGTAAATTTCAGAGGAACCGCTGCGAAGAAAACTGGGCCATTATAAAGTTGCGAGAAATCGGTGTAACCTGATGGTGCGTAACGCTAAACGGTGCCATATTCTCAAAAACCTGAATTGTACATCTGCTTCAGGTATCTGGAGGTTCCTTGGAATCCTAGGTATCGGCAAATCCGAAAAATTTGACCTTCCTCCGACCTTTGATTTGGATGATACTAACCGTCATTTCTCCTTATCATTGCAGTTGGATTACCAAATCAAATGTCGGACGTTACAGTTCCTGGCGGACCTACCCCGTCCCAATATTGAATATTTTTTTCTCCAGTAGGACCAGGTGTAGTCAAAAAGACAATCCTCTCAATCAAATCCCACTCCATGGGATGTGATAACATTAACCGTCGGATGATCATCTCTATCCTCGATCAACTTCTTCCCATGCTTACGCATGTAATAATTTTTCTCTTGACTCGGGGACTTATACCACATCGTGGCGTAAGGCCTGTACCTACCCCTTCTAAAGATCCCGAATCCAACACTACTGAATCACCTACGACCAATCTCCATTCTTCCCTTTCTGTCCAAAGTCCTCGAGGCCTGTGCGACTATCCCATCATAATTACCGTAAGAACTTACTAAGTCCTTTCCAATCGGGGTTCAGTATTCAGAAATTCAAAGTTACTGTGTTAGCTTTGGTTGATTTTGACGACATAAATGAGGCCATTGTTATGGTTAACAATGACCTGAAGGCTATTAGCAGTTGAGCTAATGGGTTTGGTTTGGCAATAAATCCAGCGAAGTGCCAAGCCATCATCATAATCAGTCAGCGCATGAGTGGGAGGATGGATCAAGACAAACTGCCATCCATTACTTTTAACGGCGTATTTCCTTCAGTCCGTCTGTTAAGAGCCTATTTATCGACTCCAAGCTCAGCTAGAAAACCCAGGTCACCCTCTATTCCATACTCAACTCACCTATTTCTCCTTCCTACCTGACATCCTCATTTCAATTTCTATGTTCCAATCACAACAGACCCCTCCGTTCCTCAAACAATCCACTTCTGTTATACCCCACTCATACTTCCGCATGTGTCCACTTTTCGTTCCTTATCTAATCTGTCCTCCTCTGGAACGCTCTGCCTCCGGAAATCAGGATAGCACCCAGCCGCCTCTCATTTAAAACGAAAGTCCGAGCTCGAATTCTGAGACTAGCAAATTCATCACATCCCTAAAGTTTTATATAGTACATGTATGTATATGTATCTATGTAACTTAGCTGGTATATATGTATGTGTATCTCAGTATGTATGTGTGTATATCTGTCACACTGTTGCTGTCCATATCCTTAATTACTATTACCTCGTTACATATGAAACTTAATTTCTAGTGCACCTACTCAGACAATTCCCCACCACCCAAAGGTAGACTGGGAGAAAATACCTGTGACATAAACCATTCGTCCGCCATTGTACGATGAATTGTAGTTTGTGCATAAAGAATAAAATAAATAAAATATAAGTAGAGCTCTTGCGCGGTGGAGGTCCTCAACAGGTTGTAAAGTATTCCTCCTTGACAGTCCGTGTGGCAGTCAGTTTACTTGTACACGCTAAAAGTTAGACTTCATCAGTGAATCATCACATTTGTCAATTTGCCATATACCTTGAGTAACTTGTATGACTTAAAATAACCGGAGTACGCGCATATTTAAATCATGACTAATATGAATGTATATATATATACATTTCATTGAGTTCCAGTTGCGTCGCTTACTTTTAACTAAAGTATTCTGAATTCTAAAAACGGTCATTAATAGAATTTTACATAGCTAGCAATGCATTAACACGACTCATGCCATCTTGAAACAAACCCTATACCAACCCGTCTGGCCAGCGTGGTATAAGTAGGCCAAATCCTCTGTTCTAAAGATAGGCATATGTCCAACAGTGGACTATTAAAGGTTGTTGATGATGATGATGAATGATGCCATTATACACTGGTAGTATTTGTACAATCGAAAACATAATTTTGACTACATATTCATATGGACAATACAATGTAAGCTATTCGATGGACTGTACCTGTAAGACGGAGGGTTCATAAGGCGGCAGATTCGAGACAGTGAGCTCAGCCGTAGTCTCTTCGGCCTCGCTTTGCTCACTGAAACTGGCTGAAGAGTTCCACGGAGACACTGCTCGACTGCCACTCTCTCGGCGACCATCGGCACTGTTGCTTGACGAGCAACCGGAACGGTCAAGGTTGATCGTGCCTATATAAAAAAGAGTAATAAAAAGTATGTTTCGAAAGTTCGTGTACAGATCGTAGTTTCCTAAATTTTTTATAGAAAACAATGACTTATTCAAAGTTATATATTGTATTCAAATCGAAATCATTTCAGACGCGTCTGAAGTGTAAAAATTGTCTGTTTTGTACTAAATACATTTTTTTTTCTGAAATTATAAACATAAAAGTATTTTTAAATTATACAAACGAACCATGAGTTCCTCGAATTTTGCGAGGCTTCGGCGCAGGTGGAGGACAAAAGTCATGCGGTGGCGGAGACGGTGCAGGAAGCTGTTGCAATGCAAGTGCCCATTCTTTAGCAACAGAAGATTGCGGAGGCGCGAGTTTGGTCGCCTCTTGTGGTGATGAACACACCTGTAGACGTAGATTTAATATTATATTTTGTACTACTTACCTATATTACGTTATATGCACGATCTGATAAGAACTCTACAGTATGACGTCATGATAGTGTTACACAAGCTAATGAAAGTCGGTGCTATTTAAGAGTTTTTAAAATCAGTTTATAAATGAAGGAGTTCTGAGTTCTTTTTCTCTTAGTTCTGTTCTGACCGCCGAATTGAGAATCGAGGAGGTTCTCAAGTGGAACATACATCAAGGATTCTTTAGAGTCTCGTATGTAGTTACATCACAAACAAACCTGAGGTGGTGGTATAAATGTTGATGCCGATGCATATGACGACGCAGGCGCAGTACTGTACCCTTCGTCGCTGGAGTATGTGGGAGGTACGCTCGTGCGAACGTAACGCGTGCTTATTTTTCTTCCGTAAACATCTTCTCCGTCCATACGCATCAGAGCTCTGCAACAATACAATAGCGATTAAATTTCAAAATAAATTTCCATTTTTTAAGAACTCTAGAGCAAGTTGGCTACAGATTAGATACGTATAGTAAGGACTGTTTACCACGAGTGTCAAAAATATGTTTATAATAATATTATTTCAAAAATTGGAATACGAAAATACATTAATATGAATATTACTTTCAAATCTGTAAATCAAATCTTTGGAAGGATCCGATGCAAGTTAAAGATGCCTTCACATCTTTTTTGTGTAATTAAACTGTAGTGATTTGGAAAATCATATTTTTCTGAAACTTGTTTTTTTTTTAACTCAAAGCAAATAGTTAAAATATTTGAAAGAAAAACCGTTAATTAGTAGGATGAAATGTTTAGGGGTTTCCACCTTTGAGGTGGTAAATAAAGAACTCTGGTTATAACAATAATTATGGTTATAACAATAAGAAGATAACAATAATTATGTTTAAGCGAGTAGCCACGCGATTACATGGTCGTACGTATAAAACCTGCTGTTAAAAAAAAAGGGCAAAGAAATTTTTTGTACATGTTATATGACCCGATGAAACAACTTTTTAGGAGAATTATAAATATATACATACATGAAGGTAGTACTTTAGATTGTAGAACCCTAAAATTTAAATTCCTTTAGTAAGTACATACACACATCCATATCACATATTCATTACAATAAAGTATTTAATGACCTATACAACTAAAAATAAAAAAAAATAAAGCCTACAAATCTCAAAAGGCATTCCTTGCATTAATTAAAGGAAAAAATGGTGGTTCTTCGACAAAAAATAACATTAGCTCTCCGAAGTAACTCCAAAGATGATAAACTTAAATAGTTATAACGTATTTCAAATATTTCAATTTTTAAAATATATCAGTAGGTAAAAATCTTGAATATGAAAAAAAAGCTTTTATTTCGAAAGGCCATTATTATTTTATATTACACTTCTATCGTATACATGAAGGCGATCTTAAAAGCACACAATGTGTAAGTTATTTATGATGAGTGCCTATAGTAACTCCGTTGGTTATTTCATTAATAGCAAATGCAAGTCAAATAATCACGGAACCTACCTACCTAACCTACCCTCTCTTATCTTAATAGGTTAAATACATCATGAATAATTACATATAGACAGGATCAAAGAATCTCTTAGCTAATTAGCAAAGAGTTAAACTTTACCGAGTTCTCTCTTCAACTCAACGAGAAAATTATAAATAAATAGTATAGGTAATATAAGGTTCGAATAAAATATTATTCGTTTAATAGTTTGACATTCACTATATAACAGTGCAATCATTCCGTAGAGGCCATTGTTCCGCATCATTCCGCCGCATTTCCTACCGCTAATAATTGTTGTACTACTTCTTTAACGACAAAGTAATATAGGCAAAATATTATAAAACAAATCCAAGATGGCGTCGACAATCAGCTGTTTTCGCAAAAGATACATTATTTTGATAAAACAGCTGATCGACATTACGCGGTACAAGAAAATAATTCCACTCCACTCAGGACAGAAATATAATATTAAATTAACAATGCACAAGTTGAATGTATGACAAATTTGAATTGTTTATTGCTAAATACTTAAAATTTAGCTCCGCAATGTAAGCTTTATATTTGTAAAGGTTTTAAGAACAGTCTCGAATAATTAACATATATAAAATATCTAAACCTTACCCAGATAATAACATTGTGTTTCAAATGATACGATCACATTAATTAGTACAATACTTTTAATGTCCGTTATATAAAAAAAACGTTACACTTTAAACTTTGAATGTAATGTCTTAAAAATCACTGTGTTCCGGCTCGTGCCTGTCGATGCAATGACCTATTTAAAAATATAACTAGAGATGGGATTTATGTGCGTATCTATAATAAATGTGGGTACATCGAAATGGTTTCTATAAAATTACTAAAAAGCTAATTTAAAATCGATCGATTTAGGAAAAATGCCAACATTATGAAACCGGCAGTATGAAAAGTTGTAGATATTTGTATATTCTAGATTTTAAATTATTTAGCGATGCCATGATGTCATTTCCTTGAAGTCACTATCTTACGCAGCGAATTGTCTATGTGTCTTACACATAGTTGCAATTGTGACAAATAAAACAATAACATGATAACGATAAACAAGTACAACGTCAATGACTTGCGTAACGTAAAATAACAAAACAACTTAATGTAAATTATTTAGATTGTTTGTTTTATTTATTTATTGAAATTCTAACCGAGTCCAATTCTTATGATTCTTCAATTTTTGAGTTGATTTTAAAATATTTCATTTAAAAAAGCATTATACCGAAATACTTATCATAATGTCGTCATGTTTGATTATGTTATTACTATCCTAATCCGAAAGACAGATTTTATTCAGCCTTCTGTTCATATGTCGTGTAAGTTTTAAACGAATTAAAAATATGAATGTTTCGTACTTGTTTATTTATAATAATCGTTATTTCAAGAACTTCTTAAAAGTCTATGAAATTTAAGAAAAGTGTAGTCAGCCAAAACAACGGGCAACGTATAACGTAACGTACGTAGTAACGTAGACAAGAGAATAGTTTAAGCAACAAGATTGTATGGAAATCAAAAAAAATTATCAAAATTGGTGTAATATCCAAATAAAATTTTGTATCTATGTAAGTGGTGTCGTCTGTCGTCGTGTCGCGTCTCGGGACCTATTTTTTAGGGTTCCCATTACCTCAAAAGGAAAAAACGAAACCCTTATAGTATCACTTTGTTGCTCGTCCGTCTGCCTGTCAAGACCCTTTATCTCGGGAACTCGTGGAGATATCGAGTTGATCGAGTATATCGTATACTCAGGTCTCTTGAAGCTGTGAAAAGATACGGCCGTTTATGCCGCAAAAAAACGTTTATTTCGACACTATCAAGGGAATCAAAATTTTATAGGGTGTTTTGAGTTGGTGTTGAAGTTGACATAGAACTATAAAACTTGGCAAGTAATACCGTCTTGTACTACAAGTATAGGAAAAAATCTGAAAACTATACACTTGTAATTAAATCATAAAAAATAGGGTCTTTATGCAAGGAACGGTGGTCCAAATCTTGAATTGAGTTAACCGTGTCATGTGGGATATCGTATGAAAGAGCTTCATTGGCAAAAGCTTAAACAGATTTATAATTATTATTATGATGTATAGTTTTCGATTACAAATTTGTACGGAACCTTCGGTGTTGTCCGGTTTTTTAAATTTTAAAGCATTAAAACAATGTGGAACCAAACGTACTTTAATAAACCAATCACGTGATACGGTGACGTCCCACGTGTGTTGTTAACCTGTTCTGTGCATTTTTAGTGTTTGAGGCCTGAAATTGTATTATGTGAAAGTACATTATTTGTCAGGAATATTAATTGTGTTTTTCAACAAAAAAATAAGGTTGGTTTATGGAAGCGGCTCCATCTGTCAAATTGACTGTCAACACAGCTGTAACTTTTTTTCGAAGTGCTGAATTTTCACGCGTATAAATTAAAAGGATAAACCACTAGGGTGTAAGTTAATGAGAAATATTTTTATTCGGCTACTTCTAGAAAACAGTTTTTTTTTACGATAAAGATATGTTATGAGAATTGTGAAACTGAGCTACTTTCGCGAAGAGCAACCAATTACAAGTACTCTATTACTACTATGAATCATTAAAGTAGTTCATCCACTTTGATTGTTGGAGTTGAGATAACAAGTAAGTATCTAGCTTAGTTAGACATAGCAAAAAAAACGAACTTTGTAATCTTCGTAGATATGTAGTTAGTATATTGTAAATAATAATTCCGCATTATTAATATTTGGAGTTAAACTTCTAAAAAAGGTAAATGAGAAGAAAGATTTTAATGATAGAAGGTGTTAAAACATGTTAGGTTGTCAGTGTTACTTACATGAACAACCTTCAGCTTCAGATTTCAGCTTACAACAATGTAAGGTTGTCAGTTAATAAGATATTGATAGATATAATATCACTGACTACAAGCAACTGTCCCAATTAAAAAAACAGTTTTTATTTGCGTTTAGTAACTATTTCTTTTTGTATGTAATATAAATTTAAATATGTATATTTTTTAATTTATATTACATACAAAAATACGTCTTTTATATCAGTGCTGAAAGTCACAGGTGATCGCTATGTAGTTAATTTATCGCCAAATTTATCAAGAAGTTCTGAAGTCAAGCGACAAAATGTATAATGCAACTGAATTGTAACTTGAACTGACAACTCGTTAGTTATCAGTGTAAATTATGTTTCTCTAGCATTGCATTATTCTATTACGATGTGTCTGAGTTGACCTACGTCAACTTGCTTCTTGTTCCCGATACATTGTAATGTCAATGAACATTTTCTTTTAGAAATTAGACGCGAGTGAAATGTGAAACATAATAAATAGGGAAATACAGCAATAAATGCAGATTCTTCAGAATGCAGATGGCTTCTCAGAATCATTTATAAATTTAATAACAAAATGCAAAACTTCAGTTTTACTTTGTATCAATTACCCTGCGGTTTTTTACGTGTTTCTTAGATTGAATATCGTCGAGATTGCTGTATGTACATTGGTGCAAATGGAAAAAAAAAACAGACGGCAAACTGAAATAACTAATGGAAAAAATCAACAAAGAAAATTAAATACCAGGTTTTTGTGTTTTTGAGGCAATTTAAGACGTCTAAAGACATACAAATAAAAGATATTAAATATGCTCACAAAAACATAAAAACACAATTTTCAAAATTGCAAATAGTTCTTCATATTACTGATAGTACTCACCGTGCTGCACGTTCCACAGTAGAGAACCTTATAACAGCCGTTGGGGCATTTATTTGAACTACTTTTCCGCCACACTTCTTTGCCAAGTGCCGTAGCCGCCCTGACACGAGCTCAACTCGCTGATATATTGGCAAGTTTGTAACTTCCACTTCCACGGACACATCCTCTTCTTTGGTTTGTGGATTCAACTGTAAAGCACAATAATTATTGTATGCACATTTCTGATTTAATTGACTATTTACAGAACTAGTCTACTTTAAGGCAGAAATACCTTTGTGTTAGGATTACTTATAATCAGAGATATGCTCGATTCTGCCAGTTTACATTAAAACTACAAAAGACATTCGTTTTTTCTACAAATATATATTTTGATTTGTTTCACCGCTCTGACCAATACCAAGTAAAAATCAAGATGATAGGGTTAAAAAATCAAGTTAAGCTATGAAATTGCCGTTGTATAGGATTAGATACTTTAAATTGACATAAACCTACATGGTGTGAGATGTTCGTGTGAAACTTTTTACACATGATACCTATGAGGTTCTTCTTTTAAAATATGTGCGTTTAACATTCGATTTTTGACTTTCAATTTATTTTTTATTCAGTTTAGACGTGAAAGACGGATACTGCGAAAATCCGACTAATTTTTGAATACGAGTTCCGACGCAAAACTAACGCGGCGGAAACGGCTCGCAATATCAACGCTGCCTTTGGAGAGGAGACTGCTAATGAACGCACCTTGCATTTTTGGTTAAAACGCTTTCGTAATGGAACCTTTGACTTGAAGAACGAACGATGTGGAAGACGCTGAATTGAAGGAGATGGTGGAAGCCGATTCGAGTCAATCTATCTATCTATCAATCCCGGAACTATCGGCATGGTTTAACGTTACCCCACCTACAATATTTGCATCAAATCAATAAGATTAAAAAATATGAAAAAGGGGTGCCTCATGATTAGACTGATCTGCTGAAAGAAATGCGAGTTGAAACTTGTTGGCCTTGTTGAATCGGTACAGAAATGAAGGAATATTTGATCAAATTGTGACATGTGACGAAAAGTAGATCGTTTACGATAACCGTATGCGATAATTGCAATGGCTAACCTCAGGTCAAACGCCGCAACAGTGCCCTAAAGCAAAGCTTACCCATAAAAAGGTAATGGTAACTGTTTGGTGGTCTCTTCGTGTGTTATTTACTATAGCTTTCTCAGGTCTGGTCAGGCAATCACAGCAGATGTTTACTATTCCGAACTTGGAACAATGATGGCGAAACTGGCAGTGAAACGTTTAGATGGCAGCAATGTATACATAACGAGAGTAATTATTTTGATTGAATAAATATGTTACATCTTAGAAAGAGTTTAAATTTTTCAGTACAAATCGGCAATTTCATACTTTAACACCCAATACAATGCGAAGTAAAGAAAACATATTCCGACACGCTCGCAGGCAGCTGACTTGCACGCAAGTCTGATGTACACGAAGCTTTACGGATAATGAAACCCCGAGAAACCATGATCGGCTTAATCAACCAGTGAACCGATTATTCGGCCTTTCTACAGCAGACTAATCAGCTAGTCGGCTAGTCTAGTATATGATACTTGTGACTACTCGATCAATTACGTAAAAAAAACAATAAATAAAATTAACAGACTTATTAGCAGCCACTTGGTCTTAAAGTATTCCAATTAACTGAAAAATTACAATAAATTTGAAGTTGTTGATACAATATTGCAGGCATTTGTCTTAAATTCAATTCACGACATTATACACACAATACTCCTCTCTATATGTGACGAGGTATGTTACAATTTTTTACGAGATACGGCCAGATATTAGGGGCAACTAATCGTGACAAAGAAAAAACAGTAACAATAAATTAATCGTAAGTACTTAAATATTTTAAAGGCTATCGCACATTATGGTAATCCGCATTGCACCGCATGGTATGTATAAAATATACAATATTTAACATCATATTGGTATAATGTAAGGCATAATCGAATACAATGTACGTCTAAGTTATTTAAGATATTTCACACCAGACCAGCTCACTTTCCCCAGAGTTCGGGGAGTGGCGGGCTCTCTATAGCGGCTGTTGCTTAATTTAAGGGGTCCACTATATCAATACGATCCACGGCCCACTACGGAGCGGCGATATCGGCCAAGTCCTTAGACCTCCTCCCGCTGCCGAGCTAAGCTCAATGAAGAACAGCGGGTAGCGGCCATTTGGATCGTACGTGGATACCGCACCATCTCGTCGGAGGCGACCACAGTCCTGATACGTTTCCCACCTTTTGATAACCTTTTGGATATAGACGTGACGTCATATTCTATAACCAGACTCGTACGAATGACAGCGGGGAGGTCCAGGATTGGCCGTAAGGAAACGCACAATAGCAGCACTGCACAGCTGACTGGGGCTCCACCACATACGCTGGAGGATTGCCTCACGACTGAACCCGAAGTCCTGGTCGACCAAATCGGACGAGACCTGTCCTCGTAAGTAATCATTACTGTCATCCCGGTAGGTGAGAAGGCGAGCCGTGGGCCTCCAGGGAATGGGAACCTCTGGTGGTAGATTAGGGGCACTGCGGTAGGGGATAGCAGCGATTTGGCTGCCACTTCCACACTTTGACTGCACGGATGGCGTAGTGGTTTAAGCTGTCACCTCGCCGCTTCCTACTGCGCTGAGTGTTGTGGGTTCGATCCCCATATGGGACAACACTTTGTGTGATCCACAAATTGTTGTTCTGAGTCTGGGTGTCCTTTGTGTCCGTTTCATGTATGTTTGTAAATCAATTATGTAGTCTATCTGATGGGTGCTATGAGTGTCAAAATCTCTTTTAGAAACAGAAAAGTTTGTTAAGAAATGGATTGATGAAACTTTTGACCCTATTAGGTACCTACGTAACAAAGTACTAAACTACAACTTTATAGGTATAAGTTTGAAAGTATTTTGACAAAGTAGGAACTTCTTAAAGGCTACAAAATAATATAGTTATATTATATGGCACGTTTAGACGAAAAAATATTATTTTTCTTTAAAGACAACTCCTGCTTTAGAAATATATAGTGTTCGCCGGGGACTTTACAAACATACATGAAGAACACCCAGACTCAGAACAATTTGTAGATCACACCTTTGTGTGATGTGGGTCGCATGTGGGGCTCGAACCCACAACAGCAGTAGAAAACGGCGTGGCGGCCGCTTAAATCACTACGCCATCCGTGCAGTCATTCTTTTGTCTTCCTATTTTAAACAAATAATAAGTAATTTTTAAAAAGAGGTAAACTCCTTTACCCGGTGCAAGTGATATCGGTGACGACTGAAAACTCAGTAGTTGTCATTATCTGTTTTGACTGGATTCGTTCGTAAACGTATTTACAAGCATGTAGGAAGGCGTTAATTATAAGTTTAGACATGCCAAACTTGTAGCTGTTAGTTCTTGCGCTACTATGCATATACAATGGTGCAACCGTAATTGCCGTATAATATGTATAATTTTGATCGAACAAAATGGCTGTTGTTGCAACATTAGATCTGGATAGTTATTAAAGCTACTTCTGTACTAGACAGTAGTGTGTAGCATAAAACATATATTTAAATGAACCAGACACTAAATAGTGGTGTTAGTGTTCAGTTTAGTAATTGGCATGTAAGTAAATGAGTTCATTGGGATAATTAAGTAAATGCACATAAATGAAGCACGTTGTTTATCTTCAATATCTTAGTACTGAAGTTTATCTGTGAATGGTGTGTGTGGAATGGTGAATTATGTTCACTGTTTTATCACATGTGTGTGATGAGGTGATATATACTCTTTATATAAATTACATGTCACATGTAATTTATACTTTGACGCACTTTGATATGTTGCAAGTGGAACTGTAAATAAATTGCATTACGAATTTATAATTCTAAAATATTTTAAGATGTTATTTTAATTTACATTATATATTCAATAGGCTTCTAAAAAAGTAGATATATTATTATTATAAAGACAGGCAGGCAGTTGAAACAACTGATAAAGAAGTATCCTCAGAGATTACTATTAGTTGTCCTTCTTGGATTCAATTCCATATCTGACGAGTCGATTTTAGAATTTTTATACATGTTATGTGTGCAATTACCATATCACTTTATACAAGTACGAGTATATAAAGAAAACTAATTTGATACTTTCTTCTGATTCTGGTAAGACGTGATGCCTGCACCATGTAGAGCCCCATTACGGACGGACGTGACGGATTAAGAATACAGAGTGTCACCACCCCTATTCATCCCGTGGGTGTCGTAAGAGGCGACTAAGGGAGAAAACTACGCAGGACAACAACACTGCAGAGAGAAGTAAAACTTGAAACAAACCCTATACCAACCCGTCTGGCTAGCGTGGTATAGTAGGCCAAAACCTCCTTTCTAAGGGGAGGCCTATGTCCAGCAGTGGACTGTTAAAGGCTGTTGATGATGATGAATGTATGTTTGCCCTATCGGGCGCAGGCAGAGCTTGCGTTTATATATTATGTTCCCTTGGTGGTCGGTATGCCATAACAATTGCCGAGAGCTTTGACCTCATGTAGTCTTAAGAAAATTATTACTGTATTTATTTGTACAATGTTAGAGGTTCTGTACATACGAATGGTATGTATGTAATAAAAAATATGGCAACAGATGAAATGAAAACAACAAAATGTTCCTTCGTGTGAAACATTTGATGTTCGTCCCGTGCATCGTTGGTACGATAAACTCGGATCTCTTCATATTAAAAAACATTCAATAAGGATTTTAGTCGACAACATATTCGGATTATTGCGTATTTAGATAAAAAAAAATGTGCGCTGGAACTTTCTTCATAAATGATTTTGTGCTTCACTTGATTTTTTTGTAATTCAGCCCTAATTATAGTAATAAATATACCTGTCTGATTTAATGGATACATGTGTATTATGTTAATTTTAGTACAAAATTATTCCTAATTAATCACTAACTTTAGGATTTTTAAGTAGATACATTACGTCACTAGCTACTAAACCAAGAAGTGGTTTAGTCTTTAGTTACCCCAACTGCTGAGCCAGAGGGGAGTTCAAAGATAGATTCCTGGGTGGTCTTGGTTTAGCCAGGACAAATAATTGTGTGATGAGTACGATCATATGTCCTGAGCTTGAATGTAATTTATCCATTATATTTATGTGTTTAGTAACATATAAGTATGTTTATCAGACGTCTGGTTACCATCGTACAGGATCTGCCTAGTATGGAATCAGACGGCCGTGTGTGAAGTGTCATAGATTATAATATATTATACTTATATATTTGTAGAAGTGTGAATGTGAACACATAATTATAAAGATACATGGGACGTTCTTCTTTTCCATCGACAATGGCATGTCCCCTTAGAGAAAAATCTCGTTATTCTATCAAAATATTTTTTCTTATACAAGAGTTTTTTCACATTAAATATTTTGTCATTAAAATAATAATATTTTTATTACTGTTTTGAAAAAAAAATTGTTTTGTAACTTGTGACGAAATTGTTTTACAGAAAATAACATGTCCCTGTGAATTGCGTAATGTTAAAAGGTGATTTCGTAAATAAAGCCATACAAAAACGTTTAATACAAAATCATTTTATAAACTACTGAAACGCTGTTATTAAATTAATACTAAGAAAACAAACGTAAAATATTAATATTATTGGTCAAATAAATACTTTACTGGATGTTTCTGGATACTAAAAAACAACGAAAAGAGATGTGTGTATTATTCGAAGACTTGACAGAGTGATCAAGTAAATCACTACCTACATATATTATTGTAATTTGTTTTCTCACATAATTTGTTTCCTGGTAATTCTGTTTTTTACGCCCAGTTTTAAACATTATTCGTAATGCCGTAAATGGCAATGGTGTAGCTGACAGAGTATGAAGATATTATACGTTTAACTAACTATTATGTCGCCAGCGGACACGATATTGTTAACATTTAGTATCTATAAACGTCTTATAGGACTGCACTAAGACAAAGCATTTTAAAGTTAGCAAACACGAAATTTCCCTGAAACTCAGGGCAATAGGAATGTTATGATTAGTTAAAGACAGATTTGATCCAAATTGTCGCTAGAAAAGAAAAACGTAACAGGTATATATATATATAGATTTTACCTTTCTAGGCAATGTAGATACCAACTCATCAAAAGAGTAATGAGACGTGGCACATGCGATTAAAGCTGCCGACGTATTTCTTTTATGCACCAATATCACCTCCATATTTTTCCTAATGAAAAAAACCAAAGCACGTCAATAAAACTTTTTTTCTCGAAGAGAAAACATATAAGTACAGTTTGTAAGTTTATCAAAGATTAAACGGATTACAATTACTTTGACGAGAAAAAATAGTATAATTGGTCATCTTGGTCAAATAAAACTATAGGTGCGTGGGAGCCATGCTTCGGCACAAATGGGCCGGCTCCACAGGAATGATACCATGGCCTCACAGAAAACCAGTGTTAAGTAACTCTTTCTTTGCTTTTCATCTACTGAGTGAGGTTAACGCAGCCCAAACCCACCCTTCTCCTGATCATGAAAGGGGGGACTTAACAGTTGTTAAAGAACCTGTGACTTTTGAGTAGCAGGTGTCTCTGGGCGACGGCCGTCACTTACCATCAGGTGACCCATCTGCGCTTTTGCTTTCCTATGCCAAAACAAATACAATACCAGATTGAGGTTCCCGACGGACCAAAAGCTGTCCTAAATCTGGGGGGGAGCACACAATGAGCGACAACGCACCTGTGTTTCTTTACTTGCAGGGGACAATGACCGGCGGTAGTCACTTATCATTACGTGACCTGCCTGCTCGTTTGTCCCCTATACCATGACATAAAAAAAAAAACAAAAAAAAATTGTTAACGAGGTTAACAACCATACCAGTACTATGTCACGGACGTTTCAAGGTTGCTTTAAAAAAATGAGACCATATTATATTTAGCATACCTATAACGAAAGTCAGACAAATCAGCTGCAAAGTCAATATCTCCTGAGATCAATAATATAGTGGCGGGTGATGAATGTAAGTCACCAAACCTCCTCATGCATTGTCTGAGTTTATCATCCGCCGCGTTTTTTTGTGTCTTACAGACATGTATAAGGCTTACCTGTTAAGAAAACAAGTACATAATTTTGTTACGTACAAATAGCATCTAATGTAATTGAAATTAATGTGTATACTAATTATAACTGAAAATAAAAATAGGGTATAAAAACGAAATATTTTACACACATGTATGTATAAGTGAGCTCTCTTGAACCGGACAAAGTATGTATAAGTGAGCTCTCTTGAACCGGACAAAGTATGTATCAGTGAGCTCTCTTGAACCGGACAAAGTATTCAAATCATTAAAGATATACCTAATTTCATAAAGCACTCCACTTACTTGTGCGTCATTAAGTTCTAGAAGCTTTTGAGTGGCTTCCTTTTTCACGTCGCAAACAACTACAAAATCTGCTTCCCTCTTACCGTCCCTTACAAACTTAGAACGAATAGCCGCAACTATATCAATGGCGGAGCAGCCCCGTGGTATCTGAAAAAAATAATTGTGATTGGTATGTGGCGTTGCAAATCTGATTCTATATTGTTTTTTTTTATTATTTCGTTTGACACCGAAAGATTGCGTAAGTAAAAACAGTCACATAGTTATCTCTTATCTTACTCTACTACTTTTTTTTGACAATAAGGAAGTGTTTGATTTCTACTGTGCCAGGTCACACCTTCCTACTTAGGGCTATGGGGACAGTCGTCACATGGTGCATATCTACTCTTCGTCAAAACAAACATGGGAATTTGTTAATCAACATTATTTTTACCTGAACATTTTCAATGTCCCAAAATATTCCAATCATATGTGTTTGTCTTTGCTTCTGATGACGATAACGAGATCTCATTCTGGTTCGCTCCATACAATATATTCCATCATCCCGTGATGACCCATCAACATCATCTGAAGAGTCATCTTCGGCATCTGTCACCAAAATTTCAAGTATTAGAACAATAGTTTTACAAGTAATAATGTTCATATAGAAATATACATTAGATAGTCTTAACTAGATCTAAATAAGAAGTACGAAATTATGATGTGATTTCATTGAAATATTAATTCAATAAATTATTATTTATGAATAATAATTAATTATTTGTAATGAAGTGACCCGCCTGCTCGTCCCTCCTCTAACATAAAAAAAAAATGGATTAAAGAAGTAAAATTTACTGCACATCTTACAGCTTTTATTAAAATATTTGAGTAATCCAATTTCAAAGGTTACAAAAGTAAATGTGGCTTATTTTTTATTTTATTATATTTTACACTTATGGAACACTTCCTGAGTGTCATAACTCGGTATGTTCGTGGGCCACTGCTGTTAGTGTTGATCCTGGTGTACAGGAGTTACAGTGTGGGGTAATTAATTATACTATTATTAGGATAGGACTACACTACAGGACATTTTTAAATGCAATATTTATAGGTCCATTGTTTGTCCATAATGTTTGTTTGTAAACAAAGGTTTAAATTTGAAATTATATTTGGAGTATAAAATTATATTTTTTAGAATTTTTGGAGAGGTCAGATTATAACCGTATTATCAGCATATCCATACTTATATTTTAAATTCGAAAATATGTGTGTCTGTTACCTCTACACACTTAAACCGCTGAACGGACTTAGATGAAATTTGGTCCTGTGAATGGACATAGGATAGTTTTTTCAGAGAATTGGTTATCCCGGTAAAAAGTAGCTTATGTCCTTTCTTAAATTTCTTAAGAATCAAAGAAATTCCATACCAAATTTCATCTATTCAATGGTTATTGATACATACAAACTTCAACCCCCATAATGGATGATTTCTGGGATAAATACTATCTTATGTTCTTTCCATCTTAAACCATTTAAGTTAATTTAATTTATTCATTTTAATAATTGTTTTATTTCTAAGCAATGTAACTTCATAGCATTACTATTGCATAATAAGAATTCTAGGTTGTGTTGCGCGTTTTCCGGTTAGTATGACAAAGATTCAGCAGTCCCTTGAGGATTGTTATATCTGGATTCCATCTATCTGTATGTATATATTATTGCATGTATGGAAAATGCTACAAACAATTTATTAGTAGTTTGGCAGATCCTATAGAAAACATTAAATTGGTTAGTTACAACATACAGCAAAAGCTTGAATCAACATTCTAGACATGTGCTATGGCACATGTATAGAATGTTGATTCAAGTTTTTAAATGATATTAAACAAGATATTCAAAACTAATTATGATTGAAACTTAAACCACAGGTGATATCTACTTTATATTATTAGCTATAAATAACATCTTGTAAGGAACATTGAACCAGAAGCTGAAACATGTTTACAACTGGCATTTTTTAATCCTATATTCAAGTTATAAAAAAAAATCATCACATATAAACAGGATTTGAAATATATAAAAAAGCAATGGGAATAAGGTTAGCACCACACTAGTACCATATGTGCCCACCAGTACCACACGAGTAGTCCACTAAAAATATATCATCATTAAAGTTATATGGAATAACAAAGTTCAGAATATCAAATATTTAGATATCTGTAGCATGTTTTCTTAGTACTTGCTATGATAATCAAAAGTGTGTTGGCAAACTTGTTAGTTATCTGAATTTCCAAACAAGTAGTGACCACCTTGATCTGTATAATGCCTGTATTAAGAACATAATATAAATTCTTTGTTTTATGGTTAAAATATTATAGTTCTTATGCCATATGGTGAAAACATGACACAAGGTATAAGACAGTCCTATATTGCCCTAGTCTTTCAAAAACGGTAAAAGTCCACATTGGAGTTTACACAAAAATTATTCAGGACAATATAGAGCACACATATTACGTAGAAAGAAATAAATATCCATAAAAAGTTAAAAACAGACTTTTTGAACTTGTTTGTACAACTGCAAGATTTAGGGTTTTCAAACTCAAATACATTTGTTTATGTTTTAAGTGAAAAGAGAAATCCCACGATCAACTAAAAGATGTAATCTAGCAGTAAATCATAACTTTCACACATTATAACATGGCATTACCATTTTGCTGTAGTATCATAAGTAGGACTTTTTAAGTAGATATACTTAGGTCTTGCAAAAGAACAAAAGTAATATGGCAAAAAATTACCTGTAATCCATGGACGGGGCGGTAACGGTATTTTCATTGCAGGACTAGACACGGGACACGCAAGACCTTGAGCGGAATGACTTCTGCTCGCCTTGCTACGATTCGAGTAATTATCACAATTCGTTTTGGAAATCATCGTTCTCTTAAACACCAAATTATTACTTTTATTTATGCAACGAACAAAAGTAGTCCAACATATGTTGGCAAAATAAAAAACAAAGACTAATTTTATTTTTCTATCTGGGTGATCACAACAAACATTACTAGTATCTTATAATTAACAACTTAACAAAATGCTTAAACCTGCCGTGAGATTAGCGTCATGAATCGTCAATAATTACATGCCAAATTAATACAAAAATAAATCAATGGATTCTTAATTCTTAGAACGCCATAAGCCTACCACCTTTATCATTATCAATAGAACGAATGAATGAAATGAATTAGTGAGCGTGAGTAGGCAAGGGACAAAATTACAGTGAACTGTGAAAGACCGGTGATTTATCATTCCATTTTTCCGTACGTAGGTTAGGGTTGCTACTTACTCCTTACACGTTGTTGCCAATAAGCTGTTTTCAGACGATGCATACCGAACCTCTTTCGCATATTCAAAAGTAAATCTAGTTTTTCTTTTATCATAGCTACCATTACCTACGTAATTATTTAGGAATACTAGATTTACTGTTCAATAGCGTCTAACCTACCTACCTAGCAACCCTAACTTACGTACGCATAAATCGAATGATAAATCACAGTTCACTGTGATTTTGCCCATGTCTAGCCTTGAGCTATAGTCTATCTGTGATTTGGTTATGGAGTGTAGAGTAGAGGTAAGGAGAACCATTTTTGTGCATGAAGTCTGTCAAAATGCGAAAAATTGGGGACTATAGTCAGGGTAAATTTTAAAGAAAGCGCCGAAATGTGTTAGATTAAGATAGAAAAATAAACATGAAAAGAAAAAAAATGTGTATTTTTTTTAAGAGACAATCAACTTGTGTAAACATTACTCCGCCGATAACTATGTTCATGTTATTCTTGTCCGTCTGTCTGTGTGTCACCACCGATTTTCTGAGGTAGACCTAGCAAGTTGAAATTTATACCAGACCTAGAATTGTCAACTTTGGTTAAAAGCAAGGTGTGAGTGATCTAAAGGAATAATTCCAAAAATATAAAAAAGTTGAAAATTAAGATAAATGTTGATACTTACAAATTTTCCCGAAAATCTACGTAAAATCTGGGTAGGTAGGGAACCCTCGGCGCACGAGTTCGACTCGTACCTGACCGGTTTTTTTCCTTTTTACCTCTTTACTCTATACTCTATACTATCATAGATTTAGTACAACACAGAAAAAGAATCATAGAGATATAAGCACAGAGAGAACACGGGGTACAGCTGCCTGTATGTGGAAGCGATACAGGCCACGAGAGAGATGGATGCCCCATAATTCCCTCAGTCTCTGTTTTGCTAAGCTGGTATTGGCTATCCCGAAGTAGGTATGGTTTTAACCGCAGAACAGGAGGAAGATTAGAAATTTCTGCAGCCAACCACAGAGCTTGCCTAAAAAGAGATAGAGGGAACTATCTATTATCCATCTCTCTCGTTGCCTATATTGCAAGGTTGGGGCTCTTGTTCACTCTATGCTTATATCTTTATGGATGTACTCGAAAACGACAAACACGTGGAACCCACTCACGCCTAGGCATTACTGGCAGTCCGACACTTTATAGTCCGCATCCACTTTTTACTTACGGATGAGAGATAGATATATTGAAATAAAATAGAGGATTTTCTTATTTTTAGTAACGTTAATAAGAAATGGTAATGCTACATATTGATATAAAGACAATTTATATGCTCAAAAACTGTATTAAAGATCCATGTAAATAGATTTGTTTTTAGTATTATCGTTTTCATATTAATAGATAATCACTTCTAACTTCGCTATAAGTGTAATTTATATTCTAATCAGTTTACTCACTTTATTAAGTTTTAACACGTCTTCTTTCTTGAACATCGCACTTGATTGATATTTTGGGCAGTAGTGAATAATTTAATATTAAAATACTCTCCACTCGATATTTTAACTCCGATAAATAGCCAAGGTTGTGAATTGTGATACATAAGATCCCATTGTAAGTCAAGTTCATTTAATAAAACTAAAATCATAACTATAGAGACGACAGCATTCGCCAATTTCAACTAACATTAAAAGGCTAAATTATAAAAGAAAACTAATATAAATGATATTTATTTATGTAAGTAAATCTTCTCAGATATTTTTACAAGGCGGACTTTAAGGCTAGAAGGCGCCGCCATATTCTAAGACTCACTCTGGGAAGAAACTCACCTCTAGAGTTGTGTAGCTCCTGAATGAGTGATATAAAAGATATATATCATTCACGACGATAAAATGTATCACTCACTCACACTAGCTCCGAATATATCAGTAACTCAGTACTAGCTCACTAGATCATTAGATCACTAGCTCAACGACGCCGATCTTTGTTTCATGAGCGAGTGAGACTAAAGATAAATGAGTGAGATAGATGATGGTTGAGTTCACGCAAGTTTCTTTATGCAAAATGTACATTATTTCTATAGGATCAAAGTTTAATATTACTTAAGAATTAAGCCTGCCAAGTACAAGGAAAATCAAATTATGTATGATTTCTATTATACAACCTAAAAAAAAGTACAAGAAATAATTTCTTTTTTTAAATATTATATAAAAGGGTGTTAATAATTATGTAATCTTATCAAAATGAATAAATTTTATTAAAAAAAAAAGGTTAAGAATGTAGTTTCAAAAACTGAATTTAGGTTAATATGAAAATAAAGAAAGGTTTGTATGGCAAGAGAGGCTTAAAGTGGCTTAAAGGCTTAGATGAAGAAATAAATTAATTGAGAGACCAATCAATTGAATCGGATCAATGAGCTAGTGAGCTAAATGAGTTGGTGAGCTAAATGAGTTGGTGAGCTAAATGAGTTGGTGAGCTAAATGAGTTGGTGAGCTAAATGAGTTAGTGAGCTAAATGAGCTAGTGAGCTAGATGAGTGATATATATCTTTTGAGCGAAATGATATGTATCAATCTTTTCAGCTCAGTGATACATTTTGCGCATCACTACTCACCTCAACTCACACTGGAAACAAACCACAGAGGTGTCTGTTTTACCACAGAGTATCTCAATGTTTCAAAAACACATGGTCTCAATGTGTTAACTAATTTTAGTGTACAAGTATTACATTTTTAAATGAATAGATGTTTGTAGTTTAGTCGATTTTTTCTTCAATTTAAATCTTCAAAAGACCACTATTAACTATAAAAATCCTTTTTGTTACTTTGTAATATTTATGTCTGATAATTACCCTTAAAATGATTAGGTTTGTATTGATTTTTTACATATGTTAGAAAAATTCAATGATTTCTTACTAAAACATAAATAGGAGTTCTATGTTAGCCACAGCAAAACGTAGGAATACAAAACTGTCAAGTCAACAAGTGAAGCAAGTCATCTTGGTCATTCTATTTCGTGAATTTGCATTCCCGTGTATAATAGATTTAATAAAGTGTGTTCTTTAAGTTAAACTTATAACATTTATAATACATCGAAAGATTTAATTAATTCTTGTTTAATAATTACCTTGGATTTATTTTAGTAACAATGTCGACGAACGGTGATATTGGTGGACTTGATGCCAGCGGTAAAATAATAAAAATGGAAGTAAGTCTGCAATTATAATACTCATAAATACATTATATTTCTAGTTTTAGTTTATTTGGCCAGAACTATTAAACAAATATCTAAATGAGAAATTATTTATTCAATAGGTTCTTGTTAGTTTCAACCAATGAATGTAATCCGTTTTATTTGTACTTCTAAAAAGGATGCAGTTTGTTTAGATTATTTGTCAAGTATTTATTTTCTTTTCCAGGTAGACTACAGTACTACATGTGATGAAAAGATCCCGATTTGGAAATCAATGGCTTCTAAAGGAAGAGTTCAAGAGGCTATTGATCAGATGCTTGCCTTAGAAAAACAAACACGAACGGTTAAAATTTTTAGTTATTTATAGTCTTAAAATACTGTGTATTATAATAGATGACAGTAGGCTATATATAGTTAATATTAGGTCATAAATTTGGAAATTTATAAGTACATAACTAGTTTTCATGACACTCAAAAGTTTTTTCAAGTTTCACTAATTTTGTTTGCACAAATCAATACACAACATTATAGGCTGACTAGGCAGAGCTTGTGCTATAATTACCAGACTACTGTACTGCTGCTATATCACTATGTATAATTTCAACACAATATTGTTTGTTATATAAAAAAGTGAAAATGATAGAACCATTTATATTACTCAAAAGATACACATTATAGATTAGCTTTTGCGTGTAGCTTCGCCTGTGTGTATGTTGGTTATCACCATCTTCATACAAAATTTCTAAACGGGTTCAGTGGTAATTGATTCCCCCATACAAACTTCCACCTCCCTTTTTACTCCCTTAAAGGATGATTTCTGGGATAAAAACTATCCTATGTCCTTGCCTGGAACTCAAACTATCTCTATACCAAATTTCATCTAAATTGGTTCAGCGGTTTAAGTGTGAAGACTTAACAGACTGACAGACACACCTTTGCATTTATAATATGTGATGAATGGTTTTCACAATACTTATACTACAATACAAACTATAGTTCTGTCTTTATTTTTATCCCTTTCTGATTTTACATACATCTTGAATGTAAAATTTATTGATAAACAGAGCATAAAATTGAGTGCCTCGGTGGTTCAGGGGTAGCATATGCAATCTAGCTTTCATAGTACAAGCTCTGCCTAGTTTGGAACTAGATTGTGTTGTGTGTTAGATGTCCAAAAATACTATACAATATTATTGTTCTTAAATACAAATAACACTACATTGATGATTCTGACTGGCCTGTTTGTCTAGTAGTTATTGACCCTAACTATTAAGCTAGAGGTTATGGATTCGATTCCCACCCATGCCAAATAATTATGTGATGAACATGATCATTTGTTCTGTGATGAGGTGTAATTTATCTATAATATGTAAATTTTACCCCATACCAACCCATCTGGTCAGCTTGGTACTGGTATATGGTCTGCATAAATGTTGTATACAAAATTATGTGTTAAACAGACAAACAGAACAACAGGGCATAAAATACAAACAAAGCTACATTGATTTTTTGTTTAACTATTCATATTTTGTTTCTTTTGTAGGGAGCTGACATGGCTTCAACTGCAAGAATTTTAGTAGCAATTGTTCAAATTTGTTATGAAGCTAAAAATTGGTCTGCCCTCAATGACCAAATCATTCTTCTGTCAAAAAGGAGGTATGTAACTTTTGTAATAGCTCTTTAAACTATCTACAGTTACCGAGGGATTTTTATGAAATTATTGATGTGGGCTTGAAATTTTTAATGAAACTACTTGATTGTATAAATGTAAGTTTTTGTTCATATTCATATCAAAATGCTTACTTGTTTTTAGATCTCAACTCAAACAAGCTGTAGTAAAAATGGTCCAAGAGTGTTGTACTTATGTTGACAAGACACCAGATAAAGAGACAAAAATAAAACTGATCGAGACCCTGAGGTCCATTACTGAAGGTAAAATTTATGTTGAAGTGGAAAGAGCTAGGCTTACTCATATCCTAGCAAAGATGAGGGAGGAAGAAGGTAATGAGGCAGAAGCTGCCAAGATCATTCAAGAATTGCAAGTAGAGACATATGGCTCTATGGATAAAAGGGAAAAGGTTGAGTTAATTCTTGAGCAAATGAGATTATGTCTGGCAATTAAAGATTATGTCCGCACTCAAATTATTTCAAAGAAAATTAATACTAAGTTCTTTGAGGAAGATGACACTCAGGTAATTTTTATACAAAATATATATCCTTTAAAATTTATATATTTATCTAGAATGTTAAATTACCATTTTTTGTAATACCAACTTTCAGGAACTGAAAGAAAAATTCTATCGTCTAATGATAGCAGTGGACCAGCACAATGGGTCATATCTCTCAGTGTGCCGTCACTTCCGTGCGCTAGGCCAATCAGCCGGCTCAGACTCATTGATTGGCAGCATTGTATTCTTAATATTGGCACCTTATGACAATGAACAGGCTGATTTGACGCACAGAGTGAATGAAGATAAAGAGTTGGATAAGCAACCTGACTATAAGTAAGAATGCAACCTTTTAACCTGTTGAATAATTTAATCAATTCACACATTTGTCAATCTTGATCCTGACTGATGATGATGATGTTTCTGGGTGTAATGTATCAATAATAATTATGTATTTAAGATATTATGTCTATCAGCAATTTGGTTACTGTACTAGAGAATGCTTAGTTTGGGATCAGACAATCATGTCTACCTTAGAGAGGTAGAGAGGCTATCTGGAATGATTATTCTTACTAGTCCTATTATATATTTTTCCATAACCAGTTAAACAAAGTTCTGTTAATCAATTTCTATAGTGTTGTTTACCTGAGATTTTGTTTACACTTTCATTAGTGTAACTACAGTAACACTTAAATTATTTAATTTAACCATATCCATATCCATTAGACTCACTAGTAATAGCTATAAAATCAGAAGTCAGTGGTATTAAAGGCTGGCAATATGTTTTAGACTCCCTAAAGTTGCAGGCATTTATGGGCAGTGGCAGTCACTTTACATCAGGTGACCCGTCTGCTTGTTTGCTCCCTATATCTGAAAAAAGTACAAACTAAATACCTCATTTAACACTTTCAAATATGACAAGTTAGGGATAAATTCATCTTAGAAAGTAATTCTGAAGTAATGATAGAAGACAAAATACACATAAGCAATGTTTGTTCTTGTTTGCAGACAGCTGTTAGGTCTATTCATAAATCCAGAAATCATAAGATGGAACACTCTTTGCTCCACATATGAGAAAATGCTGCGTGCCACACCATACTTCGACTCGAGCGACGAGAAGGGACAAGAGCGATGGAATGACCTAAAAAATAGAGTTGTCGAACATGTAAGTTATCATCATAAATATCACTTTTTACCCCTTTTACACTTAATTTTTTGGTCAACACAAAGTGTTATATTGCACAGGGATTTTTGGTTTATTTCATTTCTAATAAACCCCCCAGCCCGACACCGACCTCTCTTGGGAAGTTGGGGTTGTTTGTAAGAGATTGCCTCTGAGCGATATGGCCACCATTTGTACTTTCCTACTTTAGTATTACGTTATTTATTGTGTGTACTTGATGCTTAAGTAAAATAAGTAAAAATAGGGTACGGGATTCTGCTAGTCTTAGAGGGTAAATGGGAGTGACTGCAGTAACTCGAAATGACATAAGGGCCTAGTGCAAGTTTATTTCACATCATCTCGCTTAGCGAAGATTTCAGTGCGGACCAATCGCAGCGCCGAACGTCGTCGCCGTTTCGATCGAGTAGATATGTGTGTGTAGATGTGAAATAAACTCGCACTTGGGCCTCTGGTCAGTGTGCGTCCATCATGTAAAATCAGAGGGCACCAGGACAGGACACCATCTAGCCATAAGATATGAAGATTTTTTGCTATAATATACCTATTAACTAATTCTATAGTTTAAGCCAAGTGAGCGTCAACAAATTATATATTTTTTGTCTGTTTCAGAATATTCGTATAATGTCAATGTATTACACCCGTATTACATTGAAGCGAATGAGTGAACTTCTGGGGCTAAGTGAGACCGAAACTGAAGAGGCGCTCAGTCAGTTGGTAGTCAGCAGTGTTGTACGAGCTAAAATCGATCGCCCGGCTGGTGTTGTACATTTCAGGTACATAATTGCTTATCTTATTTAATTCGCATACGTTCTTCGACGTGTACTTGGCGTTCTAGAAATTAAGAGTAAAAAATCCTAAAACACTAATTTAATGTTATTTATGATATATCTTATAAAATTCTCTTCTGTTCAAAAATGTTCTGAATGATGTGGGAAAATAGATGTAATTCAATTTTGCCATGAGTATGATTTTAATTAACGACTTTCATATTGACACAGACGAATATAAAACGTGAAAAATAACCATTCTATCTATTAAAGTGTTTCAAATCTTTAACATCATTAGTGTAAGAAAATAATTGAGGTGTACTTTTATTATATAAAGAGTGAAAGTACTTGATAACTGTACTTTCATCTAAAAAACGTATGTGGTCGATACTTGCGAAGGTCATTGTGACTAATAGTGTTTAATTTTACTTCCAGTTTGAACATGGACGCTTCGGACCGCCTCAACGAATGGTCAACCAACTTAAACTCCTTGATGCAACTCGTGAACAAGACGACGCATCTTATTAACAAAGAGGAATGTGTGCATAAACATCTTTTAGCGACTGCAGAATAAGAATCTACGTCTATAGTACGGCTGCCTACAGGATGGTTCGATTTTTGACTCAAGTCTGAATATCAAACTTCCCGCAAGCATCTTTTAAGTAGATGTAATTATTTCCGTTAACGTAAATTTATTTTGTAGTAAAAAATAATATTCTATTTCTAGTTCATTTTGTTCTTTGAAATTGGCATAGTAATATTAGCTATGATATTACATGCAAATTATTAATAAAAGTTGTAATTTGAAAACCAGGTGTTTTTATAACTCGCGACATGAGTCGCCTTGCTGCACATCGTTCTCTGGAGCCCTTAAATATATAACAAATGTAGTATACAGATAATATCTGCTTGCATACGCAATAAATTATCTATTTGTTTTTATTACTAATAAACAATTCGTTGACGGATATATTCTATATTTTAAATTAATATTTTTCATTTTATTGTAGCTGTTTTTGTAAGATTGGAATAAATGCTAATCTACTTACTTTTGTATTCTTTTGTTTATAAAATGTTAAAGTTAATAACTCTACCTATTTGCACACTACTGCGACCGGTAAACTAAACTTTAAATTTGGTTTTCATTTGGGTTTCATTTTCGAAACAAAAATTCATGATTTTTTAAACTTTTCATCATCATCATCAACAGCCTTTAACAGTCCACTGCTGGACATAGGCCTCTACTTAAAAAGGGGTTGGTATAGGGTTTTTTTTTTTTTTTTTTTTTTTTTTTTTTTTTTTTTCTTGATGGCCCGGGAGGACGACCTCCACTCGGACCCGATCCGCCGCCGGCGAACCGGGCGGCGGAGGCCCGCATATCACAGCCTCATGCCGCCCTGAGTGTGGCCGCGGGTGGACGGGGTGGGTTTCCCCTCCACCCGCATTAGTTTGGCCAGCCGCGAGGGGGCGGCGTCCGCGTGTGCCGGACGTCGCCTAAAGAGAGGAACAACATCGAGACGGAGCCCGCACCAGGAGCGGGCTGGCGCTAGGAGGGGTCCGGATGTCTTAACAACAGCTGTTCCCGGATCCCTCCTGTTACAGGCGCAGAGTGGCACACCGTGTGGTTTTAGTCGGTCCGAGTCCGACACACCACCCCGCCGCAAACCCCGGAGGGGTGACGGTCCGAGGGGATTTCCACACGTTAAAAAAAAAAAAAAAAAAACAAAAAGGGTTTGTGTCAAGTTTTCTTCGTCCTTGCAGTGCTATTGTCCTGCGTAGTTTGCTCCCTTAGTCAGCTCTTACGACACCCACGGGATGAATAGGGGTGGTGACTATCCGTATTCTTAATCCGTCACCACATGGACAAACTTTTAAACTTTTGTTAAGATCTATTCTTTTTTAATTTAGATAATGTAGTATTATTGTTTCGGTTCGGAGTGATGTAATAAATTTCTGATGTATTTTTTATTCAAGTCAAGTTTTAATCGATTAAAAAAAATGCTAGTCCAAAACAATGAACTCGTTGGTGAATTATACTCATGTTAGCTATATTATACATAAGAATTAATTATTAATATCACCGAGAACTCGAGTAATGAAAATACTGTGTATCATTAATTATACATATTTTTTTTTTGAAATTTTGAAATCAAACAACTTTAATTCTAACATTGTAAAGATGTAAAATACAGGTCATAACTATTGCCCAAAAAATTTTTACACTGATTTAGAAATAATTAATATCCTATCCTAACTCCAAATACTGCGACGAATTTGTAATGTAATGAGATGACAGTCCTCGTGTAGTAAGCTCTGTTGAGAAAATTCTGAACATTTAGAATTACTTTAAACCATTAAAAAGTAAAGTACTGTGCTACAGTTTTTATTATGAAGGTTTTAAGTGCGTTTATTTAATTGCTTATTTTTATTATTTACGAAATAAACTTGTAATACAGAAGTACTTTGCTTTTGTTAATGATTCAAATCACAACTTTATTTATCATTACTTTTGTGTATAGGTATAATGTCGAACAAAAGTAATTGAGAGAGCATTCTCACCTTAGTTATCCTAGTTGTTGCGTAACTATAAGATATCAACTTATATGATCACTTACACATAAATTATCTTACAAATTTAATTATCAAAGTCCGCTTAGATTAAAGAAGCAAGTGATTATTACTGCCGAATCATTTACTATTTAAGCATTATCAATTTTTGATAAGATTTGTTAACAAACATTTATAGGTACTTATGTAGTAATATGAATAAAATGATTCAGTTCTGATTTTTTGATTTACAACACGCACGTTTATTAATTTCAAAAATGTTGTGTTTACTGTCCATTTTAATACCAGTAGCAGTGGTTTTCTTGTTTAGAATGATAAACAAAGAAAATAAGCCCGCCATTTTTGGTGTTTATCAACAGAAGAATAAAAATTATTGTTTAAAATTTTTAATAATGTATACAGTGTTGAGGATCAGAAAGGTACGTACAAAACTTCTACTCATTAAATGATAAAAATTGCTTGTTTTATAGTCAATATAAATTAGGTATCTCCGTTCTTATATAAGTAGATCAATTTAGGGATTTTAAACACATGATGACATTTTCTTTTACATAATTTAGTCGTATACTCGTGTATATATATATTAGTCGTCGTAAGTCGTTTAAATTTAACTTACAAATTAATAACTAATATAATAAAAAATATAATTTACGGTGATGATCTACTGAGTTACATTTTTATTGTTACTACTCATAAACTTCCAAGGTTGATATACGTACGGGCAATCATGACGTGATATTTAATTTTGATTTTAGTTTTTCTATATGCTCTGATACAATAGTTTCCCACTTGTTTACCTATACTACCTACTCCTTCTTCAACAATGACTATCTCGGCGTTTTGGAGCGGTGGTGGTGACAAGGTTCATAAAAGATATATTTATATAAAACAGACCCCGAGTTCAGTAACTTTTGAATATACTGAGGAAATAGAAATTTACCATGGCAATAACATTATGTTCGGATTATCTACTTCTTGAAAGACTTGCGGCTTGAAATAGCTTAAGAAGTCTAGCTGTGCTATATACCTAGTGGATTAGCGTCGATTAATTCTATTACCTACATATTGTAAAGAGTTCAATATACGCCCAAAATCTTTAATAACGAAAACCCTGTGGTCCAGCCTCATGCAATGAGTCACGGGCTAAATACGGCCTAAATATTCGATAAGAAACTGTGACAAATGATGAATGATAAAAGTTAATCCTGCGTAGTTTTATCGTATTTTGGATAAATAAGGTTTATCACATTAAACTAAAAATAGGCGTCAGCTATAACAAGTTTTTTTGAAAGGAACTATTATAAGGAATAATTTATTCTATATGTAGGTTCTAAGTAGGTATCTTCGTTTCTTGGTTTATGAAATTGTTACTCTGCTCTCAACATTTTAATACTATATAATTTTTAATTGGGGTAGGTGCAGATTGGTATGATTATTCACTGGTAACCTTAAGCCTATGCATAAACTTACCTGCTTGTGTGTCCTCTAGCGAGGAGGAAAAGATTTTAACATAGTATGATACTCTCCAAGAAAGAAGTGTGAAGGGTTTTTAAAAAGTCCGCAAGCCGTATGCTAGTCCCCTAGGATTTTTCACAACACCGTACTAACAATATATCCACCGCACTAACAATATATCCTCTGTCGCCGGGGACATTACAATCATTTTTCACGAATCAAATCAAATCACCCAGACTCACAATAAAATTTTGTGGATCACACAAAGAGTTATATCATGTGGGAATCAAACCCAAAACACACGGTCTAGTAGGAAGCGGCGAGTCAAAATTGTATTCTATTAGCTATTCAGCAACCACAATAATACGTTAGAATATCTATTCCCAACTTCTATATTTCTAGTTAATAAATCACATGAAGCGATCGTATGCAGTAGAAGTTGGAAAAAGCGATGATGGCACAGTTCACGTTCATGAGTTCGATGCTAATTTGGAACAGAAGTTTTATCTCGCAGATTACCCTCAAGTAAGTACTTACTGATTGAAATATTATTAAGTATTTAATTTACGAAATATGATCTACGGCAGTAGATATTCATTATACTGATTAATTAAGAGCCGGCAATGTTTTCAGGCTATTGACGCGGTATACTTCAATGGTGCTTCAAGAGAGGGCGAAGCTATTATCTGTGGGCTAGCGAGGAGGCCCAAGAATATTGTTGATTCTTTTCTATATGTAAAGGTTAGTTTAATTTATATTATTATCTTAGCAATAACATCTTGGATTAAATATTAATAATTGTTAGAAAAGTATTTCGTTTTGCTTAAGAGTTTGCATTTTGCCTGGCATTAATTCTGTTTATGATTTATTTGTAGGTATATCTACATATAAAGGACGGGTTTATCGAGTAAATATATTTAGCACACATCATTGACCCAAAATATTAATCTCCAGCCTTATGGTTTCACCTATAACATATGCATTCATACGTTAGAAAGATAACATAAAATACAGTATTATTTCTGAGCTCATTTTACAATGTTGTTTTATAGGTGAAAGACCAGGAACTCCTTCTTTCTCCTAATTTACCCGACACATGGCAACAACAAAGCCTCACCGAAGAGGGTGAATATAAAATTAAGGGCCTTGAAATAGTTAATTTTATACCGATGCGGACATGGAAATTAATGTATAAGGGTGACATGAAGTGAGTAATATATATTTTAAGTAATGCTAATTTACTAAGTATCTTACCTTAACTACTATGCGTTTGTTTATATGTTACGCTTTCATTTATTTACTTCTAAACCGATCGCCATGTAAACTGAAAAGGATAGGTCTTACTTTTCATTCGAGAGCAATGTTATCATCCCGGAGAGAAAAAACTAACTTTCACGTGAGTAAAGAACTTAGCTCTGTGAGACGATTCTTCAGATCTTCGTAAAGAACCACCTTAAACGGCTCATACAAACTAAATGAAACAAAAAAAAAAGATTGTGGCGTAGCGTATTTCATATTACGTAATAATTACTTTATATTACAAGTAAAGAGCATACTCCTGCCTCCAAAACCCGTATCCGTAGACGGCTCGGTGGTAGTCACTTTCTATCATGTGATGGGCTAACGAACCTCTGCTCTTATATTTGCCCCCTATATAAAAAAAATGTTTGTATGTTTGACGTTGACTTAAAATTATTTACATCATTATTAATAATACATTTGTGTTGGAGTTTAATAAGGCTAACATGTTTTAAATGTTTGTAAATGCTTTTATCGTTACAGACCTAGAAATAATCTACAAAAAGTAGTGAAAGTAGAAATGGATTTGACTTGGAGTGCCAATTTCGCACCATTTAATTATGACACTCAGATGTCGCCTAAGAGTATGGCCAGTGACATGGCCAGGGAGAAGTGGACGAAAGGATACTTCAAGCTTCTTAAAAAGTAAGAAAGAAATTAAAACTTTAAAGTAATTTATAATAAGTTGTTTACCTACGTACCTACATATGTTGGCATGAGGATCTCATTGAAGTTTTTTTGTATAAATCAACTGATCAACATGACAGAATGGGGCAACTAACAAGGGGACCTTACGGCAATCGGATTTTTGTAATTTTTCATACTCATGGTACGTAAAGTTCAGACCCCCAATATTAAGATCCCAAAGCAGCTCGACGCCATATTCAGAAATTCTCGAGAAAATGGAGTTTGAAGTTTTCGAGCGCGCTCTTATACCATAAAGATTACACCGGTTTTCGAGCCGGGCTCGTGGTGTAGTCGGTAGCGGCCGAGACTAGTAATCGCGGGGTCGCTGGATCGAGTCTCACTCGGACCTTTTTTTTTTTTTTTTTTTTCATTTTTTTTAATTCGCATACCTCTTTCATTTAAATATTCCGATAAATTTTTGTTGTTTATAATCACATATTATTACATATAATTAATATATTATATCTATATATGTTTAATATATGTACAAAATTCATTATATTATATATTTTCTCATATATGATAATATATTATTTATATATAACAATAGGTGATTATTTATAAAAAAATAAAATGTTGTTAGTTAAATGTTGTTAGTTATAAATATTAATACTTGAAAATGTATTTTTATGATCAGGAGATAATTAAAATATGACTTGCGTTTTTCATTAAAAAAAAAAAAAGAAAAAAAAAAAAAAAAAAGTTCCGAGTGAGACTCGATCCAGCGACCCCGCGATTACTAGTCTCGGCCGCTACCGACTACACCACGAGCCCGGCTCGAAAACCGGTGTAATCTTTATGGTATAAGAGCGCGCTCGAAAACTTCAAACTCCATTTTCTCGAGAATTTCTGAATATGGCGTCGAGCTGCTTTGGGATCTTAATATTGGGGGTCTGAACTTTACGTACCATGAGTATGAAAAATTACGAAAATCCGATTGCCGTAAGGTCCCCTTGTAAGTCTTTTAATAGGTTTTTAGAAGAAAGGTAATTTTTAGCACTGTACCGAATGGCATTTTCTTTTTGTAGAGCACATCAAACTCACTACGAGCAAATGGGTTACATCAAAGGAACTGTTACCATTGACGGGAAAGATACAACCGTAAATATGCCGTGCGTTCGAGATCACAGTTTTGGTAAATTTGATTATTATTAATGTGATTAACTATCATGAAATTAATGTTGGGCAGTATACAGGTTAGGTACCTAATGTACTAAGGTACTTAAACTTAAAGTAGGAAGTACTATTACGAATGAAGATCGAAAGACCTCATCATCATCAACAGGCTTAAGTAATCCACTGCTGGACATAGCTGGCCAGACGGGTTGGTATAGGGTTTGTTTCTAGTTTTCCTTCTCTTTGCAGTCCTGCAGTAAGGCCGATGGTCGATGGCCGATGGGTAAGTAGTTGCCATTGCCAGGCTACAATACCCGTTAAACTGGGACGGTGTTCTTGGTGGATATTTACCTAACATTTTTTCAAGGCTGTGTTGTACAATCAATATTTATATATACACGGTGATTTTATAGGCGTTTTGGAAACGAAACATTTTAATTTGGAATCATCTATAGTACCAATAAAAATGGTTAAATCAATTCTAATGTTGACTAAAAAAAAGTTTCAGTTTTAATATTCATTTTTACTCGATCGACTTGGAAAGTAGTAATGCACTGGTCCATCGTTCATTATCTTATATGAATGAAACACGTCCGTGCGCGTTTCGCATCGCTGACGCTAACAGCAGCTGATAAAAGTGTACCTATAGGCGCGACCTAGCGAGTACTTACGTAGATAGACTCCAGTGTTTCCTTCATACTTTACACGGGCTTAGGACCGTCGGAAATACCTATTTTATTTAAACTTCTTTTCGATTATTAACCACGATTGTTCTTTTCACAACAAATCAATTTATCAACGGACTGTAGGTATAAATATTTCAGGCATATTTAAAAAATCGGAGTTATCTACAGAATAATTAACTTACATACATATTTACAGTTTATTTACACTATTTACACTTCTCTGTATCGAAACAACTGCTCAAAATGGAGTCCGCTGCGTTCAATACACAAACGTCCACGTTTCCTATAATTTCATTTTATATTACGAGTCAGAGAGTTGCCACAAGTTTAAAATTAGGGGATAGTTCTAAATTTTGTGTCGATAAATTCAGTTAAGGATGTTCTTATTTTTATATCAAAGTAAATACATGCTAAAATAAGGTGTTTTTTCTTTAAGGTAAATTTCGAAACTGGAGAACATTCCACCGTTATGTGTATCACTTCATATTCCTTGAGAATGGTGATAGTATGGCTATCGGTACAATATGTCAACCTTCTATTTTGTCACAGTAAGTACTTGTTAAATTTTAATCTAGCAAATACTACGTGTTGGTCGCAGTGACATCTGCGTCTATGCTCTTGCTCGGTTTGTAAAGATGATTTAAAGCCTATGTAAATGAATCTTCAGTAAAAACTGTATTGAATTTATAAAGAATCTTCTACACTAACTGATAGTTGCAGAGGCTAACACTTTTAAATAAACCAATAAGTCTTCAAATTTATTATATTAGTAATTATAGATACACTTTCCACAAAGACAAATCATTTTAACAGCCTGTAAAAGTGGTGATATGTGAGACTAGAAAAATATGCTATATTCTGATTAATCCTTGCTGCTATGATAAATACATGCATTCATATATACACTCGAGCCTATATCTCTAAAGGGGTGAGCAGGGGCGTATTAAAACGACCATATTTTGCTGACTAATTTTATTTTACCGTCAACCGGGATCTTTAGGAATTAGATTAAAAAAAAATTGCAGAATCAGAAAAAAAACTTGATTACACTTTGTATGAGATTTTGTATAAGATTCTTATATAAAGTTTGTTACTAAAGCTAACATAAAACTAGTATATGACTATTCTAAAATGTGCAAGGTTGAATATGAAACGGTAAAATCAAAATAAGTATTACAAATTCTTTTGCAAGCGGCCGAGCAAGGTGTGAAACCTGTGTTTAAGGCAGGCGCTTGACTGTGTTAGTTAAAGTTCTAATAGATTGATAATGTAAATTATTTCAGACTGGTTTGTATACACAGATGGTTTAAAATAATAAAGGGAAGGTTTAAAGTTCAATATGAAAGGAAAAGTTGCTAGAATGAAATGGCAGTGGTAGGAAAAGGGGTAAATTGAATTGGGGATATTGCTTACATTACTAGGGATTTCCTTTCTAGAATACACCTGATCCTCCGGCTATTGGCACCCTAAACGGCGTGCGGTTTTTGGTCGGTTCGAGTCCGACATAACCACCGCTGGGTGGTATAGAAAAAAGGGGATATTGCTTAAACGGATGGGTTTGGAAGTAAAATTAATAGTTCGAGTAGGTCAGGGTCACACAAGCCCGATCCTTCTGACCGGCTTATAAACACGTTGGTCTTTTTTATAACCTGATATTGATAACCTAATGGTAAGTAAATACCAACGGCTATAGATATTTGCAACTCAAAAGTCACAAGTGTCCTGCCCTTTGAGTCGCTTCCCCTAGAAACACTTTATTTGCTTTCAAGCTTTCAAGGCTTGAAAGTTTGAAAGTATGTAATTTAAATTATTATTTGTTTTAGTCTTACCATTGGTTACCTGTGCCGCCAATCAGACCAGGCAGTTTTACCAGTACAAACTTGTGATTTCCTAATGTATCAACATGGTGAAAATCAAATTTTACCCAAAGATTATGGCTTTGTCTTTGAGGCGGGTAAGTTATTTAAACTAATACAGAAATTGTCAACTAATAATTATTAGTAAAATGCACAAGAATTGAAAAGTACTAAGAAATTATATAGTTGGTTTAAAAAAGCTGGAATCAATATTTAACAGTCAATTGCAAAGTGCGAAATGATATTATACTTAGTGAGGAGTAAAATACTAAATGTCACATGCTTGTAATGAAACTAATAAATAGACACTGCAGAGAATAGGACCCGATGCAGATCAAAGGGGAGTAAAGAGAGAAGAGAAGAGAAGAAGGAAAACTATCGAGTTCATAAAACAGACAAAACAAAATGGCATTATAAGAAATATAATAACTTAAAAACATATGCTATAGCATAGTTTGTTCTTTAGAAAGCCGTATTTAAATAAATACTTTTAGTTTTTATTTTTCACCCATTTCAAAAGTTATAAATAAAGTCAAGTAGTATTTTCGTCATTATTTCGAGAAAACATCTTAGCTTCATTGGGAATATAAATGTTTAATGCATTCAAAACGTACTTACTCGCAAATTAATTTCCTGCTTCATATTAAATACACTTTTAAAATTATATTTTATAGGTAACAAGTCATACGCTGTCCGTATATTAGTCAATGATGAGGAGACTTTCTATATTGGCAAGACGAGAGAAGCGAAGTTTTATGAGCGGTGGTGTACAGTCGAGGTCAACAATGTTAAGGGTTGGGCATGCGTTGAATGGCAGTATAATAATGTACAGAGAGATAAACGTTCCTTCTAGATGATATAATAGCTACAATAATCAAATTATTTTTGTTTACGTACTGTAAATGCAGTAATTACTGAAATTGCTTCGACTGATTCAACAATAATAAACTTATGTTACCTATGCCTATGTGTCTGATTCCAAAACGTCCTCCCAAAATAATGTTTAAACATTTTTAGAATTAATGAAAATTTGTATAGTAAAATCTCCAAATGTTTGTTTTATACCTTTGTAATAAAATGAAAAATAATACTAATAACAAATGATAAAGAGAATAATATTAGGTCCTTACATATGAAATTGGCGTTTTGTACGAGTCGAAAATTAATCAAAGTATGCACCGTTGTTATCTATGCACTTTTGCCATCTCATAGGTAGTCATTGATCCCTTTACTAAAAAAAAAACATTGGGACAAGAATCAATAAACTCTTTGAAGGCGGTTTGGACTGCCGCATCGGAGTTCAATTTTTTTCCTTGTAAGAAGTCCAAATTCCGGAAAAAATGGTAATGTGTTGGAGCAAGGTCCGGGGAGTACGGTGGATGTCAAAGACATTCCAATTGTAGCTCGTCTAACTTAGTGGTTGTTTGTTGTGCAGTGTGTGGTCTTGCGTTGTCGTGAAGCAGCAGTGGCCTAGAGCGATTGACCATTTTCGGTTGTTTAGCAGCTAGTTCCTCCTTCATGGTTTGCAGTTGCTGACAATAGATATTTAATCGCTATCGCGCTAATCCACCAAACACTCACAATTAACTTTTTCTGAGTCAATTTTCGTTTAGGGCAGGATTTGTGGTCTCCAGGGTACTTTTCATCACAAGTAATGATTCGATTTAAAATACCTTCATTATTGTGTCGGTTGAGCAAAGTAACACAGCAGTCGACGCGTGTTTGCAAGTTCGATTCACTCAATTCATGAGGTACCCATCGTTCAAGTTTTTTTACTTTCCCGATTTGCTTCAAGTGAATTAATACAGTTTTATCACTTACCCCGAAGCCTGCAGCTATCTTGTAACCGCTTTACGTGTCAGGCGGACTACTCACCGGCTTACCCAGCGGAGAAATACACGAGATTACCTCAGGGCGCCTTGTCGAAAATAGAAGGGTGTGCGTGTGGGCAACCTAAGGGACTCCTCAGAGAAAGACAACTTACACCTCAGTCATACATACATGTATATTTCAAATAAATACAGAGTTACAATAAAAAAAACATAAAATTGTGGGTATATAAAAAAAAACCCGCAGCGGCGCGCGTCAAGGCCGAGCTGATGCTGCTCGGAGCCTCCTCGTCATCAATCCAGCAGGCCACTTCCACACCAGCCCGAGTCGGCTATTTATATTAGGTATAATGGAAGGTTCAATATTTATATTAATTACATTAACAAGAATTACGTAACCCTTGAATAAGGCTGACCGCTTGCTTGGTGAGCCGCGTGACTGCCAGTTTACCAGAGGGTACTGAGAAGCTCGATTACGCACCAGAAGGCCACAAACGAAAGAGCACGCCGTCTGAGATTGTTTGTCTTGACCCGAAATCTGGAGCCCACTGGCGTGGGTACTTAGAACAAAAAAAAAATACTAAAATGAAATTACCAGACAAACAAAATACTACTTAAGATCGGAAGACTAGAATCACCAGAGTGTCCCCTGTGGCTGAAAGCCGGACTTATATATGCTCGGTTTGTGAAATTTCTAGAAAGAATCCCTTCTTTATCATTATAAATTTTCATTCAAATTATCATCGAGGTTAACACGACTCAATTCAACAGTAACTCGCTTCCTACCATAACAGGACACTTTTAACACCAATACAATTTGTCAGGATAAATTATTACTATGACTTACCAATAAAACAACGCCATCTAGTGGTCCGATGGCGGACGAAGAACATCAATACTATAGTTACAATCTACTTTGGATAAATCAATAAATGCGACGCGGGGCAATAGGTGTCACTGTTTACAACTCCGTACGCAATTACAACTATAATAAAAAATAACTGTTACAATCTCTGAAGTGCTTTGTGATGGATCCCGCTTCCACGATAGCCTTTAATTCTTCATTTTCCACTTTGGCCTCCGGCCGTCCACAGGGTTGGTTCTGAAGGTCGAAATTTCCAGAACAAACGCGTTGACACCAAAAACGTCATTAATCCTTCGAGCTGTTTCTGTAGCACTGGAACGGTAGAACTCGTATTCTTAAATATACCGATATTTCAGGTTTTCCATTGTGCGGTAATAAGCGTCGCCAAAGAAAAAAATAATAAGGAAAAAACAAATGAATGACTGTTTTCAAAACTCAAATGTACCAGCTAAATGAATTTATAAATTTGAATTTGGAATTCTTAACCAAAGAGGAGATATTTCAGATCAAAGTGGTCAGTACGACAAAACGCAAATTTCATATGTATGGACCTAATAATAATATTTGCGGACATTTGACAAATAATAACAAAATAGATTTTCAATTTCATTTTTCTTTAATTTTATTATCTAATTTGAGGTGTGACATTCTGTTTTTCGGCAGATCATGAAACTTAAGAGGTAACCAGGGTCTAGCGTGGTTCTCGGGTTATTTACTTTAACTCATTATATTATGGAGAGTAGGTAGAGCATTTTGGGCCGAAAGTCCAAAAAAAGAAATTTTTTATATAAAATTCTCGTGTCACAATGTTAGTTACCATACTCCTCCGAAACGGCTGGACCGATTTTTATGAAATTTTGTGTTCACATCGGGTAGGTCTGAGAATCGGCCAATATCTATTTTTCATGCCCGTAAATGACAAGGGTGACCCACCCGTAATTTTTTTTTTCAATATTACCTAGATATATGGCAAAACAACGTTTGCCGGGTCTGCTAGTATAATAATATATTTTGTGCATTTTCACAGCCATTGTTATAGTGATAAGATCTTAGTGAGAGACTTAGTGTTACGGTTCAGACCTTTTGTACCGCAAAATTTCCTTCTTGTTTGTAATACAAGTTAACGAAAAAAAACTTAAAGACAAGTCTTGTAATAAAAGTTCAGCTACAATTCAGTTTCGCTCAACTCTCGATCTCACTATTGTCATAAAAGGTGTTTTCATAGTAAAGTATTTCTAAGATTATCGATCCAATTTTTTGGTTACAATACGATATAATCACATTACAGTCAACGTTGGATGTTTAATACTTTACTACGAAAATACCTTTTATATATATATTTTTACATACATACAAAATACTTTTTATATATTGCTGTTATGAGATCGAGTTCATCGGATCTGAATTGTGGAAAAGAGAAGGAAAACTTGACACAAACTCTATACCAACCCGTCGGGCCAGCGTGGCATAGTTGCCCAAAACCTCCTTTCTAAGGAGAGGCCTATGTCCAGCAGTGGACTATTAAAGGCTGTTGATGATGATAAATTGTTGCCGAACTTTTATTACGAGAATTATTGACTTTCTGGTATCAGACAATCCTCTTGTCATATCCTACTACGTCGAAATTGCTTTTTAAGCTTGCGTGAGTAGATTGTTTTTTTTCTACGACTAAGTAATTAAAGAAATAGGAAGTAGGTTACTCAATAAATATATCAATTTAGCGAAGAAAATTAACTGTATTTAGCGTAACATTTGTTGTCTTACATTAGGTACAACTTAAGATTATCTATAAAACATGGACTAGCAATATACATAATGACAATACAATAAAATTACTTTATTCAATATACCTAAATTATAATTGTTCATAAAGGTAGTAGGTGACCAAAGACAATGTGATGATTCTAATTTTAAATATTATTCTATTGGAAATGTTTTTTTGCATATGGTAATCATTTGTACTAAACAATTGCTGGCTCCACCTGCAATTGCGCAGTTAAGAACTTAAAAATCGAATTAAAACTTTCCAATAAACGTTTAAATGTAAATTAAATGTTTAAGCTGTTTTTCAACTCAAAAACATTTGACGGATATTTTTTTACTAAATTATTATTTGTAAATATGGTCATTGGCTATTTTACCTCAGTTTAGCCACCTACTATAAAGTTAAAATGTTACAATAACACCATCTTTATATTTTTACTATCATTATATTAAACAATATCGTACAAAATAAATACTGCTAGTAATATTACCCCTTTTCTTTAAACGGTGTATACACGTTTGATAAACACTTTAAAGAGATGAAGGTGATTCAAACAGAGTTTATTTAAATCCAGCATATATTGAATGTCCAGTATAAATAAAAATCTTATTCATGAAGAAACATATATTTTAAAGCTACAATATTTGTAATATACGTATAGCAAATATACTGAGGCAATAGAGGTTAAATTATCCATACTATTGTGGTGGTTATCCGGAGGAAAACGCCCTCTACATTCAAGTGGATTGCTCTGTGATCCCTCGTTAGAGACCATAGATTCGTTCACTGTATTCCGCTTCTTTTCGGGAAGAAAAAGGTGGCGGACGAGAACGAGAGGGTCAAGCACCGTTTCGTCTCGATTGGAAAATATATTATTTGTAAATTTGCATAACATAAACAAAATAAAATATTAGCTAAAGTACTTTAGCCTGAATAATGACTCTTGTAAGTAGTTCAGTTTTGGTAAAAATTTTCCCCTCCTCTTTGGTAAAAATATTTGCAAGTCATTAAACGATAATAAATCAAATGTACTCATAAAATAATGTCTGTATTTTCGAATAGCAAATGAAAGACCAATGAGTTATATTTTTCAAGTGGTTTTTGCTATACCTACACGCAATTAGTTTTTTTGTTTAGGTATCACAGTCTCCATCGAGTCAAAAAAGGTTAAAAAACCTAGGTTAAATGCTACATTCCATGGGGTAACAAATGTATAATATTATTTCAGTTTATTTATCGACTTTACCGGTTTCCAATTAAATAAGTAAATCAAACGTGTATAGGTCAAGAAAATAATTCTGTTGGTATAAAATCTTTATGAAACATTGTTTTGTACTAAACATCAATAATTCTTTCTAAGACTACATTATTTTTAAATATTATTAAACCAAAAAGTGGGAATTGAATAAAAAGTGATTTTATTATTTGTGCAACATCAAATTTAGTAAATACTTCAGCAAAAAAGCTGACATAGGTTATATATGTAGCGTTAGTAGGCACTAAAGAGTAAATTAATAACAAATTTAAAACAGTATAGTATATAAATGGTTACATAAAACACATGGATACGACATGAGTACAGTTACAAACACAGAATCACAGTGGTCGTGAACAGTCATGACCACAGGGTACAGACCCTGGTACAGTATTTCGAAGTTGAAGAATATATTTACTAGGATTGATTTAACATAAAAGGATAACGTAAAACGAATTTATTAAAGTTTTATTTAATTAATAGCATATTTATTAAAGCTAATAAACATTTTGATGGATTCTGATAGACCTATCAGAGTAAGACTCCCCTTGGGCTCAATTTTCTAGTGACACTCAATTCATTACATTTCCACAACATGCATTTTTTAAATTTTAAACCAATGACCCCATTGGGTCTAGACTAGTATACATATTATGTAGACTTACTTACGACTATTTATCCGATTTCTAAAATCCTTGTTCCCGGGAGTCGAACAGAAGACTTGGTTTGGTAAATATTTAATACTAAAAAATTTGCAAATTTGTCGACATAAAAATACCTTTTGTAATGACAAAATATGGATTGCTGTCGAATCAATTTCGTAATACTGTACGGTTTTACATTGTAATAAGTACAATGGAGCCTAATTTAGGGTTACTGCAATTTTAATTAAATATTATCATGTTAAGTACAAGTTATGGAAGACAGACTGATTTACTATAATTGCCGAAGACAACATGAATTTTGACTGGTCTAATGAGAGAATAATTAATTTCGAATATCGAATGAAAGGTTACTTGAATGTATATGCGTATTTGGAGTCTAGCAACCTCGGCTAGAATTATATACGACCGATCTTGAACACTATCGCTGCGAAACCGAGGGTTATTATTTAACGGTTTGAAAATCGAAGCATAAAGGCATGAGTATTTACAACTCTATTGATGATGATGACCCTATTGATTGATGATCTTGAAGATCTATACTACTAGCATAATAAAGATGGCAATAACGGTTTTTAAATGGATACGGATAGATACTTTTGGCAGTTCTTTTTTGTCTAGGAATAAAAAAGATAATTTTAACCGCTGATAAAATAGTGTAAATTAAACACTAAAGACTATCCCTGACATACCAAATACTTATAATAAAATTGGTTTAGTTGAAAAAAATGATTTTGGTTTTAAAAGGGTTCATTATGTTGTTTAATGTTGGCAAAGTATTAAGTATAATATATCAATATTATACATTTATTCAGTTCACCTAAGTCAGATAATTGACAATACAAATTCTAACTCTAGGCAAACTAGACAGTTAAATTTAAAATTTTCATCTATCTGACCAAATCTGATCAAAAATATTTATAAACACCCAAACCTTTTATACACTTTCTGTTACATATTTTAAATAGGTGTAACATCAAATCTGCTACAACATTCTAAATCTTTTTTTCGCCATCGATCTAACATCGGCGCATTTTTATACTATTCTTTGAAAGTACAAATATTATTGGAAAAAAATATTATTATTATTATTTCAAATATTATTTTTATTATTGGTCATTGAGAATTTTGTATACATACGAAAAATTGTGACACTACACTTGGCAGTATTTTGGCGCCAAAAGACAAGTCACACTCTTCACCCGCCTTTACTAAGAAACGTTAAAGAAGGTTTCTCTATAATCAAATAAGCTGTAGAAAAGTATTCTTGATTAAAAAATATTTTAGTGTAATAAAAAATACTATACCTAAATTAAATTTATTACGTAAAAACATGTGTCAGAGAAATCTTATATTTACTGCGTTTCTTAGTAAAGGGGATACAATATTAAGTACATGATTACAAGATTATACAACACATTTTTTTTTTCATTTTCGTGTTTTCTGATATTTTATATTAAATACATACAGTACGAACGGCTTGTATTGTTAAGTACAACTAAAATTTAATATTAACCAGTTAGATCGTAGAACAGAAACACATTAAAATTTAAATTATATTTTTTGAATGTCTTTTCTTTTTTCAAAAAGAGGACGAATTATTGGAGGTCGTCTTATAAATATTTACAATACATCTCTGAAGCGAAAATTACAATAAACCGTTACAATCAACAATTGTTTATTGAAATTATTTGACCTTAAACCTAAAGTACAATTTAGTCATATTATGATGTTGTTGGCTTATAACTTGATTCATATCAGTTCAGTGTACTTCTAGCTTTGATATTTAACTTTAAAACATGTATGAAGTTTTTACAACTTGTTGGGAACATCTGTAGGGGTTGTACATATATACTCGTTCAATAATTTCAGTATTTTGGGATATTGTAGTTTGTGGCATGTTTAAACGTATGTATATTTACATCGCATTCGTTTATATGTTAAACACCAATTTGTCGTCGAAACCTGGATCGTGACTAACGATATTGACCTACAGAGTCTTAACGAATTGATCTCATAATGGGACATTATTGTGGAACCATAGATAAATAAGTCTAGATAGATCTTTGTCCAATAAATGGTTGTCATATATTAAAACTAAAGATTTCATCAATCCGGGTCTATTCGGGCAATTCCTAGACTGACGTACGATTTATTCTAGACATATTTATCTTAGTCCCGTTGTAACGACAACAGAATAGACATCATCAGACTAGACTAATCACAGCACCTAATTAACATAGATTTATTATTTCAGTGGAAATGTTAAACATTTCACAAGACGGTTCATAACACAGTGATATAAGGCAGGAAATATTTTAATTAAGTACTGTTTTAGAATTTTACGATACATAGATATCTACGAACGTTATAACTTCATTTATGTAAAAGCTCATCATCCTTAACGGCATTTAGCCGTGATATGGAAACAATAGTTAATAAAGAACTTATTGCTAAGCTACACACAAACAACAATACTTTCTAAGCACAACAATAATAATGGATAAAATCTAGTCATTCACGAATGCGCGTTATGTTTCTAGAGAGGACTTGTATACACTTTTATATAAATTTTCAAGTAGCATTATGCTCACAGCACAGACAGAAATAACTAGACGCGCAGTCATGATGTGTTAAACATAGCTATTAAATACATTGAAGCTAATCATTAATATAATATGTAAATATTAAAAATAAAATAATAAACATTATTGTTTAGAATACTGATGGAATTTCTTTATGACTAGATATGTCTTTTTCCTTTACAGCGTGAGCGTTATCAAACATACTAAGCACTATACAAAACTATAAGTATAGCTAGCTTTTTCTAATATATGCACTCGAGTCCACTTTAATAACTTATAATAAAAAAATATAAAATATTAAAATTTGTAAACAATAAAATATAACAACAAAAATAAAAACCTCTTTGGTAAACTCAATACTTCAAGGTACACTTTAAAGTGATAAAAAAATAAAAATATACTTTATGTAGCATCATTCCTGAAGCTATACAGTAGGTACAACTCATCCAAAATTTAAGCAAGTCTTGGACTTGGTATTTTTTTTTGTCAATTCCATCTTAAACGAAAAATAACTAGCTAAACGCTAATTAGTTTTTCAGATCTTGGTATGAATAACATGATAAGACAATATATAGCAGGCAATATATAGACAGGAGCATATAATTTTAGAAAGTTTTTTTGTGATTTACATTTCTTAAATAACACGATGACAAAACGACTAAGACGACATTCAATCCATAGATAATTTGGATGAGTTGTATACAAAATGTTATTTCTAACCATTGAACATGTTGACAAGTTACTACAGTTTCCAAACATGACAGTATCGAGACAAACGACAATTTTTGTACAATAACATTAACGCACGAACATATAGTTCGTAAGTTAATGTTATTGAACGTTGCACACCGCAGACGTGCCCGGCGCGTGGTCGAGCAACGCTCTCCGCCGTTTGATACCTTCTACGTACACTTCTCGATTGAACAAGCCCGCTGCAAGTGGTACGCTGGGAAAGAGTCACTGTCATATTTTAAATTGACTCAATTCTGTTGTGTAGAGTACGCGATATCTTCGCCAATTTCACCGTGTGTGATGAACCGATTTCAATAATTATTTTAGGTAAGTTATTCCTAAGGTTTGTCCTATTGGCATCTCTATGCAAATTCATATTATTGCGGTCCTCGTGCACTTGAGCCGCGTGACGCCATGTGTATAAAGTAGCGGCACTAATCGAATGTTCCATTAGAAATTCGGACATTTACTGGAGTAATGTCGCACTGGAGCAATCGGGCTATTACGAAATTTATTCTCAAAATTCATTAACATTCCAGCACTTTCTATGTGATAACTATAAATACCCACTACGAATTGGTGTAGAGACGTTCTAGATCTGCTATACAGCGAATAAATAAGTGAGAAGAATAGCGAATATCGGTAAGAATTGTTGTTAATTGTTGATTATTTTATTTCTTGCTATTATTTTATTTTAATTTAAATAAATTAGATCTAATTACGAATTTTAGCTCTTAAAAATACGATTGAACTGTGACTGTGGTATCCAATAACATTAGTTAAGTTTACATTTGGTTATAAAGACAAGTATAAAGTAGAATAAAATATATTACTTATTTAAGAATTTAACTAATAATGGTCATTTATGTTTCTGAAAGCAACGTGTTAGATAAGTGACTAGGAATAAAGCAAATAATACTTACACATCAGTTCCGGGTCTCAGCATGGTAGAAAACAGCGCCCACACCGGTTTATGGTCGCTCGTACATATTGAATGTACTGAGTTATAGGCTAAACATCTAATGCCGGATGAAGTTGGAACCCCACTAACGCGTCGCAACCCTACAATAAATTTAGCAGAATAGTTATCTCGAGAGGACAGTTTTTGTAACATAGACTCGCCGAATTTAGTTCAGCGTGTTAAGATGAAAAAAAAACGGACAAGTGCGAGTCGGACTCGCCCACCGAGGGTTCTGTACAAATTTGTATTTCATAAAAATAAATAAAAATCTGTTTAAGCTTGTGCCACTGAAACCCTTTCCTTTTGAATACATGACACGGTGAACTCAATTCAAAATTTGGACCGCCGTTCTTTGCTTAAAGGCCCTGTCTTTTTATGATTTAATTACAAGTATAGTTAGAGATTTTGCCCTATACTTGTAGTATAAGACGGTATTACTTGCCAAATTTCATAGTTGTAGGTCAACGGAAAATACCTTATAAAGCTTGATTCGTTTGAGAGTTTCGAAATATACGTGTTTTGCGGCATAAACGGACGTATCTTTTTTTAATGTTAACTTAGAATTATATTCTTACAGCTTCAAGAGACTGTAGACCTGAGTATACAGTTTTAATTTCAACTTGAAACCTCCACGTGTTACCGAGATAAAGGGTCTCGACAGACAGACAGACAGATGGACGGACAACAAAGTGATCCTATAAGGGTGCCGTTTTTTTTCCTTTTGAGGTACGGAACCCTAAAAAAAGTAGTAGCACTCCGAGAGTGCCGACAGAAGTGAAAATTTGTTTTTATTTATTATAACAGGAATGTTTTTTAGTTGTTTCGATTCGAAAAGTTCCGACATGAATACCTATATGTCTATGTCGTACGTATATACACAATATATGTTAATATTATATATAGTTTTATTATCAATGTATTGCAACCCAAACTCAACTCTCGTGTAAACGGGGCCAATATATGTAGATACTTATATACAGAGGTGTCGGTAACGGTAACAGTGTCGCAAGTTCAATGGTTTTCTTCCATCTCAAAAAATACATTCTTTGTTTGTTGTTTAAAATTCCCAACGTCCCTAAAGAAGGTTTCACTTCATAAAGTTAGTTTCGAAGTTGAACGAATTGTTTTTTAATTTATATGAACAAATGAACCGTATGAATGAATGAATGTAATTACCGCCGCCCATAGACACATACAACTTAAGTCACAACTGCATAGCCGACCATTGATTGTCTCTCAAACAATTATGGGGATGGTCTGCCGATGCCCACACTCACTCGGTGAAATTTATTTATTTATTTATTTTCTTTAAAAAATTTTACAGGCTTAGCCCAAAAGAAAAAAAAAGAAATGAAAGAATTCATTACAACAGTTTCCTTCGAGGCTGTAATTATCACTCAGGTCAAGCCAACCCATGTGCCGAAGCATAGCCATCCCACTTTTGGTGTAGTGTTATGTCCAGAAGGTCTACTTTCATATAACAACAAAACAATCAATAATCGTTTTCCAAATGTAAACACGTCTTGTTATTTTTCAAAATAAGATAAGAGTGTTAGTGTATTTCTTACCTGAGAAAGGATTTGATGGATTGCTCGTCATAGATCGAGCTTTAAACAATATTCTGTCTGTGTACGCCGGCGCTCGTTGTTTGCTAGACGTGTCGAATTGTTGACTGCCTGGATCGTACTGAAAATTGTTTATAAAAAATAACAAGTTACTAATTAAAAATTGTGAATACACAACGGCCCTCCATCAAATTAATTTCGCGCCATAGAGCCGTTACTATTTTGAGTGAGTATGAATTAAAATATCATGATGATTTCGAGATGATGTAAATATTTTAATAATGCCTGATACATCCAAATTTGTTTAGGCCTTTAAAAAATTACAATAGAATAACGAAACTCACTTGAATACATACATACAGATTAAAATTAATTTCTTCGTTATAACTAACGAAATGCGTGGAATCAAGTCGCGTCAAATAAGATTTGTATGGTTTACATCATAGACAACACTCAGATATTCGCTTGACAAACGGTACTCCATCCTTTTTTAGTATAAACACGTGTATAAAACACTTTTTAAACATGACATAGTTTTATTCTAATTTTTACCTTGTACGTTGGTGGGAAAGTGATGGGAGCTTCTCGAAAGTCCCTGAATGCAGCGCCATCTTCTAAAACTGCTGTAAGCTGGTCAGCATGTAGAAGCCCGTGCGGCAAGTGGTGAGGTAATGGAAACTGAACAAAATGATAAGTACTTAGTTCATTCCCAAAAATTTTTTGTTTGAAATAGTAAATGCAAGTTACCGTATATTATTATTCCAACATCTTTCCTGTAATCTGTTAGATTGATTTTGTGAAAAGTGACGGAAGTATGTGACAGATGCCGAGGAAGTGCGCGCTATTTGATCTGACTAATAGGCGTGTTGCTAGAGTTGGCCGTCAGAAGTTACGTCAAATGTCAGATATTACATAATTACAGAAAATGCGAGATTTACAGTAATCGCATAGGCAGAACTTGTAGACCATACTACTGATTAAAAATGAATGGGAATATACTGCAATGGATGGATCGGAATATGAATATGGTAATGGGAATATATTATTCATAATATACAGTTCATCAGAAACCTAAAATGTTTATAAGATCATAATAATATGTAATATATAATTTTAACCAAGTCAAAATTGGAATCGAGATACAATTTCTACCTAAAAAATATCAAGAAATTTAATCGTATAAAAATTCATATATATAATATTTTTTTCTAAATAATGGAGCACAAAGTACCTCCGTCTGTTCGATCCATCTCAAAACGGCTGCTCTAGGTTCGCCTAATCTGAAGTTCAGGTCACCACACCAAAACACATAATCAAAATTATTTGTAACATCTGTAAAAGAATAAAGTTAGATCAATAAATAATTAAATATTACTATATTAAAATTGCTCCGTCTCAGGGACCCGCCGCAGACGTTCGCGCGGTGACTCATCAGCCAGTGCCAGCGGCAGATTACTGAACTTCGATTCAATAAACGGGCTTATTCACATCAACAGCCTTTAATAGTTTCATAGGCCTCCACTTAGAAAGAAGGTTTTGGCCTACTATATCACGCTGGCCTGACGAGTTGGTATAGGGTTTGTGTCAAGTTTTCCTTTTATGTGCAGTGCTGTTGTCCTGCGTAGTTAGCTTTCTTAGTCGGCTCTTACGACACCCACGGGATGAATAGGGGTGGCGACACTCCGTATTCTTAATCCGTCACCACACGGACTTATTGGCTGTCGTTTTTTTACAAGTCGTCGTTTCACTACGTAATAATTTCTTCAGCTTTTCATCGTCACGACTGTACATGTACAACGTTGAAATGGACTTAGCGACACTGAATAATCCAGACTCCGTAGGCGCCCGTTAAAAACAGTTTGAAGCCTTAGAATACTATTTACAGTTTACCATAATGTAATGATTATTCATTACATTCATATTCATATATTCATTACATTCATATACGTATTTATTAAAAAAAAAAAACTATCTGTAATCTGTTACGTGTTTCGTGATAATTATATTGTAACAGATTAAACTGCCGATAAGTTTTTTATCACAGTATAACACTGACGTCCGTGGCATTATCAATTAAAAAAATATCAACACATTCATATTATGTACTTTACTTGCTCTTTTGATTATTACTGATGGCTTGTGCTGCCATGCCCTAATTTCCGTTTAAATATAATTCAATGTTTGGGAATGGGAATGGGATTTTAATAACAATAAATAATTTGATCGTTGTTGGTGAACCGAATTATGCCAATGTTATTAAAATGGATTTATATTTGTTGTGTCATTCTCAAGGAAGTAACTCTACTTTTGTGTCCTCTTGTACCACTTCACCACCTTGGCAGTGATGAATTTGGGGTTTACGCTGGAGTTTGGATTTCAAAAATAACGACTTTTTCTTTTTCTTTTCTAACAAACGTGAGGTCATAACCAGCATTGCCTTTCTGTTCAATATTAAATATCAAAGATTTATGATCGTCTAATTTCGTCAATATTTTCGCAAACCAGCGATCTGCTAAATTTTGGGCTTATCATGTTCTAGCGTTTTTGAAATTGTGTCTTGTCTCCATCCTATCTTAGAATTAATGCCGTAAACAAAAATAAAAGTATTCTTTTTCGTTAATAAAGTACATAAAAAATATACAAACCTTTACTTTTATGTCTACACGGTAAATTTTTCGGTAACTCTATCGACCTTATGATTCTCTTAATATCAGATACTCTTTCCTTTACTTTTTCTTGGTGGGCAGTTAAATGTGCGGTTACAAATAAATATGTTGATCCAAATAATGCAAAAGAAATGGCCACAGCTCCTTTAGTTCGAAACGCAGTACCGGGTCTAACGGATAGACTGGCATCTTCAGGAAGTGAACAAAACCAAATTAAATCTCTTCTTATGAATATCATCAAGTGTATAGTTCCTGAAAAAATAAATGCATGATAAGTAGGCGAAAGTGCAGCCACGAGTATTCTTACAATAATGGGAATGCGACATAGGATTAGGGAGGAGATTGGTATTGTTCAAGAATAATAGAGAACTTAGAATAATAACACCTAGAAACCGCGAACACGCACGATAAGTGAGGCAAGTAAAAATAAGGCATTTTTGCTCAGTAACCGAACCGCCGGCGTCAGTGCAGTGCTCAAGGTCAAGTTGTAGTGCTAACAGCACTCGTAATTTTATTTCAAAATGACAGTTTGTGCAATAAACAGGTTTCACAGTACATCGAAAAAGGATAATAAACATTGTAACTTAACATTCCACCTACGTATAAGTATGTATAAGAGAGAGTAGATGTAAAACAACCTATTTGGGTTTTAAATATAATGTTGCCGTTTTAAACCCCAAATAAGTCGTTTTAAACGGTTGAAAACTCAAATACAAAAATAAAAGAACAGTGTTTTACACTTCATTGTGGGCAATTTTTTGGTCACCTGACGTCATGTTTTGTTTTAATTAGTTTATAGAAAATCAGTAGAAACTTCCAACCTACCTTACTATTATTACCTACTACACGAAAACTTAAGTATGTAGGTCTACCTAACGATACTTATTTATTATATTATATGACACACACTAGATTAGAAGACATAAACCGTCCGTACAAAGAGACAACGTTGTCTTCAAGTCTGGTCGGCCAGGCCTTGTTCTTTCATGAGCCTTAGAGAGGGTAACTTGAGGGATTCAGTCTCGTAGTAGGCATTGCATTAACATCGAGCCTTCGATGAGGTATTTGGGACTCGTACTAGGTCGGGATCGTGTGACTCGAGAAATCGAGGACCAAAAATCCCAATTTCTGCCAGGTCCTCATGGAGGAGTAGGTCATTATAGCGTTGGGTAAGTCCTGTTATGGAGGATTAGCTCGAGAAGAAACACGGGGTCCTGTCATAACGGCTAACGAAGGAGATCTTCTGTGTCTGGGCGTAAAATAATACAATTTATATCTCGTTTAGAATTCTACGAAGGTTTATAAATTTCCTACGAAATTTATACATTTGCGGTTCTTTTTATTTTCCGGTGATATATATATGATTTCTCGAACCATTCTTCTTACGTAAGATTCAATGTCGTTTTTTCAAAATAATAAAATGTTGTTAGAAAAGAAACAGTTACCTACACTAAAAGTCACAGTTTAACGTAAATAAAAGATTTTAATTTTTTAGTACCTAGATAATTAAGGTTATGCTTTATCATTGCTATCAGATAAAGATTATCTTTATATTATTAGATAACTATCTAGTCTTTGGAATACATATTGTTATAAATGAAAGTGAGTTTTTAAATAATTTTAAAGTGAACAAACATAAATCATTTAAAAATCTTTAAACGAGTAACTCTTGAAATAATGATGGACTAGTTTTAAATTACTCTTAAAGAAAACAAATTTCACAGTAAAAGCTCATACGCGGGAAGAAATTACTATAATATAATTATTATTTATGCCATTTAAAATTGATGATATTTAAGACTTTAAAATGTCTACTTTAAACTATACATGCCCTTATCTTGGTTCGAGGGATCCACCAAGATAAGGGCATGTATAGTTTTCTTAAACCCCCCTCCCCCCCACCCTGGGGACTCTTACGTAATTAATGAATGGCCCCTAATGACCTAAGGAAGAAGCAGTTCTAATTTCCCAATACTTTTGGGGAAAATCTGATTGAAGGTACATACAACGCGCGGTCGAGCAACGCACACGCTGACATCGTTCATGGACACGATATCTCGGAACGGTTGGGGACAGTGCGAGCGCGAGTGAAGGGTAGCCCCGTTGTATACATGCTTGGCGTTCGAAGACGACAACATAGACTCCTGTGCTATCCGCCTACGTGGCGCTCTCCCCAAGCTGACAATAGCCCCACTGCTATAGCAATAAGGCTTATCAATGAGTTTCTTCAGTGTAGTCTAGATGCAGATTTATTTTATGACTCTCAAAGCAAAAATTTAAAACATATTTATCTAAATGTTGAAGAGTAATTTCATAGTTGATGTAAGGTTGTTTTTTTTTTTGCAAATTTTATGTTATTTCTTCTTGTTGGTCTGGGTTTTGCAATCGTTATAGTATTTTTTATTTTTTTATGGAGTAGGGGGCAAACGAGCAGACGGGTCACCTGCTGGAAAGCGACTACCGCCGCCCATGACGCCTGCAACTCAGGAGTCAGCGCGTTGCCAACCTTTGAGGAAGGAGTACGCTCTTTTTTTGAAGGTCGTATCGGTGGAAATACCGCAGCCGATAACTTGTTCCACAGATTGGTAATGCGAGGCAAAACTTGTCTTGAAAAGCGCACAGTGGTGGAGCGCCAATTATCCAAGCGGTGGGGATGAAAATTTTGTCGTGTGGAACGATGATCTACATACTACATATAGTATGTAGTTTATTTTTGTTAAAATTAGTATAGATATAAGCGATTTGGTGTACACTGTAATGCTTATATTTCATTAATAATGAATTAAGTGATACGCGTCTTGTAATGTTTTTTTAGCAACAAAGAAAAAAGTTATTACAACTGTTCAGTTGATAAATGTTTAAATTAATAATATAATGCCTTGCAAGTGTTTCCCACTAGTTTACTGTAAAAATTTGTACATAAGAATGCGAATTTATTACACTTTAAAATACAATAATCGTGGATTTCGCCATCTTTGCAAGGTATTTTCTGTGACTTTGAAATAGGCATAACGATGATATTAAAATTGAATTATTTTAGTTATTATTGGTTTTTAACGCCGTTCTCCCTGTTTTATTCTCAACAATCAATCAAAAAACTAGAGACGAGTGCCACTGCCACGATACTTTTCTTCGCATAAACCCGAGTTAATAACACTAGCGCGACCGCCAAGAGTCGTAGGTATGAAAAGTGAGGTACATACATGAGCGTGGCTTCTGTACACTGTTTTTTTGTGCTTACGCCTACATTAATTCTGTTTGTGTTATTATCCTAAGATAGAGGACATTTGAATAGACAATGTTGGATAGAGATATTACATTTGCACCCTACTTAAAAATAGACACATGTGCACTGTTCTCGTCTGTTGAAACTGTGAATAAAATCACAGTATTAAGATTAATAGGGCACCAAATAAAGTATGAGTTACTGTCAATATCTATGGTCAAAAAAATAATATAGCCACTAGCAAAGTAGCTAATATATATTTTCTCTGGGCTTTGCATAGAGTAAAAGTAATGCTGTATAAATAGTAACCAACCTAAGTAGCTTGAATGAAGCAACAGATGTGAAGGTCCCAACACCTCTTGTATGGTAATCTCCCATTCTGTGCGTTCAGAGTAGCTTTCTTGAGTGCCAATTGCAAATATGTCTGGTACATGCTGCACTTGGTCTGGGAATATGAAGTCAGCTAGTTCCCTATTGAAAATGGAAGATATGTAGTATTCACATTTAATTAACTAATTCAAATATTTAACTCGGTTGAAAACACAATCAAAAGGAGAATAAAGAAATCTTACTAGTAGCTAATTGAAGTTTGTTATTTGAAAAAAAATATTGGTTTAGTTTAACAGTATACTTCAAACTAATGACTCCTTAAATCAACCTCATTTCTAATATTAGTTTATATGTCATATTAGGACCAGAAATATATACCTCTAGATATAATAAATAAATATACCTATATATTCATATATAAATTATAATACCTATATAAAATATTATTTATATAAAAAGTGACTAATAATGCTGTATCAGTCTATGTGATTATTTTAATATCTAACAAGAGCCTAATTAGACATAATGTCAAATCAAAGTGTTCCCATACAAAATACTTGAGATTATTAATATTGTATAATATATATAATATTGAATATTGTATTAAAAATGTATTTTTAAAGTGATATTAAAAATTGATTCAATTAGCTTGCCAATTTTATTTTATTCACAAATATTGTTTTATTTTATTCCAATGAATTCTCTCATAACTGAATTCATTCTAGGACAGCCTAGACAGTGATTAGTCAGGTGCTATACTAAGTGCCTATATCTAACTGGACTAAAGAGGACTGTGTAAAGCTTAATAATTGATTGTAGATATTGTATTTTATTAATGTAAGGTATACCAAAAACTTTAATACTAATGAAATACAATTTAAATTAAAGTTTATTAACATTATGTCAATCTTGGTTAATAAAGAAATAACCAATTGGTGAACTATTTTCTGTAGCGTGCTATACTGCACAACAATGCACTGTTTTATCTTATATTTTATAATAAGTTATAGAATAATTTTGCCTGATAAACATATTACAAAATTCCAAGATCTTATGTATCAATATTGGTTTAAACTTACTTTGGTGGCCCTTGTCCATTCATATTCCATGTCCCAACAAATATTTTTACTTCCCTGTCAGGAAAAACATGTTCCAATTCCGCTGCTCCTAAAAGGGAATGGGAAGCTAGACGTCCATAGAGGTAGTTTCTGAAATAAATGTAAAATTTTAGAACTTGAAGATTTGACTGTAGTATTAAAAAAATATAGGTACACCAAAGCAGAAATAATTAATACACACAAAGTATACTGACAAAGAAAAAGTAAGAAACCAGTGAACCTTTCTCTAGCTTCATGTGTGGGTATAAGACGTAGCACCTGTGCAGCAAGTAGTGAGTTACGTGCCAAACTATCAGTGCTGCCGGCACGCGAAGCTGACCGTGTGACAGTCGACTTAGTCCTAATGAAGACAATAACAACACAAACAGATTTTCAGCACAATGAGACGTACCAAACCAAGAACACCATGGAATAAAAATTTTGTTTACCTTACCTTCTTTTACGGTCTAAAGAGCTACTTCTGTCACTTTCAGGTGATGAAGGACGATAAAGTGGCTTTGTCTCAATAGATATTAAATGATCAGCTGATAACCTCTTAACAAATAATTTACTTTTTGATTTTACACCTTCAAAAGAGCCAGTATGCTCAAAACATTTTTTAACGTCATCATTTTTTGGAAATTTTACAGTAGCTTTTAGTATTTCGTCAGATTTTGTTTGAGAACAAATTGTTTGGTCACTGACACTTGAATCATTTATAGGACTAACTGGTCCCGATTGTGTTTCATCTTTTAAAGGTTGATTGTCTACCAGGCTCTTAGGACGAGACCTTCTAAAGAAGGTTCTACAACATCTCTGATTGCTATCTTCGTCATTATGACAATAATTTGCATTTTTGGTTACATTATTGTACAGTGGTTCAACAGAAGTGATTTGATTTTGAGATAGTTCTACGCTCGTATCTCCACTGTGAGCACTGTGGGCTAGGAAAGGATCGGCAGGAGAAATAGGCCGGGATGTAGATTGGCTAAATTCATCGTTCGAATCTGTATCAACGACGCAACCAACTTTTGGCGATTTTTTAACAAATAAACGTTTTCGCAGGGACAGTTTCTGTTTCGCTTTTGTAGGTGAAGTGGTCATATTTGGTTTTAACCCTACAAAACAGTTAATTTAAGTTACTAATTACATTTTTACTATAAATGGATAACATAACCTACTATGTCTCTAAATTGACATTTTGCTACTGAAAAGCTGAAAGCTGTCAAATATTTCACAGACACGTTCAAAATCTTAAACTATAATTTTATAAATCATAAAATTTGTTCCTAATCATCTTATAATCTTTGTCAGTATCAAACAAGTATAATATTATTAATGTGTAAAGTTAACTCGGACAAATGTTTATGTAAAATATGTTGTCATGACTACAGGTCGTACATAAATTATAAAACAAAGGTTCAGCTCAGTGTGTCTCGTGCTTTTTAAAATAAGATCACTACGTATATTTAGCGAATTAGTAATTAAATTAAAATGTCTAAAGTATTATTTTAAAGTAAAATAGCAATAAAAAAAAATTGTCTATCTTTTACATTTTCAAGCAAATTTCAGCGAATAGATAATGTGTGATGGATTGATAAGATCGCAGAGAACAAAGGAAAAATTAAAATTTTAAAAGTAGTTTATTGTCCAATTTTTTTTTTTATATTTTTGGCAAGGACAACCACCGCGAAAACTTTAAAGGTAAGGCCTTTAGGTACTATTGCGCTTGTGACTGTTTTGGACAAAAAATAGCTATTCTACAATATTTCTGATCGCCTGTTTCTCGACAGATTGAAGTAAATTGGGACTGCGAACCGTTCCTTAAAATATTTATAGAATATAAGACTAGGCGTCAAACAAAATCAGTCCACAACTGTTTTTTATTTATATGTGACAAGTGTCCTAAAAGTAATCACACAAAATTAAATAACAGATAACAAGGTACAATATACCTACTATAGTCAAACCGCGGTAAGATTGGCCCTCCCGATGGTTTGTGGGACGTGGGCCGGGGGTACGCTCAACCAATTACCTAGTTTATCGCTGTCGCGAAAGCAAGGCTGTACGACGTACGTGTTGTTTTTCTCAAGATTGCTACACATGGTATTATTTTGCAACACGGAACTCTGCGTCACCAATAGATTCAGGAACATTTGAATTATTTTTCATTTTTTAATAAACGTTTCGTTTGTTTCTTATTTTAAGTTACTTGATTAATATACAGTAAAAGTTGTCGATTACCGGTGTGGTGGTGAATTAAGAATACGAAGTATTACCACCCCTATTCATCCCGTGGGTGTCGTAAGAGCCGACTAAAGAAGCAAACTACGCAGGACAACAGCACTGCAATGAGAAGAAAAACTTTAAACAAAACCTTTATTTTTTGACGTGTAGAAATCCCCTCGGACCATCACCCCACCGGGGTTTGCGGCGGGGTGGTGTGTCGGACTCGGACCGACTAAAACCACACGGTGTGCCACTCTGCGCCTGTAATAGGAGGGATCCGGGAACAGCTGTTATTAAGACATCCGGACCCCTCCTAGCGCCGGCCCGCTCCTGTTGCGGGCTCCGTTTCAAAATTTTCCTCTCTTTAGGCGACGTCCGCCACACGCGGACGCCGCCCCCTCGCGGCTGGCCAAACTAATGCGGGTGGAGGGGAAAAACTTTAAACAAAACCTTTTTTTTTTGACGTGTAGAAATCCCCTCGGACCATCACCCCACCGGGGTTTGCGGCGGGGTGGTGTGTCGGACTCGGACCGACTAAAACCACACGGTGTGCCACTCTGCGCCTGTAATAGGAGGGATCCGGGAACAGCTGTTATTAAGACATCCGGACCCCTCCTAGCGCCGGCCCGCTCCTGTTGCGGGCTCCGTCTCAAAATTTTCCTCTCTTTAGGCGATGTCCGCCACACGCAGACGCCGCCCCCTCGCGGCTGGCCAAACTAATGCGGGTGGAGGGGAAAAACTTTAAACAAAACCTATACCAACCCTAAAAATTAGGCGTATCTATGAGTACTCTGTAAACAATACTCAAACAATACTCAAAAATTGAAAATGGTCAATGACAGAATCTAAATCTTTACAAGTCGAATATTTCCTTACAAAATCTGCTTAAGTAGAATACCTAGTCTAAAACTCTATGACTCGAATTATTTGAGGTCTCTCTTGAAGTTCGGCTTACAAAGGTTCTACTGTTTAAAGTTATAATAATAAATATTCATTATTTCACTTTATTATTAAATTGTATCTGAATATAATTTAGATGATAAAGATAAGGTAATTTTATTAAAATTATTTTACAAGTATTAAAATTTTAAAATTAATATAAAAACTTTCAATATACATGGAAATAAATTCGATTTTTATTACATCGTGTATAGATTAAATCTCAAACAAATAAATCTAAAGATATCAAGTGAGTACATCGTGTCGTGTATAGCCGAGCGCATCACTCGCCCCTCGTCCCGTAATCCATCGTGAGGGCCAAGCTTACAACCTTATTTTATGTTAACACGAAGCCACTGTCATTTCATTGATACGCTATTGAGATGCTATTGAGACGCCATTGACATCGGTCAAAATATCAGTATTCTCCTAACATAAATTCAGTGTGAATAGATTGTCGATATAGTAGTATAGGACATCAATGGTGATATCAACAACATTGCCATACCTGAAAAATTAAATATATCATTTTCTTAAAAGTTTAAAATGTACCGTTTACCAAATTGCTACAAAGAAATCGTCGACATTTGTATCCGTGACAAGTCATCGGGAGGCCTTTGGTCTTAAATAGTTAGTAGAATAGGAAAAATGCAAAACTATTCCGAGGACATTCCATTGACAGTCTATTGATACAATATTAAAATAGCAGAATTGAGGCCCAGGGCTGAAGCCTTTGAAAATGGTAAAAAGTGAAAAAAAAAAAAATAGTATAATGAAACCCATTGTAAAAGGAAGAGAATATAACAAAAATGAAAGGAAGAATAATTTACGGGTGATCAGAGGTCGGGAAGTGGAAGGGGGTTAGTTTTTAGGGGAAGAAACGGTTTATCTCGATTTCCGGCAAACTAGAAGTCCTATGGAAAAAAGTTAATTGGGCAAAGTTATAGGTGGGCAAACAGATCTTCAACTTTTGTGTTTACACTTTTTTCACATAAGCTCAAAATTTATGTGAGAAATTCAAAAAACCAAGTTTTTGGTTTTTTATTATTATCTTTTACAAAAAAAAAATGTTTTCACGAAATTTGGTGTAAACTTATCTTTTTATGTCCTAGGCACACTGTAATTTTTTTGATTTAATAAATTTATTATTTCACCTTGTTTTGACTTAATTTCAAAAAAGCACCCTAATATTCAATCGAAAATTCTCCCGTCAAAATATCTGCTTTACTATGGTAAATGTTCTCAGAAAAAAAGAAACGCAAAAAAAAACTCGAATCCTTTTTTTTTAATTATTTTCTACAATTTTGAGCTATTTATTTAATTTACGCTTGAATTACTCGAAAAACGTAAGATTCCATGTTACATTAAGTTCCATAAGCAAAAAAATTACAAATCCATAAAACATAAATAATGCAAAAACATGCGAAAATAGTTGTTCTAAATATTAAAGAAAGGATTTAAAGGGTATTTCATTAAAAAAAATGTGTCTGCTGCATTTCGATTTTTTAGGTTATGTTAAACTTACTAATTATGAAAGAAAATATTACTATTTTTATTTTAGAGCTGATTGATATAGATTAAAATACACGAATACCTTGCTATGTAGATTCCAAAAGTTCATTTTGAAGTAAATTTGTCACAATGCTCTTAAAGTAACTCAGGCTGCACACGTATTTTTATGAAATTTGTTCACTGCTCTGTATCTCGAATACTGACTAACGGTTTTTACAGCTGCTACGAAAGGCCCCATACCCTCTTAGCCTTAATAAATACCTTTTGATGTGCTAAAATTTTCCGTAGGTCACCCAGGTATATAAGTCATTTTAAAATAGCAATAAATAGGCATCTACGTATATAATTTAAAGAAGATTCTACAACTTTTCGTCGACCTATATTATTTTTTTATTTAATAAACATTCGATCCTGGTCTATAAGTCGGTTAAAATAAAAATAAAAAGAAAAGTACGAAAATACGGAAATGCAAATTTAGAACAAAATAAATGCAATAAAATAATTGCCGAATTAGAACACCATTGTTAACATGACATTGTGATCTGTACACGGCAGAGTCGTAATGTCAGCGACATCAAAGCGACGCAGACGCCGCGATGTGCTGGCGAACTTTACATTCTTATTACCTACTACTTAATCACTTACTTCACTTGCTTTTTAAATTCAATTTATTAAAAAAAAACTATATTCACGTGCTTATTTCGGGAATGCTCGACTAGCTTCGGACCCGGCAGTACGTGTCACTCCTTGAAAAAGTAGGTACTTTGGTTGTCTCGTAATCTTTGTACCGCCCTTACAAAATTCGTCAGTCGGTGGGACATATATGATTGATTCTATACCTCAGTGTGTCCGTAAAGCTAAAGATGAGTTTTGATAGTTCCCGGTAAATTAACATCATGTCAGGATATTCCCGGCTGTGAAGGTCACTCGCGCCATTATGGATGTCAATACCGATAACCCAATAAAATTAAAAGTCTGATAATGCACTCAGTTTACTCAGGTTACTACACTACACACACAAACTAATATTCTCACTTTTCAAAATGAAATTAGCGGAACTCGTTATAACACGAAGTCTTGCGCACACGATAACATTAATTGTTTACATCATTGCCGTATATTGTGCCGAACGTAATAAGACTAAACAGTTATTGACACAACAAAACTTTTCTAAATATCTCACGAACAACAACAATATTAATATTACGATAATTTGTCGTGAGCGCATCTACAAGGACACAGAACAGCCTAACACTCAGCGGTTCGCGGTGGATAAGGGCCGAATGACTGTACTTACTGGATGAACTAATTAAAAACAAAAAAAAATCGTTCGATTCGAGTGTAGTAGAGTGTAGTAAAAGCGCAACGTGTGATTACCCCTCCGCGTATACCGCTGATCGCCGCCTGATATCAATGTATTATGACTGCATTTAAACATTATGTTGCAAATTACGAATACAAAACAAATGTCCTGTTTCAAAACCACTTAATATTTTTTGTTCATATTTTGCAAATCGTCTAGAAATGAAGGTTAGAATATGTGGTTTAAAGATTCGTCAAAAAAAAAACACATTGTATATGGGAATTGTAGGAATCCCTTTTTTAATAAGATTGGGAGGCAAACGAGGTGACGAATCCCCTGATGGTGAATAATTACTGCTGCCCATGGACATCGGCAACTCAAGAGTCACAAGTAAGTTGCCGCCATTGGAGACCCCCCACCCCCCTTAATCAGGTGATATCGAGGTCCAAAACCCCCTCGGATTTCGACCCCGGTCTCCTTACTCACTCAGTGAAAAGCAACACAAAATTGCTTAACACCGGCTTTTTGTGACATCGTGGTATAACTCCGGTCGAGCCAGCCCATTTGTGCTGAAGTATGGTTAGTAGTAAATAAGATATATGAAAATTAAACAAGCATTTTTATTTTGTTAAATTAAAATGATTACACAGATGCAAATGCACTATAAATATAACTTAGTTTTCATACGAATTATAAAACACAATTTTAAAGACGGTATCATACATATATGTGGCTGTATACAGTAGGTGTGCATGTTGATTAACGCAAGAGACTAATTACAAAGGTACTAACAATTAAACTCAAGACACTCATTTTTAAATTTAAAGCTTTATTACGAGTTCCTGGAACGAGAAGATTTTCCCCTGAAAATTGAGGTGTGGGCGATAAATTGTTTCCGCCAATTACTTGAATACCGTCGCCTGTAACAAAATAATATTAGGTATATCACTACACGTTATAATGTAGCAGGAATGTAAAGTGAGTTTAGGCCCAAAATAATCCTCTCTTTTATTATCATATATGATTGTTTGCCGTTGTAATATCTTCCCGATGGTCTTAATGAACCTGAGCCTGGCACCAAATGTTATTACCTCAGCCTGCAGCTTCAAAGTATAATTCGCTTATTTTCAAATTGTAATGAGAGTGACAACGATTTTTAAATCACTAATATGTTTTACTTTTTCAGGTTAACTGTGAAGTGTCTGTGTCGGGAGTCGATATCAAAATACAACCAACGTAATTAATAGTATTTTCTAAGTGGGCCCTGCAGGTAGAGGTTCGACACAGTCCCTATATTGCACAGTGTTTAGTCATCGCCAAATAGCGTAGTATAGGACAATGACGTTATTACTATGGAGTGCTCTACAGCAAGTGTCCAGCTGTATACTGAAAATAGAGGTCGCTGCGGACTAGCGTAGACTACGATATGACATAGCTGTTGTAGACGGAGTGAAGTGTGCTGAGTTAAAATATTATAATGATTTTATTGACTGAAAGTTATTACACGTTTATTTTTTGTCTGTAAAACTTAATGACTATTTTTGCAGTCTAGTACACAGTGTCTAACTATTATTTAAGCGTTTTTACGGAAACTTTCATACACAGAGATGGTTCTCCTTGCCTCTACACTCTATAGTTATTACGAGACACAAAAGTAACAAAATATTTTAGCTCTTATAGTCAAGAAGCCATTTCAAATAATCCTGACGTCTCAGGTACCAGTAGCAGGGGCACCAGGTGTACCCTAGAAAGGAAATCCCTGGTACCCCGACGTACCTCATGCCATCTAAACATCTAAACCCTGTCGTCCGCGTCTCGGCGCCACCCCGGCCTGCTTCTGCTAGGGTGACAGATGGCCTCACCTGTCACCCAAGGCCTGCCCTTATGGAGGACGGAGGTCTTTTTGCGACCTCTTCCGCCTGAGTCGTCTGTGGTACCAGCCCGTGCCCAAGCCTGGCGGGCCGGGAGAGTTCAAGCATAACTTGCTCGCAGAAGGAGACGATAGAGTTCCACGCATCGCTCCACACCATGGTCGCAATCATGTTACCGAGCGAGAGAACTCCTACTCCTATGGCCGCCACGAGGTCACGCCTCTGCTCTATTTACGCCTGGCATTCTGCCAGCGTGTGGAGCGCCATGTTCACGGTCTGGCCATAGCAGTGTTGGCACTCAGGCGATGGCTCCTTGCGGATCAGACACAGGTGATCTCCGAAGCATCCTTTCCCAGTGATCACCGGCGTCAGCCGATAAGAAAGGGTTCCGTGATTTCTCTCGAGCCTATCCTCCATAACGGATCTTACCGCCGCGATAACGGCGTGCCCGAGATTTATTAGCAGGTACAAGACGTACCTGCTAATAAATAATAGATTTAAAACAACTTGATTAGCCTTTTAAATAAATTCCAACTTAATTTTTTCAAGTTTTGACGTAATATTTTCCTATAGTTTTTAAAAGTGAAATTTAAATGTGTAATGAATCTTACCTATGTTACAAAGGCTGTTTGTGCATGCTCTGTAAAACGTCCTAAAGTGGGCATCCGTGATCTCATTATTTATATAACGTGGTGTTTGTTCACAAGCACGTGTAAGGCTGAATATGGTTCCAGGAGGGTCCTGAAAGAAAATTAGTTGGAAATAGACTAACTAATTCTGAGACTGTTTTTATATTTATTAAAACTTATCAATGAATAAATAAATACAAAAGTAATAACTACATGATTGTGTATTCCGTACAAACAGTCTACGCACATTAACACAGAATGGCAGCCGTAGGGGCCTCCGAGACGGCGTGCGGCTTTAGTCGGTTCGAGTCCGACATGCCACCGATAGGTGGTATCCGAGGGGATTTCCGCACGGAAAAAAAGGGGAGGCCCCGCGCGCCTCCGCTGTTTGAGTAATTACATTGCAGTTTTTTTGGATTTATTAAATGGTTTTCGATAAAATGTTCTGTCTACTCATTGTGATATCATTTGTCATCATTTTTAACCAGAAGAATGGAAAATAAAAAAAAAGAAATTGATGAATTTTCCGGCAGAAAATTTCAATGATTTTTGACTCAGAATCATGGACTGAATATACTATTTCAGTATTCGGAACGATGTCCCTTACACCTTGTATATTAAGAGACTTTTTGTTCTGGCTTGTTGGTCTAGTCTAGTGGTTAGCCAACCTAATTGCCAAGCCAGAAATGGCTTTAGACAGAATGTAAATTTTTATTTTCTGTAAATTGTGTACAATTTAAAAGCGTATTAGTCTTTCTTAATTTACTTACCAGATGTTCCTGCCTTACTATGGTGCAAAATCTGAACGGACAAATCGCTTGTGCGGTGTGATTTGAAATGGTAAGACATGATAGGTCTGTACTTGCGGCAGTATACATGCAAGTATAACATGAGAAGGTCCCTAAAAACAATAACAGGGATATTAAGATATGCCTAAGGACAGTACTATAAATTTAACACATATTTCATACTTCTTATTTGACTTTCAATTTTGTACTTGTCGTGGGGTTATTGTTTAATTTTCATCATGTGATTATTTAGAATAAAACGTAAACAGGTTAGATACTAAGTATTTTATAAGGCATAAGTTTTATTTTCAGACAACGGTCTAGAACTCTAGACCCAAGACCCTTATATTTCGTGTGAAAACTTCGAGGCTTCACAATACTGAGATGATTGAGTAATTATGTCGGAGGTGAATCGCATTAAGAAGAAGTCTTTAGCGTCTTCAGTTAAAAACACTCGCTCAATTGTTCGGTCGCTCGCAAAAGTTCAATTGGTATATGTTTGACATTTAATGTTCATCATCAACAACCTTTATAGTTAAACCGCCGTAAGCTTGGCCCTCCTGCTTGTTTGGGGGACGCGGGGCGGGGGTGCATTCAACCAATTAGCTAGTGCGTTGCTGTCCGCCGGCAGTGACTGACGTGAAAGCATGGCTGTACGTGTTATTTTTCTTAAGACTGCTACACACGTTATTATTTAGCAACATGGATAATCTGCCGACTCTGCGTCACAAAAAGATTTAAAAACTTGAAGTTCGGCTTACAGAGGTTCTACTGTTAAAGTTCTAAAAAAGAATATTTATTATTTTAATTAATTTTTAAATTGTATCTGAATATAATTTACATGATGAAGAGAAGGTGATTTTATTAAAATTATTTTACAGTATTAAATTTTACAATTAATCATAAAAACTTACAATACACTGACATTATAATACATGGAAATAAAATCGATTTTTATTACATCGTGTGTAGATTAAATCTCAAACAAATAAATCTGAAGATATCGAGTTAGTACATCGTGTCATGTATAGCCGAGCGCATCACCCGCCCCGCGTCGCGCAAACCATCAGGAGGGCCAAGCTTACGGCGGTTTAACTATAGTAGTCTATTGGCTGGACATAGGTCTCTCCTTAGGAAATAGCTTTTGGCCTATTATACCACGCTGGCCAAACGGTTTGGTACAGGAATTGTTTTAAGTTGTCCTTCTCTTTGCAGTGCTGTTGTCCTGCGTAGTTTGTTCCATTAGTCGGCTCTTACGACACTCACGAGATGAATAGGAGTGGTAACACTCGGATAAATTTAAAATTAAGTGTAAGCGTAGGTTAATCATCTTACAAAACTGATCAGACAAAGCAGTTTTATTTTAGGAATCGGGTACATATGGAGATTAAAGTACAATTAAAATATAGTAAGTCAAGTGGTACGTTAAGTGTGAGTGAATAGATTTTAAAATAGTCATGATTAAATTTTTTAAATTCGTTTTGTTTTCTACGTGACCATAAATAAACATGTTGTAGATCAATCATCATCGAATTCATCGAAATATTGACCAACTTACGGATGGGTAACGTTTTTTTTTTTTTTTCCGTGCGGGAATCCCCTCGGATACCACCTGTCGGTGGCATGTCGGACTCGAACCGACTAAAACCGCACGCCGTCTCGGGTACTAATAGCCGGGGAACCAGGTATACCCTAGAAAGGAAGTCCCTGGTACCCCGACATACCTCGGGTCATCTACAGACGAGTAGACGACCCCCCCCCCCGTGTGGGAACCCCATGTTCCCTGTGCTCCCTGGAGGCGAGCGCGCTTCGCAACACGCTGGCCGCCACCCCGACCTGCTTCTGCTAGGGTGACAGATGGCCTCACCTGTCACCCCCAGGCCTGCGCTTCTGGAGGACGGAGGTCGTTCTGCGACCTCCGGCGCCTGAGTCGCCTGCGGTACCTGGCCCGTTCCCGAGCCTGGCGGGCCGGGAGAGTCCTAAACCTCTCCTTTCCCGCTCCGCCGTCTCCTTCGCGAGCATTACTTGCTCGCAGAAGGAGACGGCAGAGTTCCACGCACTCTCTCTCCGCACGATAGCCGCAATCAGGCTATCGAGCGAGAGAATTCACGGGTGGGTAACCTAATGCGAGCGACTGCACGTGACAATTGTGAATTTGCTAATAGAGGCGCCCTTTACATTTTTCCTAAGCTACGGTCAAGTCGACGATTAAAATGAGTAAGGTCAATACAATGTTGACAGAACTTATCAAATCAATGCAGCACCAGAGAACAACGAAAATCCCTTTGAGATGTAAATATTTAACTGTGGTAATCTTCTGTCGTCGATAAAAATTGGTGTTGAATTTCGAGTTATGTTATTTTTGCATTGAGGTCTTAGAAGGGCTAGTGCACAGAGTCACGGTAGAATTATAATACAGTACTCCAACTTCATACAAACGGACGAAACGCGAGCTATACCTACGCGCCTCGATCTCGGGGTGCCCTCGGGGCGCAGACAGTCACGGCTGTACCGCAGTGTCGAACGGACGGTGTGTTGTTTTTTTAACAATAACCGGGCCATTTTTTTTCTAAAAGCAGTTAATATGACGATTAGGAAATATTGTGCTGTTTTTGGTTGTATGAATTCGTCAATAACGCATCCAGACATAAGTTTTTTTAAATTACCTGGAAACTCTGAAAGGTAAGACTATAAAATAATTATACTTACTAGTAGGTAGGTACATAATGTGTGTCTTTTTAATGGATAAGTATTTCCTTTTATCTCACGAAAAAAAAATGTTTGGATTAACAAATAAAGCGAATAGAGTAACGGAAAGTTATTGAGACGAGTGAAATAGGTAGTTATATGCGGTTCTGAATGAATCATGATGCGGTAGGTATCTACCTACTTACGCTTGTGTTAAAACTTCGGTGCATGTGTGTTTTGTTACTTTGCATAATTCAAAGTAAAGACGTGGTATTTTATTATTAATTATATTTGTTTATTATCTGTGTGTATGAATAATACTAGAAAACATTTTTTACCGTCTGTGTGTCATAAGATAGTTTTCGAAATTTTCACAAAGTGTTTCTGCTGCTACTATAACAACAATACACTGGTTAAACTGGTTTTACTTTCTCGGTATTAACAACAACAGCTAGACTCATATATAATATTTAGATGTTTGAGGGTTGTGATTTTAAAACATTCGTAGTCAGCTGTTCAGCTTTTTAATAATTAATTAATTGGTGACCAAAGAATTTTTGTTTTGAGTTGTTGCGAGTTATAGGTAGGTACCTAATTTTTAGAGACGTTAATAAGCTGAGATAAAAAGTTACTTACTCGTCAGCTGTTTCTTGCATTCTAGTTGAGTAGGTAGGTGTTGGAGTTTCTAAGGATTGGAGTTTTGTAACGCGTAAGGAGAAAGCACATTTTTTTTATTCTATAGAAGGATTTTTAAGCTATTGCATAGCTTTTATCGCGGGCTCACCGAATCAAGAAATTCTCAAAACCTAACGAAAAATACCTGACACCACGCAGATTTTTTTCTTTTAAAAAATAAAAAAGATCCTTCGTCTTCAATGGTTGCAACTGATCCGGCGAGATGATTTGGAAAACAAACCTAACTTTAGTTCCTACCAAGTTTGTGAAAAACATTTTAATTTGGAGGATGTGTTACATTCATCAAATAGAAAACTTTTAAAAAAGAATGCCCTACCATTGTTGATGCTGCCAAGCTTAGCTAGTACTGATCCAGGAGTCTCTCTAAAAGAAGATAAACAAACCCAAACTGCTCCGTTGGTAGGAAATGAAAATAGTACACAGACTGAAAATGCAACAAATAAAATCTTTGCTCAAACCTCAACGAGTCTCTCTAGCAACACACCAAGAAAAAGAAAATTGAAACTTGAACTCCTCCAATGCAGAAAGAAAATAAAATAATTAAATCTACCAATCAAAAAACAACACGCATTTTTATTGAACACTTCCTATTCAATATACAAAGTATTTCATTTATTTATATAAAAAGGATATTTACAATCACAAATCTAAATAGAAACAGAAAGTAGGCAAATATAATTAAAATGCTGGAGACGGGCAGCCCTAACGCATGTTTACGTACCGCGCGGCTGTAGGCATTTATTTCTTTCATGCGGCCGAGTTACGCTACTGTATTATAATTGTACCGTGACAGAGTGGTGAACATCACAAAAATCAAAAGGCCGAGCGGTCAAACATATGTTTTATTTATCTTAAACCGCAGCGGACAGACCAGAACTCACAAAGATGTTGCAATAGACCCATATTGCAAGGACCAGGGGATTTAATAAGAATGAAGGCTCTGGGGAACAAATTAAAATAATATCAGCATTAGAAGTTTAGTGTGCATGAATTGATGTAACGTTCACCTTCACCTCAACAAGTACATCTCAATACTACAAAATACAAAACAAATGTGCTGTAAAATGAAAGCTTATACAATAAAATAAATAAAACATACCGAAAGTTACTCCGATTGCACATGAAAACACTAAAAACACTGTTTTGAAAAACATTGTTAATTACAAAGAACCATTCCTTTGACACTGAATCGAATATGAGGCTTTTTTTGTATCGTTACATTATCAAATCACTGCCGATGAGTAACTCATTGTCCTTATCTTATCGTTACTTTTATGAATCGTATTATTAAATCACTTAATTAAAATCCAAGAATTTCATATCATATCCTTTTAAGTAGGAAGGTACCATAGGTCAAATCATAAAATAAGGATAAGTGTTTGAAATCCAGTGATTGAACGACAGGCTTGTTGGTCTAGTGGTTGGTGACTCTGACTGCTAAGCTGGAGGTCGTGGGTTCGATTCCCACCCTGGACAAATATTGTATGATGAGCACGATCATTCTGTGTCTGGGTGTAATTTATCTATAATATGTATATATTTAAAAATATATAAGTACGTCTATCAGCAGTCTGGTTTGGGATCAGACGGCCGTCTGTGAGATGTGTGAGGAAAAAAATTTCTTTCAATAGAATACATAGAACTAAGTCCCATATAAATATAAAGAAGTTTATAGCTGGCATGGCTTCATCATCAGAATCATAGAAGAATAATTTACAAAATAGACAGGCAAGTATTAAGAGTAGGAAAATATGCGATACCATATTGAGCCATTCCGAGTCATTAGGATAAGTCAAACGAGAGGAGAACTATAAGTATCCTAAAACTGAAAGAATCATACTTGCCATACCAGATAAGATAATAAACAAATGAAATAATAAAATCATCACATTTAACGATCTTTATCAAACCTACTATCGATGTTGACATTGCCATTCAGCCGCAGAAACGATTCAAGAAATCACAAGGGCCTCCAAATTCCTTTGGTATAAACTGACTACAAACACCGTCATGACAAAGTCGCTGCAATAGTTCACCGACATCTGGCTCATGTGTACAACTTTACTCAGAAAAAAATATTGGTGATTTGACTTGAAACTTAGTTATTAGTATCATCATATCATCATCAGCCTATCGCAGTCCACTGCTGGACATAGGCCTCTTCCATTGCACGCCACTTAGTTGTTGTTATTAGTTATTAGTATGTTTATCAAAATTTTGAAAATGAAATAAAACGCCGCTTCGCGCAAGAAGGTGGTTTTTCTTATGATTTATTTTTATCACCTTACTACATTGCATTGGTAAAACATCAGTGTGAGTATTGTCAATCTAAATTTAATGTTCGGTATTAGTTCAGATCTTTTCCTTGCCTACAATTCATTTCTCCAAAAGTTATGGCAGTAATATCTAATTGATTGCATAGTGGTTTGTGTAACGGACTGTCATTCCAAAGGTCGCGGGTTCGATTCCCGCTCAAGTCAAACATTTGTGTGCATGAACATTTAATGTTTGATTTAGTCTGGGTGTTTCTATATATAATATGTATGTATTTACAAAAAAAAGTATAAATGTATGATATAATCAGTTGTCTAGTACTCATAGTACAAGCTCTGCTCAGTTTAGGACTAGATGGCATTGTGTGAATGTAGTAAAATATATTATTATTATTAGTTATTGTTGTGTGTTGTAATTTAATAGTTTATTCGGATATTTTTGCATGTTTTTCTACTTCACTCGACACATTAGTTTTTATTATTATATTATGATAAGTTTATGACTGATGTCGATACCGATGAAACCGCGACGCAACCAACAGTGTTTATGGACCACAAACTTTATAGCCCTGTAATTCCATATAATCATAATTTAATTGAAAGTGTTATTATTATTATTATTTTTTTGATTTTATGAGAAAAAAAGGAAGGATTATAAGCTTAGTCCCTTGAGTACAGATTGTTTCGTGCGATTCGTACCTTCTTTTGTCGATTATTGCTCTTCATAATTATTGTTTTTATCTCTTAGTAGTTTCGAGGGTTTCGAGGGAAATAGGAACTGAGATTTATCTGCTTGGATATTATTATTATACAGTTTTTAATAGAGGAATCCTTAAACCACTATCGTCCTGTAACTATATCGTCACTACCGTCTATCGTATCTAATCCACCTGTGGAGGAACGCTAGCGTTTGCTCTCTTCATGTAATATAAGTGTCGTAAATTGTTCTCTGCCTGCAACCTTCTGTCGAGTCTATTTAAAATCAACACAACGGCTAGCTATACACCTATGCTGATGTATAGCTATGCTAGCTGCGAATGTTTAAAGTGCTCAAACAATTAATGACTTTATGAATTACCTCAGCTAATAAAATTAAATATGCGCCACATAACGCTAATCTATGTTAAGCTATGTTTTTAGATACAGGCGCTAGTCAATCCACCAAGGTTTTAGATTCCTCTTTTTCCTTTTACAGACGTAAGCTTTGGTGGAAGCATCACAATACCCGTAGAGTTCAAATTTTATCAAGGATCAAGGGTTTCATTAGACGGATAACCACGCACTGCTCGACACACGCCATATCTTCATCATCCATTTCTTTAAAGTGGTTTTCCGGCAATTCTTTACCCCTATTGATCTCGTGGGTGTTGTAAGAGTCGACTAAGAGAGCAAACTACGCAGGAAAACAACACTGTAAAGAGAAGGAAAACTTGAAACAAACCGTACACGTCAGTAGGCCAGAACCTCCTTTCTAAGAAGAGGCCTATGTCCAGCAGTGGACTATTAAAGAATAAGATAACGTTATTATGTATGTATATAAGTAGTGTAGTAGTGTAGCAGTAGTAGGTATGTAAGTAGGTGCATGTGTCTATTGCGCTTTAGTGAAAACACTTCTCTAATATAGTGGATCAACTAATTAATTATTATAGTTATTGCGTTAATGGCCTAAGGTTAATTTTCAGACATTCTCACTGAAGGTTGTCTTCCTTTCTTTCAGAAAGACACCTCCCGTACTAAGAATATGTGTTGCGGGTACTTTCTAAACATTCATGAAATGCACAAAGCACATACATAATCAGAACAACAATTTGCGGATCACACCAAGTGTTGTCCCATGTATTGTGCGGAAGACACATGTTGACTACATGTTGGAAGCGGCGAGGTGACCTTTTAAACCACTACTACATCTATAATATGTATGTATTTACAAAAAAAAAGTATTTATTTATTTATATCAGTTGTCTAGTACCCATAGTACAAGCTCTGCTTAGTTTGGGACTAGATGGCGTTGTGTGAATGTGGTACAATATTATTATTATCTTTATTTCATTCTTTATACATATAAATCACATTTTTAAATATATTTATATACAAAAACAAAAAAAAAAACATTTAAAAGTGTAAAAAATAGTTTCCCATCGGTATCGGGTACAGAGACCAAGATATCGGTGATTAGGACTCCAGAGACAGAAACTTCCTCACAATACGTGCCGTATCGAGAAGAACTGCTTATTATTGTTATTATTTATTATTATCCGTGCAGTCAAACGCATAATTTTTCCTTAACTTGTGATTAAAACGATAGCTGCCTTTCTAATGCTTTAAAGCATCTGATATGAACGTTTGAAACTGATTTAAATCAATAATTATTGAGATCAAAGATATATGAAATATAAAACTATTGATAAGATTAGAACCTAACGATATTCTTATTGATAGCGATTATGATATTCAATCTATACAAAAACCGTTGCATTTGACTTAGCGACAAAGCAATGGTGGTTTGTAGTTAAGAATGTTCTTCAAAATAGTGTGTTAGTCTTTTAAGTGCAATCGGATTAACTGTCGGTATATTTCATTTTTTTAACTAATTATCTAATTTTAGATTCAAATTATTTATTTTTTGCAGACAACACTGTTACAACTATTGAATTTTCATTGCAGATATGTTATGTTCATAGTGTACGCACAAAATATTTGATCCGTAACCGTACGTACATCTATTAATGCATTTTAGAACAAAACAAACACTTACCTGTGGTATTATATTCCTTTAACTTTATTTACTATTTTGTCGTAATTTGTGCACTTTCGCAATACACAGGAAGGCATTTCATGTATTTTAGCGTTCGCTCGCAGTGGTCCTAATTAGGACTCTCGCGTTTTGTGCGTAGGTGTCGTATCTATCTCTTGTTTCATATCATATCATTGGTTACAATGGTGTTATGAAATTACATGTGTGTTTGTTTTTACAAAAATTACATGTTTCAAGTGCTTCTACCGTAAAGCATGTAAAATTATACACTTGTGGTGAAACATTATAAAGTTATATAACAATGCAATATCCTTCTTAAGGTTATAATAATAGAGATCACTTATTTATTTATTTTAAATTCACTAATAACTACTGTGTATATTTTGTCCCAGCTTCATTTTCAATTCACCTTGCAATAAAATCATATTGCTATTAGTGATGTGCCGGATCGTTAACAAAGTATATCCGCGGATACGGATCCGAATACGGATATTTGGTGTCAAGATCCGCGGATACGGATACGGATACGGATCTTAAGTTTCTTACTCAATGGGAGCCCGTGACCTTGATTGTTGTCGCCACTTGACGCTTTGCCGTTGATATTTAAATATTTCATTATTTTAATAAGCTAATACAAAGATGTTTGATTGATCTCATTATAAAGATAGCTCATAATAAAGATAGATAGTACCTACGACCTGCCTAGTTGATTTAGTGTAGTACGATAAATGATTGCAATACAAAGGTGCCAAATATTTGTTTTAAGAAATAAAAAGTAATCTGAACAGAATTGAATAGTTTTTCATAGCTACCTAATAACCATTATTCAGGATTATTTTAAATTTACTGAAAACCTCTAAAGTGCATATTAGTAACATTATAAACAACAACTTTTCTTCTGGACTAACACTGAAACCGAAAAAAAAAAAAAATGTTTCTCCATACAAACTAACAACATTTGATTGGTCATTTGAATGGAGGACCAATTTTTTTTCATTTTGACTTTGGCCAGAAAAAAAGTTGCTGTTTATAGTGTTACAAACACATACCTAAGAGTTTTACAGTGAATACAAAATCACCTAGAGAATTTCATCTATGCATTGAAAGATCCGCCAAAAAAGTCACGGATACGGATACGGTTACGGATCTCTCTTCTCCCTTGGATATCCGCGGATACGGATACGGATACGGATATCCGGCACATCACTAATTGCTATGGACTTATCACAAGAGCTTGGCAGAATAAAAACTCCTGTTTTTGTTAGATAAGTTATTTATACAAACACACACACACACTCATATACTCGTATACATACATTATAAACACTAAAAATATGCATGAGCAAATTCAGGCTATCAGTTACAACTACCTCTTAAAATATTATTATATCTCCATCCAAATGAAGATCTATCCAATGATCATTTAATAAGTGTGTAATTTGAGAGAGCCCTGGTACCCGTAACACAAGTTCGATCTTACCATGGGTACCAGAGTTTTCATTGACACTACCATGTTTGATTTTTTATTTTTTTTACTGTTTGTACACATTTTTTATTACATACACAAAGAGTATTATATATAGTAGTATAATTGTACAACGTAATTTGAAATAAATTTATTATCATTATTATTTATCTTTTTAAAATGACAAAAAATATGTATTTCTAACCTGTTTACCAAATATAATGATTCATTCACACTAATACCGATCATAGCTTCTCAAAGTCGGATGAAAATAATGTTTGTTTTTTTTTTGTTGTTTTTTAAAAGACAACTTCCGCATTAGTAATAAATCCTGTGTCGCGGGGGACTTTACAAACATACATGAAACGGACACAAAGAACACCCAGACTCAGAACAACAATTTGTGGATCACACAAAGTGTCGTCCCATGTGGGGTTTGAACCCACAACACTCGGCGTAGTAGGCCGAGCCGTACATTCGTCCCGGGTGGCAGCGGCCGGCAGGATCGGAGCGGGTCTATAAATATTGCTTATAAAAATGTCCTGCAGTATGGTCCTATCATAATAATAGTATAATTGATTAGTCGCAGCGGTAGTCGCCTTTATGAAATGATGGTCTCATGGTAAAGACGAGAGTTAACAAGTTTTATTAGCTTTATTTCTAAGCTATCACCTAATAATGACAAAGTAGGTACATACTGCGTAATTCGAAAGAAGTGTCCAGTGTCCACGTCCACTGTGTCTACGGCGCACTTTAGTTATAATCGTAATTGGGTATTCCCTTTGTAAAAATTATTGAAGTAACGAGATCTGTGACAGTAATTCAGCTTTTACTGGGCGCGAAAGCTGATAAGCTTCTAGTGTAAGCGTGGTCAAAGGTTGATTTAACCTGTGAACATAGTGATTGCATTAATTCCCTTACATATGCATAATGATATAGTTGTGTTGTATAGAAGTTCTAACTGTATCTTCAACCAAAAATTCATTAGCACTTGTATTTAAATATCTAAATCAATAGAACATCACGTTACAAAAAAAGATAATAATTTAAATTATAAATTTATAGCCACAAATTAGGTTTGTTTTGTCATTAATTGTATGTTATCTCTATATCTGAGTAACTCTATCCTGCCACGCTGTGGCACGTTGTGGTTGGGTCGCTGAAATATAATAACAATATTTGAAGCTGGTTGTATATCGTATCCAAATTTAAGGTCAATCGGTGCAGAACTTTTTAAGGTTTTGAAGCGTACCCAAACCAATTTACCATTTTATAAATAAGATAGATTATCATATGCTGCCAATCTGACTGACGAAATTATGGTATGGCACGCTAAGCAGTACTTCAAAAGACATTCTATCTATTGCGTTTAATGTAGTCTGTGTGTAACAATGTAACACTGTGTGTACAAATTTCATATTACTATCACACTAGCTATTGACCGCGTCTTTGCTCGTGTTAATGTTTGCCGTGTAACATTTGGTCACTGAATTTTCCGGGATAAGATGTAGCATTTAAAATGAGCTTAATCTGTTCCCAATTTCACCTAGGTCCGGTCAGCTGTTTTGGCATGATTAAATGTTCATTCAAAATTTAGCATATTCCGGGGATGGTTGCATACATTAAAAAATATATCAATGTGGATGAAGGCCTCACATATGAGTTCTTTTCCAATTATATACTCGTCAACATCATTCTTAACTATCAACATCATGTCATGGAGGCTACTGAAAGTGCCGAACTCGTCGCCAAATTTTGGGCCGACTCAATTTGAATTGCCATCGACACGCTAAGAGAAGAACATCATGTTCCCATCCTGTTATGGGTCTGCTCTTTCATCATATATTATATGCTTCTTTTATAATATACTAGCTGTACCTGCCACGCTTCGCTGTGGCATAATGTGATTGCATTGAGGAACAAAACTAAAGCGAAAATTAGACATCAACAATATTTGAAGCGGTTTTTATATCATGTCGAAATTGGAGCTCAATCGATGCAGAACTTTTTGAGCTCAAACATTTTTGAGTAATAATTTTTTATTTCTAAACTTCCTACGTTAGTACTTTATGATGTTGGTTTAGTTTAAAAAAAAATCCTCTTTTAGTTTAAAGTATATAAAATATTAGTATAGTAAGTAAGTAAGAAATAATAATAGTAAGTAAGTAAATAAAATATTAATTTTTTTTTACTCAGTTTAGTTTATCTTGCTGCTCTTGATTTAATAAGTAATATTCCGTCCATCTTTGTATGTCAATAGTTCGTCCAACGTCCCATGCAAGAATAGACAATATAATTTTGATGTCTTTGTTTAACATGTTAAGTTATAGGAACACTCATATTTCGTTTGTGCAAACCTACATTATTGCATTACGGCAAAAAATATTAAATTCTTAAAAATATATTTTAAATACTTTTATTTAACGTACATATTATGTTTATTAAAACTTAACTGAAATAAGAAAACGCCGAATGAATTGAGAATAAAATGTAATTTTTTATAACGTTAACTAGTCTCCAAGAACAAAGTTGGCTAATATATAATTTATTTTAAAATTGTGTATACATTGTTTAGGTAGGAGGAAGTAGGCAGATAGAAGCCAAAGCGTAAAAATAATAGGTACCTGTTACTAAAATATTAAATTAAAGTAAATGACTTAAGTTAGGTATACTAACGTACGGCCTTTCAATTCTAATGATATATATTTATTTATACGGCTAAAGTAACCGTGTGGTGACGGATTAAGAATACGCAGTGTCACCACCCCTCTTCATCCCGTGGGTGTCGTAAGAGGCGACTAAGGGAGCAAACTGCGCAGGACCATTGCACTGCAAAGAGAAGGAAAACTTGAAACTAACCCTATACCAACCCGTCTGGCCAGCGCGGTATAACAGGCCAAAACCTCCTTTCTAAGGAGAGGCCCTTGTAAAGTAGTGGACTATTAAAAGCTGTTTATGATATGATGTCTAAAGTAACCTGACCGAAACATCAGGAACAAGTCAACGGTTTAGTTTTGTAATACTTTTAACGAGATCTCGTTAGTTTCCGTACATAAACTATTTGGAATAAGACATAGATTACCAAACTCTAAAATGTCCAGTAATCGTCACTACTCTCACTATTCAAACAAATCGCCTACAAAATAATTACAGCAACAACTACCGTCGAAACAGGATTTACCACAATGTTTTTTTTAACGACACTGAATAAAAATAACGCAACAATTGTTCACCAACCAAGAAGTTCTAAAACCGATAGTGGATACGTAATGAAAATATTGAGGCATGAACAGTAGTATAATATACTCTTCTAATTTAATACACTATAATACACTCTCCTAATCACTCATTAACAGGCGCGCCACCATGTCTTTGTTTAACAACCTAAAACTATACGAATTCGAAAAATAAATATATGTTGGTATCCCATTCCAAGTATAGAAGACAACGAGTTTAAACTATTTAAAGCCTGCCTGCTAGTTGAAGTTTAGTTGAACTCAATATTTAATTATTTTATTCATATGACCATCATAAGTTGAACTACTTCTGTAGATATACTCTCTCGATTTCTCTAGACCTCTGAAGTTTTTGTAACAATTTCAACATATTTTTTTAATTTATAAGATCATCATTATCTTCTTACAATTTTTTCAAGTTCATTTGGGGTCGCCGCAATGAGTTTTCTGCTTCCATTCTCATCATACAAACCCACTCTTCTTTCATCGGTGACCTCAAGTATGTTAACAAAACTAATCTTATCCACAACCTAGTTTTTTTGTAATTTGTTGATAAGTGTGATCCATAAAGATAAAAGAGGGTTTTGTTTCAATGAACAACAAGTCTACAAGTTTCATTTATACTGCTTGGGTTGTGGGGCTTTGGGACCGGGATTGCGGTCCCAAATTCCTCCTATAAATACAATAACTATTTTTGAGTAGTATATTGACCACTAATTAATTTATGTGTCTTGAGCAAGCCCGGGCAATAAAAACATTTACAATAAATACAAATAAAACTATTTTTATAAAACGATATAATATTTCTTTTATTTCTAGCCTTCTATTAGAATTTTAAAATTTTATTTTTAAAGCTATTCTTTAAATAAAAGAAGAAGTTAAGTCTCATTATAAAGTTTAATTAGGTAGAAATTCTATTTTTTTTTTTATGGAATGTACTTACCCAAGTCATCGTTTGTGTTTTTATTAGTTGCAATCACTAACAAAAAAAAAACAATATACTACTCAAAAGCATTTATTGAATCTATAGCAGTAATTGGGAACCGTGGTCCTGGTCTCGAAAGCCTCACGACTGGTCTGGCGACTCGCAATGCTCTTGCAGAGGTCTTAATTATTACGTATTTTGCGTAGGTGGCGTATCTCCCTCTTGTTTGTATTGACTTTACGTTTAACCCATTGAATTATATAGGCCTAAGACGGCCTTGATTTTATGTTGTAATAGTTGTATATTTTTTAATTTATTCTTCGATCTCATAATCAGGGCAATTGTGCCCTATTGATTAAAGTTATAATAAAATAATGAAATAACTACGTTCTGCTACAAGCTTAATGTGAATAACAAAACGCATGTTGTGATAACAACGGATCACACAAAACTCTTTGTGAGTCATAAGCTTTACATTAAGACATTTGTGTTGTATAAGAGTCGTATGTTTATTTCTATATTTTGAAATGTAGCAATTAAATATAAAAAAATACATATTTTGATAAGTTGCTAATTAAAAATTAATTTATTTTCTTCTAACTTATTTTGTTCTTTTTCCTTGATATACCTGGAATAGGGTAAGTTTAATACGGAAAATTAAAAAAATGTTTCGCAGTTTTATAAACTTTTATAGTAGATGTAACGAATATCAATATCAGTCTAGCATGTATTTAAATGGAAATTTTATGTCTCCCAAACCGCTCTTAATACACAGATCCATTGCTTTCTATCTTTTGATTCTTTAAATCCCATTCTATGTTTGGTAAGCAGTAAGTAACAGAATCATAAATATGCATTTAAAAAAAATACGCATGTACACAATTGTTTTTTGTACGAATTATATAAATATACAGTTATGGAGATAGGTATATACTCGTACGTCCATGGGCACTATGCGTGTTGATTATTGCAAGAAACAAATAAGAAATATACTAATAATTGAGGTAAATTGACCAATTTTCAAATTTAAAGCTGTATTACGAGTCCCCGGAACGAGAAGATTTTCTCCTGCGTATTTAGGTGTTGGAGATAAATTTGTTCCGGCAATTAATTCAATACCGTTGCCTGTAAGAGAAGAAAGATTATTGCATATTAAAATGTAGTAAGAGCGGGAAGCGAAGTAGGGCGCTGAGAAAACTTCCCTCTTACGTTACCTATTTATTTTATTTATTTTTTATGGTTTAAAAAGACAACTCCCGCATTAGGAATAAATCCTGTGTCGTGGGGGACTTTACAAACATACATGAAACGGACACAAAGAACACCCAGACTCAGAACAACAATTTGTGGATCACACAAAGTGTCGTCCTATGTGCAGTCAAAACCTATGTATCTTTGCTCTTATAATATCTTTCTTTTAGTCTTAATGTGCATCTGAATGCGAAACCCGATGTTTTTGCTGTAGTTTACTTATACTTAGGACATAAGAAGTAACTATACCTCGCTTATTTTCTACTTGCAATGAGAGTAACAAGGGTGTTCAATAACTAATAATTAATCGGGTTAACTGTAAGCTGTCTATGTAGGAGTCTGCATCAAAATAAAATCCATATACATTTTTTTCAAGGCGCCTAGAGGCGCCGTCGTCACATTTCCACAGTAAAATTTTAAAACTGCCCTTTGCCGTTAAGTTATTATAACTTTAAAAGATTGCACCACTCAAAGTCAAGGCAGTCGAAACGAGTTGAAAATACAGAAAGGGTTTATACCTTTACTTTTTTTCTGAAACGAATCTTACCTATGTTACAAAGGTTGCTCGTGCATGCTCTATAGTACGTCCTAAAGTTATAGTCGACGATCTCATGGTTGAGATGCACTGGTGCTCGTTCACAACCACGAGTGAAACTGAGGACTACACCGGCAGGGTCCTAAAATGAAATCGCTTATGTGAAAACCCTATCCTTTTAACTTTTTCTTTAATGTTGAAAATTAATGTTTTTTTTAGGCAGAGTTTGTGCCATGGTTACCAGACGGCTGATAAATCTTATAAATATAAACTCTACTCTATCATATGATCAGCTCCAAGATGCCAAAGTCAAAAATTACTTCCAAGATTGGTATACGTAGTTAGTTAATTAATCCATTACAGGTGAAGGTATTATAACAGTGTGTTAATATTATAGTCCTTCTTTATTTACTTACCACATGTTCCTGCCTTACTATGGTGCAATATATGTACGGACAAACCACCTGCCTGGTATTATTTGCTATTGTAAGACATGATTGGTCTGTACTCGTGGCAGAAAAGCTGCAACTGTAACATGAGAACTTTCCTAAAAATAATAAAGAGATTATTAAGATGTGCCTAATAACAGCACTGTTTTAAAAAGAATCATTCTCCTTTATACCTTTTTCTTAGTATGTCTTTAATGTGAAGACGAGTCAATTTATGACCCCACTACATTATTACATCCCAATTAAGTTCTAACCTATTTACATCCCGTAAATAGGTTAGAACTTAATTGTTGTCAAGAGAACACGAATAAATAAAGTGTATTTTCTTTTATTAATTATATGGAAATATTTACTGATCATCACATCACTTGCAATGAACCCATATTGTTTGGGATCGCGGTACATAAGACTGAAGGCTCTGGGAAAAATATCATCTGAATTTGACAAGCTTAGTGTGGAAGAATAGGTGTACGTACTTCCAACACATCGAGGATCAACCAAACTGGATAAGGAGGGCCCTTACCTTAATAAGTAAATTTCAATAACAATAACTCAGATTGTAGAAACATTTGCACAAGCATTTATAAAAATATCAGTTCAAGACAAGATGCACATAACACATGGGGTAATTAGATAATTAAATAAATAAAACATACCGAGAGCTATTCTGGTTGTATAAAAACACAGAAAAAATAGTATTTTAAAAAACATAATGATTTACAAACAATCAACCAATCCCTTGTGGCTTAATCGAATGCCATCTAGGTTCCTTTTGTATCGTAAAATTATCATAATCATTGTTGCTGAACAATGACTTAGTTCTGAATGTTATCAGTATTTTGATGTCTAAGTATTTCATATCAGATATTTTGAAGCGCGACACAAAGTGACAAATGTGGGACAAATCTTTTACCTCGTGTACCGCCGACTACCTCTTCGTCATTTTTCGTCTGGCCCAGTTCATAAACTCAGTAGGCGTCAGTTCCTTACTACTAGTTTTTTTAACACTGTCAGCTTCGTGGTAGACAAAGGGAAATATGTAACTGATAAATTTTGAATTTACCGATGACATTTTACTTAGGGGGCTAGAGGGCACTTAACGACGAAATGCAAGAAAATCAAAGCTTATATTAAAATCGCATGCACTGACCATAAAAATTAGCCTCTTATACAGCCGAGTGAGAACGAAACTATATCGCGATCTAACTCACCCCTCACGCAATACAAATTAAGTTAGAAAATTTTTTTTTTTTTAAGTTAACTGATGGCCTGGTGGGAGTTTGTTTCACATTAACCCGCTTTCGACAGCAAGCGCGTTCGGCGTTGTGATTAGTAAAAAGTTCAGAGGGCCAAGTGCGAGTTTATTTTACATCATTGGTGAAGATTTTGGTGCAGGCCAATCGCATCGGACGATCGAGTAGAAATAAACTTGCACTTGGCCCTCTTAGGCCCAAGTGTTAGTTTATTTCACATCTACTCGCTCTCGATAGCGTTGCGATTGGTGGAGATTTCAGTGTGGGCCAATCGCAACGCCGAAAGCGGTCACCGCGATGAGCGAGTTGATGTGAAATAAACTCGCACTTAGCCCTCAGTGAGGGCTAATCACTATTCTCCGTGACTATCGAGTAGATGTGAAATAAACTCACACTAGACCTTCAAATCTTTATTCAATTTTCGAAAGTATGACCACGTGTCTGCTTTACGTTCTCAACAACATTGGTTGCCTATTCTCCTGCGCCGTAATCAGAGAGCCCTGACCTTTCTCTTTTCATTCCTCAACGCCCCATTCTCATCCACTTACCTCGATCTCTATCTTCGTTACCTGTCCGCTAATCACGACAGAAATCCCCGCTCAACAACTAATTTGCTTCTCCTGTGTCCCTTCCAAAATATCGACTTCGTGAATTCTTCGTTCTTTGTGCAAGCAGTACTCTTCGTTCTTTGTGTAAGTTAGTTAAAACTTCACACAGTGCACCTACCTTACCAGATTTCTACACCACTCTACGCCACCCAAAGGTTGGCTTGTAGAGAATACTCAGGGCATTAAGTCTGCCGATGTACATAAGTGCATAAAAAAAACTTAACCAATCGCAACGCCGAACGCGCTCGCTGTCGAGAGTGAATTGATGTGGAATAAACTTGCACTTGATTCGCAGTTACGAGTATGGTTCCGCTCACAGTTAACTTATTAGAATTGTATTTTTCTAACTTAGTTTATAAGAATTTATATTGTATACAATCGGACACAACCATTACTTTTCTTCTTTTTTTTACCCGACTGCAAAGGAAGGGTTATGTTTTTCGCGCGTCTCTCATATTTTCATAGGATTTAATATAATTAACATATCGTTAGATTCGTCTTGGTAACCCAAGTGTTCTTAGATAGGTGACGTTAAAAAGAAACCAACATGAGTGTAAGACGCTATAGTTTAAAATAAAAAATGAAAAATTTGGATACTGCAATATGGGTATCAAATTAAAGGAAACATCATGAGGGTTTTAAAATGGTATATCATGAACATATTTTAATTTAAACAAATATGTTATTTATTAATCTATTCAAGATACGCGCGGATGACTAGATAGGTTTGTGAAATTTAAAGTGACAAATGTACATCTAATTAAATATAACAGAGTAAATAAATGTTGATATTAGGTTATAATAAAACAAGCCATACCGAAGTGAAAAAAATCAAGCAATCAAGTGTAATATTTATGTAACAAGAACGTAACACGGACGTTATTTCTGCCAAATTTGTAGAGTACCCTAATACCGTAATATTTATAATATAAGTAAATAAATGACCTATTTTAGGCGGAGCTAAACCAACAGAACACACTAGTTTACGAAATTACCACAAGATCGAGCGACGTATGCTTCCTTTAATTTTATGCTGGGCAGTGACAGTATATAAATTGCAGGGTACCACTTTAGATCGAGCTGTTGTCGATTTAAGCAGTAACCTATTTGCTAAAGGTCAAGCCTACGTGGCTTTGAGCAGAGTCCGATCTCTCTCAGGGTTTGCTAGCAGTGCCCTTGGCCCTAAAAATATAATAAGTCATCCGATCACACGATGAAAATTCCTTTAAAGAATTAGACCGTTTACGGAATTTGTAATAAACGTAACATACAATGCGAAATTCTCCATTTTATTATAATCGTAATTAAAAAGTGTAAAATAAAAAATAAATAAAAAACCCGACTGCGTAAAAAATAACTAATTATAACTTACTAATAACTTTAAATAAAAACTGAAAAGAAGAAAACAAGTTCAGTCCAGAAGTGTAGAAAGCAACTTAATTACTACAAAATTAAAATAATTTTATTATCAATTCACACAAAATAAAACAATATATTCTAATACGAAACATATTGACTGCAACAGTTGGAACCCATTAAATAATTTAGACTCATCAAATTGTCATAAATAATCTAAAATCATTCCATCTAATATGGGTCCAGACTGTTGGGTCCACTGTTATTGGGCCTGGATAGGTGCAGTGTCGATTCGGGATGGACCTTAAAATTACATGGTCTGGGTCCGAGTCCACCGGGTTGATTTTGAGTATAAACACTACATATTTCTGGCTCTTGCATCGCCGTGATTGCGTCCGGTTCCCCCGGAGGCGATTCACCAAAAAAATAATTAAAAGAAAATGTTCAATGATACCTAGGGATATACGTATTACTGTCATAAAATAACTGGTAGGTGCCAGATATACTAGTATTACGCAAAGACTCAAAGCGATTATTTTCTTGTCTCTAATGTTTTCTGTTTCTTAATCTCGATTATTTTCTTGTAGTCATCCAACTGTATCAACAGTTGGTAAGTGAATACTTGCCAAATGTTGGTTTCGGTGATAATCGGTGTTTAGTACCCATTTAACAAACTCATGATGTACTCAGTGAGACCTGACTTGTGACTACTTCAAAATTATGTGCTGGTTTAGCTATTTAATATTTAAGACCTCATGGAATTTGTAGGTATGTAGACTTTTTGTATACTTCGAACATGACAAGTATACGTATACAAGAACTCTACATACCTTTTTTTTCCGTGCGGCAATCCCCTCGGATACCACCGGTATATCGGTGGTATTTCAGACTCTCACCGACTAAAACCGCACGCCGTCTCGGGTACTAATAGCCGGGGAACCAGGTATACCCTTTCTAGGGTATACCTATAAAGAAAAAGTCTACATACCTACAAATTCTATGAGTATTAATCAACCACTGAAACGTAATCTCCTTACGTCTTTTTTAACTTTTATTTCTACAAAAAAAGTGATTATTTGCTTCTGCTTATATTTACTTCTTTTTTGCTCATAAAAGGGTTATAAAAAGGTCCATACAAAAAATTTGGACAATAGTCATTTTATCAAACCTCTTTTCAATATTATATCCATTTTGGTGCACTCAAGGTAATTAATAATTTAATAGTGTATATTGAAGTTCAATTTTATTCTATTTTAGTCCACTAGTCCATAACAATGAGTGAATAGTTTTTGTGAGCTATGTTCTAGAATTGCTTACTTGCATTGATTGAAAACTGTTATAACTTTTTTAGTTTTATCATTACTATTCATTACTCTAAAATTGTCAAGGCAATATTTTTGTGGAACTGATAATTACTACTATAACTGTAACTTGAATACTTATATTTAACTAATTAAATTGAGCTCGTCGAAACTGATTCGATCTTGATTTTATATTTCTCTGGAAATTTTCTTTCATTTCCAGACTGCGATGAAGCAAGATTTCTGCAAGAAGTAGTGCAAAAGCTAGTAATACTCCATAAAGCAGCATCAGCAATGCAGGATAGAAGTCCACCATCTTAACTGACTCGAAGTTACCGCTTGTAACTGTGCATAGTGGCTTTTTAACGAATATCATACGATTGTTTCTGGTGTTTAGACCATGTTCCTCGATGCGCAATAACCTGTTAAACAATTAAAGGTCTTAATATTCGTTTATTGTGTATGAATATTGCTAATAGATAAATTCCCCATATTCCTCTTAAAGTGCTACTGTTTATTTTTTGCAATTGTCTCGCGATTACAGTTAGGGCGTCACGTTATCAGCTTTAAACATTTTTTTTGAATGGATTTTTTTATCAAATTGTTAGTTTTAAATAAACATTTTTTCATTGATCCTAGAAAAAATGATAATAATTACATTGTTGTACCTAATTATCTGTTTCCAGATAAAGTGAATTAAGATAGTTCGTAAGTAAAGTTTTTTGTTTGCGTATAAAATATTATACGTAAATGTTTTTCTTTTATTTCTACGTATCTAAATACTTAAAAACATAGTTATATTTTTTGTGTGTTATAATAATTACAAATTTTATTAAATATTATAGACCATATTCTACCGCTGTAACTCGGAAACATTTTAATTAATCCTATGATTGGCTGAAAGAGATACAAACATACAAAGACAATAAGTATTTTTGTGTATGCCGCCCTTTGTATATTAACTGTTTGACATATTAAGTATGTACGATAACGAGTCTGTAACAATAGCGTACAAACAAGGGTTATCTATCTATTTATATATTTAGTAACAATCTAATCAGTGTTCATGTCTAATCCTTATAAATTCTTAGCAGATAACAAATCAACAACTTATGTTGTTAAACAAATTACAATTCGTTTGAAATGTAAGGAAATAAAAAGAAGTAATGACAATAGTGCACATTATATAATCATCAACAGCTTTTATTAGTCCACTGCTGGACATAGGCCTCTCCTTAGAAAGGAGGTATCGGCCTACTATACCACGCTGGCTAAACGGGTTGGTATAGGGTTTGTTTCAAGTTTTCCTTCTCTTTGCAGTGCTGTTGTCCTGCGTAGTTTACTCCCTTAGTCGTTTCTTACGACGCCCACGGGATGAATAGGGGTGGTGACATTCTGTATTCTTAATCCGTCACCGGACCGTCCGGACGTACATTATATGAATAAAAATAATAAATATTAATCATTATATTGATATGAACCCGATAATTAAGATTGGGGTTTATTTGTTCACAGTATCCAATATAAATTTGTCATTAGCTATCTAACTTAAATAAAAGTATCAAAATTTACCCGACTCGGTACATTTCCGTGTATGGAGATTCTTTCTTACAGCAAAACCATGGTTTGCGGCCTTGGATGTAGTCGATCTCCCGTAATCCACACTTTTCATGTTCTCGAAAGTATTGAGAGACGATTCTATATCCTGTACCAATATTCATATTGAAAGCAAAAGGTTTCTGTAAAAAAATCAAAACAATTACTTATCACAAGTCTGGCATAGGCCGTAAAGACTTTAAACAGGGACCTACTAGAGGAGGCAGCCATTATTTACTCTTGGCTGCCTCCGCAGGCTCCGGCTGAGGAGGTCAACAATTGGGCTGGTCGCTTTCGTGATGCGATTACGCAGATTTGATGCATCAGAGATCGGCCTCCAAGGAAGGAGGTCTACTGGTAGTCCCAGGAGTTGGCGGACTTCCGCGCGGCCTGTACTCGTGCCCGGAGGTCCTACACCCTCAGTCGGCGGCGTCACCGCAGCGACAGTGAGGAGGACCGGCTTCATGAGACTTTTCACGTCTTTGGACCGGCCGGACAACCGCAAACTCGGGGGATCATCCGCTCGAAATGCTCCTCGAAGCTCCAGGGGATGTCCAGGGAGAGGCCGAGGTATTTGATGTACCACCCGACCTCGACCTCTGTTCCCCCCACTTTAATAAGCGCGCTGGTGGGAACTGCACCTCTGCGTTTCCTGTGAAACCACAGGGCTTCCGTCTTATGAGGTGCAACCCTTAGACCCAGTCCGCTGATCCGTTGGACGACACAAGCCACCCCTAACTCGGTGAGCTCAAGAACTTCTTGCCATGCCCCCCAGCTAGTATCAGTCGTCCGCGTAGCAGACGACACTCACTCCTGGGGGAAGGCTAGTCCTCTGGGCGGCGTCATACGCGAGGTTCCACAGAAGAGGTCCTAGGACCGACCCCTGGGGAACACCGTATATGACCTCGTTTCGACAGTCTTCGCCGTCCCAACCCATATACGATATGGACCTGTCGCGGAGATAAGCCCCGATGATGTCCCGCAGGTAGGGAGGCAACTGGTGATACACAAGTGCCTCCCTAATCGCCCACCACGGGAGAGAGTTAAAGGCGTTGAAAATGTCAAGACTGAAAGCCAACGCCGCTCCCCCGACAGACAACCTCTTCCGACAAGGAGCGGACACGTTCAATCGCGTCCAGCGTAGAGCGTCCCTGTCGGAAGCCAAATTGGTTGTCTGATAAATCAGGGCCCACTCGCGACCGGTGCTGGTTAATACGGGCGGCGATAACTCTTTCAAAGAGTTTCGCCACCTCGTCCAACAGGCATATCGGTCGGAAACTGCCTGTTTGATATTATAAATTTACCAAACAAACCAAATATTTTACAGAGAAAAGTTGACAATAAGCCAATCTCTTGAGACTAATGAAAGTCGAAACACAGTCAACAAAAGAGGTTCATAAGTTTGTAGTGATTATCAGAGATTTTTCATTTGGAGAGAAACCTACGCAAAATAAAATAAAAAAATTACTGTTTGAAGTCTCTTTACTCCTTCTTCAAGACTTATAAAAATTGGTTTATACCCTTTTGGTGATATCTTAGTCTCATAAAAAGCTTTCCGAATAGGATCTCGTGCATAATCTGCCTGAAATATACAAAGAACAGGTATATTTAGTTTTCGAGAACATGTCCATAGATGTAAACAAAATAAAGACACTTTTTTATGGGCGAAACTGTTTTAATCTTAGGGTGTGAAATATTATTTAAATAACTGGATCTTGAAGGATATGGGCAAATATAACTAATACTACTAGAACAAGAGAACTTCTAGAACTAGAGCAAAAGACGCATTTCAGATGCTTAGAATTAGTTTAATGTTAAGGATTTCTCTTAGTAGTAAAATTCTCCACTCCTGAAAACTGAAAACAATAAACTAGTTATGCAAAAAAAAGCTTAAAAGAGAAAACAAAAAAAAATGTTAGAAGTATACGATACCGAAAAATAATATCTATGAAACACAACGTCTTCTATGCCAAACTCTAATTTTGAGTTCATGAGATCTGTAACAGTTCTGATTTGGTTTGAAGTTGATTGCAGAAGTACCACGATACTGGCAGAATACGAAGTGTAGAAGAAGAGGAATGCCAAAAATACTATGAACATCACTAGACGTCCTAAGGTTCCTGAAAAAACAAATGAATTTCTACTATTTCCAGAAATGGACTTAGGCACTTCCACGGTGGGAAAGTTAAACTTACAGTAAGTTTCAAATTCAAGTCCAGTCTATAACGAGGGAGATCAGTAGATAGTGATAGTTGTTTTACGCAATAATAATAATAATTATATATTATATATATATATTATTACACGTAATTATAAGAATAAAATCGATATTAATTATTATAAATCTTTTTCAATTGTCAATTTTATAATGTCTAAATTCAAGCTTAAAGTAATGAAGAAATAATGATGAAAATTTACTACATTTAATTTACTACATTTAACATTTATAATGTTTGTATTTATAAAATATTCAAGGTCGTATCTTTTACGAACAGCATAGACGAGCATGCAGTGTTTCTAGAAGAGGTACTGGGAAGAGGTTCATTACAATTTATCCTTTATGTTAGACCTGATCCACAACTAACCTTTTAGCTCATTAGAACTTCCTTGTTGAGAAACGGCACTAACCACAAAAATTATAATGTCGCTCCATGTTGCTGCCAAACATGTTTCATCGATGTTTTTCTAAAACACAAGGTAAGCTATAAATGTACGCTGAATTGATCATCATATACTTGGTACTTAGGTAGTCAACTGCTTCACATTGGCCTCTCCGTAGAAAGGAGGTTTTGGCTAAAATTATAAAATTATATTGTTTCTATATTGAGTGTATTGTGATTAACAGTTCAATCCTTACCTCTTCATAATCTTCGCATTTCTTGATATCCCATTTAGCATTCACGTACAGTATAATTACCAATATGAGGATAAATCCCCCGAGGCAATACCATACAGCAGTTGTGAAGGGTAAGGTAAATAGATTATATTGATAAGACAGAGGTGGTTGCCGAAATACTATTTTAGACATAGACGTAAAGCCAGGAATGGTTATGTATTCTAAGATCTCCATACGGTCTTTGTTCATAAATGAGATGGTTCCTGAATTAGGATAAAGGATACAGTATTAAAACAAACATTGGTGTTGTGAGTCTGGTGTGTGATACTAATCAGTAATCTAACTCTAATCACTAAAAGGCGAGCTTAGTTAGTTAAAAAACTTATCATCATCATCATCAACAGCCTTTAATAGTCCACTGCTGGACATTCCTCAGGCCTCTCCTTAGAAAGGAGGCTTTGGCCTACTATACCACGCTGGCCAGATGGATTGGTATAACTTTATGTAAAATTTTCCTTCTCTTTGCAGTGCTGTTGTCCTCCGTAGTTTGCTACCTTAGTCAGCTGTAACGATAACCACGGGATGAATAGGGGTGGTGACACTCCGTATTCTTAATCCGTCACCACACGGTAATGTACATCATAATTTTTTTACTAGATTACTATTGTTATTTGTTGTATGTATATCGGTTGAAATGCTTTTACTTCACCTACCACATAAGTCAGCTTTTCCTGTGTATATATCTCCGTTCATGCCAGTCCAGCTACCATTCACAGGATGGCCCCAAGAATCAGAGAATATAAATAATCTTGTTGCATTTAAGAACTCGTACAGATTGTTGATTGCGTGGAAAGTGCTTTTTGTGACCGGGTCTATGAACGTATTGCTGGAATGGATTTATATATATATTCATAAGTTAAGTATGATTCTGCGTTTATGAAAAAATGTATATAAATCTTGGTTGGACAGTAACTGTTTTGTTTTTTTTTGTTTTTGTGATTTTTATTTCATATTAATTTCATTTGTTTTTCTTTTCCTAAAATTGCCTTGTAAAAATTATCAAGTAATTTTAAAATAACTGTAAAACATGAAAAAAGTCTGAACTAAAGTATTATTATTATGATAATACATAATCTTGCTAGCAGCGCCTCAGCATCCGAAACTAAACCAGAGAATACTTGAATTGATTTTACTTATTTCTAATTAATATAATTTTGATTTACTACGCTAACACTCAGCTACTGCTAACATCTCTAAATTGACAATTTATACACTGCATATTTAAATGAAAATGAAAATATTGATTAGACTAAAGAATTCAGTAAAGATCGCGTGTCTAGATATATTTGTACTGTTGTTCTGTTAGCCCATAGATTATGTGATAATTTAATTTTGTGTAGCCAGTCATTCGTGTGGAACTTTTTTCTGTATTTTTCTGTCCACTAGAGGGAAAGCTGTGTACAAAATAGGTAATACACCATATTGGAATATTTCATACAATGTATTTTGTGTTTACTTTTTTATTATTGTCTTTTCATTAAAAATTAGACTAAAATAGAAGCTTTTACTGCTGAAATTTTTCGAAACTGTTAGATTTTTCAAGGTTTAGCCGAAATTTACGAATTAAAAGAAAAGAAGATCATTTAAATAGGCGATGATCGTTCTGGTAGTTGCATAATTTCACTTAGTTGGAAACTGTGCTGAAGCTGTACCTGCAAAAGTAACAATAATGTACAAAGTGTGACATACGTTAAATCTGCTAAATTATAACGTGTTCTATTATCAGTAATAACAAGAGAAGTCACTATGGTATTTCCTTTTAAATCTTTTCTCCTCACAGCATTAGACATGATTCTTTCTTGTGACTTATTTAAACCGCTTTTATTAGTCCAAGATCCATAATATTCCACAATCCATTCGGCTTCCGGTTTTATCTTGTACACTGTCAAAATAAAACACACTAAAAACAAAAACAATGACACTCCCGATAAAGTATTATTTTTATTAAGCATTAGTTAAGTTCATGTTATAATATGGATCAAGGAGGGTCTATACCAGAAATACGTGCCTACGAAATGTCTAGATACACTTTCTTATCACCGTTGTTGTCCATCGCATCGTTCCTGAACTGTTTTGAACTACATTCTTTTAATTATCCATCAGACACTAGTAGAAATAAAGCAATCAAATGGCCAGCCAAGAACAGCGAGGGATATATGTTAGGGTGCTCTGTGTAAACATGGAGAACCTATCATACGCAAAGGTAAAGGTCAAAGCAAAGGACAGTCTGGTACATACGTATATTCCTACTATACCGTAAAGCCGATCTCCAATATGTTTTAGGTGGCTTTTTAATGCTACTAGGAAAATTTGTAAATTAAAATCTTATGGTAAACTGACTCACCTGCCTGCAGTAAAAAATCTCCAATATCGAGTTCTTCAGCGACAATAAATTCAGAGTCAACTAGTACATTCAATTCCGCTAATTCATTAAGCACAGTATCGGCTTTACCAAGAAGAAGCCATCGGTAAGTTTTACTAAACATTTTGTTTGTACTAGCCTATAAATGAGGATGAAACTATAGATTATTTAAGTATTTTATTAAAATGTTTTTGGTACAACTCAATATCTTCAATGCCAATGACATTTAAGAAGTAAAGAGTAAGAGTCCTCTACCTCCACCATATAGTTTCATCTTCTAAGGTTTGATCGACTATCATTAAAAAGCCATATTTGTTGGACTAGTTAGCAAATAATATGACCCCATCTTAAGAAGTTTACTAGTAGTCAATGAAAATTTCTAATACCCTTTACACGGTAACATTACTGAACTCTAAGATGCAAATGTACGTATTGCCATCAACTCAGTCATCAAACTAATTTTACGAAATTTAGAAGCAGGTAGATGAAAATATACCTCCGATATTTGTTTACATAGTTAGATTGTAAGTTAGTTACAACGAAAGCTTAATAAAAACTCATTAAAAATGATATGAAAAAGTGTAATGGATTTACCTGCTTCAGAAAACGTTTATATTTTGGACATTCTGTGTCTATTAAGAAAAACAAGCGATTGTCCGCACCTATGTTGTTAATTACTTCATTGTTAGCAGTAAATCTTATTGACAGTTGCCTTTCCTTAGTAAAAACCTTAGCCAGTTTGTATTTGTACACTGAAACAATATATAGGCTTTTTTTTATTTTAGAGGAGGCAAACGAGCAGACGTGTCACCTGATGGAAAGTGACTATCGCCGCCCATGGCAGCCGTTCATGGGCGGCGATAGTCAGGAGTCACACACGCGTTGCCGGCCTTTCAGGAAGGAGTACGCTCTTTTTTTGAAGGTCGTATCGCTCCGGAAATACCGCCGGTGATAACTTGTTCCATAGATTGGTTGTGCGAGGCAAAAAGTGTCTCGAAAAGCATACAGTAGTGGAGCGCCAATTATCTAGGTGATGGGTATGAACAGGCTGGTATTAGTCCGAACAATTCCTCGAAGCACTCTCCATGATATGTACGATAGAGAATGCAGAGTGAAGCCACATCTCTAAGTAACCTTGACGAAGGAGAAGCTGTTAAGAATATAGTATAGAGATGTATAGATATAAGAATTGCGCCTTATAGAGCTGAAGGCGGAGTGAAATACTGGCTCGATCTGTTCAGCACACCGAGCTTCTTCGAGGCCAATATGACTTTACCCTCTAAGTGACCCAGAAGCTAGACTTCGCTCGATATGTCGATGCCTAGGATTCCAATACTGGCTGATGCAGTTAGGGAGGTGCTCTCAAACTGAGATGATATGATAAATGGTATCGTCTTTGCGGTGAACGCACAGACCTGTGTCTTTTTGGGTTGAAGTGGACTAGATTTAGTCGGCCTCAATCTGAAACCTCCGCTAAGGAAATTTCAATTTCAGACACAAGTTTGTTTCGACTCTCGATGACGTTTTCCCGAGTAATAATGGGGCGGCCAATGTAGACTTGAATGTCTCTTGTTACTCTAGTGTGTGTTTTTAAAGCAGATGACTTTCGAATGATAATTTTGATAATTTTGGCCCGAAGGGTATAAGGACTAACTTTCACGGTAGTCGTGGAGCAGTTAGAAATGAGAGTTGCGCCGATTGTCCAAAACGAGAATACGTGGCATTTCGCAACTTAATTTTGCGAATAGATGTTGTATAAGAAAGTGGTAACAAATAAATTAGGTTAGTTAGTACTCTTCTGCCTAGAGTAATATTTATACACAAATGGTTTGTACACGATACGTGATACAAGGTGATTTTGATCTTTGCAGTTGGCATTACTTACTATTTTTCCAGCAGACATTTGCAATAACCGATGTAGGCTGGTTGTAAGATGCGATGGTATCAGTAATCATTTGAAAATTATTTGAATTTGGAATTGAAAGGCAAATATTCAAACACAGTATATTCAAAAGTAACAGAACAATCATCATTTTTTTGAAATTAAACATCTATATGTAAAAGCTGCGGTGCATACACAAATAATACTAAGACACTGCATCTACGTTTATTTATATATTAGGTATATGACGATAAAGCTACCTTTTATAATTGTTTCTACTTAAATAATTGGTAGCTACGACACAAAGCTACTCCGTTAATCGCAAAGGCGTTACAAAGCCTATGATTACGATAGTAATTATTCATACTGTATCTGCTAACCAAGTATCTGTAACTACTAGTTGTGTATATTTATGTAATTAGACATTAAGGATGCAAATTTTTAAACGAGTTTCGTAATTAAATCCTTTTCGATTTTAAAACACTTAACAAAAAGTATGATAAAGTAAACTTTTCCTTTCATTTAAACCTTTCATTAGAAAATGCTACTTTATAAGACTGATAAAGATTAAAAAAAACAATAGTACAAGTAATAATTTTAAATATATTACAAGTAATAGTTTTTTTTTATAATTTTGTTATGATTGTTAAAAACTTTACGTAGGGATACATTCACATGTATCTAGTCATTGTACAGACTATGCTTGGTTTTGGTCTAGAAAGCAATGTTTTTTAGGATATTATAATTAAATGAATAATAATGTCTTTCGATGGTAATATTTAAGTTGATTGAAAACGGCTTATTCTTATTTAATATTTTTTTATATTACATAATTGTGAATCATTAATCTATAGTGTTGTAAGTGCTGTATGTATGTAATGTGAGTAAAGTAAAAGTAATATATGTATGTAATTTTTCGACTAATTTATAACATCTTCATTGCTTTTATCGTGCAAGCAACGTAAATTTTGAATCATCTGGTGTCTCTTGTAAAGTAAATTCTCAAAGCCAAGTAGAATTAGAGCTAATAAAGCGCCATATGATAAAATAAGTAAAGCAGGATAACAATCCACCATGCTGACTGATACGAAGTTCGAGCCGCCGCCAGCACATTTTGGTCGTTTCTCATACATTAGACGATTTTCTCGGTACTGTAAACCATGTTCTTGTATACGTTTCATTCTGTAAAACAGCATGAGATCACTAAGAATCCACCAGATATAGGTATAGGTATATATGTATTTAAAAATTAAAAATAAGGGGCAAAAACCACTGCACATCACCGTACTTAACAAATTGTTGCCAAATTTTAAAAGTAAATAGCAATTAATGTGTCAAGGAGGTATTGAGCGCAGCATGTTTAATAAAAGAAAAATTCAAAATAAATAAATATAACAAGGTAAGTAATGGCATAAGATCAATATAGATTGTTTTTACTATCTCAAAAACGTGTATTGTGTCGTTTACAATTTTTTTTGGTACCACCACCACTGCTGACTAGTGATGTATAACGTGAAATAACATTCGTTATGTGTTAATTTTTAATGATACTGTTGAAATTTGTCGAGTTCATAAGGGATTCGTAAAACATATTAATTATATCCATTTCAACAAAAAACAACTAAATTAATTTATAAAACTTGAAATTATTTTTTTTACCGCATTTTTTTGACTTTATCTGCTATCTTTTGGACCACCTTCTGGAAACTTTTTAAAGCTTTTTTTGGCCACCCAGCAGAGGCGTGACCTCGTGGTGGCCATCGGAGTGGGAGTCCTCTCGCTCGGTGGTATGATTACCGCCATGGTACGGAGCGAGAGTGTACTAGGCCCGGGAACGGGCCATGTACCGCAGACGACTCGGGCGCCGGAGGTCACAGAACGCCCTCCGTCCTCCATAGGCGCAGGCCTGGGGTTGACGGCGAGCGGCGAGACGCGCTGCGGAGCGCGCGTGCCCAAAAGGGGAGAGAGGAGCACCAAGGGAACACGGGGTTCCAACACAGGAGGGGGTCATCTACCCGCCGTAGATGCCCCGGAATACGTCGGGTTACCAGGGATTTCCTTTCTAGGGTACACCTGGTTCCCCGGCTACTGGTACCCGAGACGGCGTGCGGTTTTTGGTCGGTTCGAGTCCGACATAACCACCGGTGGGTGGTATCCGAGGGGATTGCCCCACGGAAAGAAAAAGGGTTAACTTATATAAAAATAAGACACATTTAATTTGTTTTTAGAAATACTTAAAGTTTAAAATTAGTTATAATAAGTTACGTTCAAGCAGCATGAACATAGTTATTATACTTTTTTTTAATTTGAATTTATTTTATAGGGGGCGCTCAAGGAAACGGATCACATGATGAAAAGTAACTACCGCTGCCTATAGCCACCTGCAATTCTGGAGTCACAAATGTTAGCATTACTGTCAAATACTCAACATTCAACTTATATATTTGAATAATGATGTATACTATTGTATTTGAATAATACTGTTTACTTTAAAACTTAAACATACTTTAAAAACAAAAACAAATATGTCTAAAGTAGGTAATGTATCTATAATATTTCACTGCAGCACATACTACTCGTACTTCCAGTTAATAATGGCACTGCCTAAAATGACGAGTCCGTCAGTTGCTATACGGCGCCCGACTTGTGAACACACAAAATTGATTAAGAGTTATTTAAGCAAAGAGTATTTATTTCATGGATTCTTACAGTCTGGGATTTAAAGTAATTTAAGCAAGGAGGTCCTTTTCACGGAGTCTTCCTCAAGATAATAACGAAAAGCTGTGCCAAAAAAAAAAGAAATACAGAAAGTACGAGATAAACGTTTACCCAATCTTGAACATCTCCTTATATGGTGAGTCCTTCCTCACAGCCAACCATGGATCAATGACTTGTAGGTACTGTATTTCTTGAAGGCCGCATTTTTGTCCTTCGCTGAAATATTTGCCCACAAACTTGTATCCTACACCAGTTTCCATGTGAAATGCAAACAATCCCTGGAATTTGCCAAAGTGAGTAAATACTTCTACCTTATTTAGTAGAGTAAAAATGTAATGTTGAACATAAATGAATCAGTATCAAAATAATATTTGACAGCGATCATGTGTGTTTGTGTAGAGCCCATTTAAATTCTAGTTTAGAAGGTATGTCACCAGGTCTTCATGGATTCAGGATTATGGGTCAACTTAACAGCAGCGGTTTATAGCACTTATAGCAGACTGACTTGTTTATAAAATCAAGAAACATAACATTACTTTTAATGTATTGAGGACCCGGTACTTTGCAACTGAATGTACCAATATTAATATTAAAAACCATTCTTGAATTAAAAATTAGAGCGAAAACATTTGTTTAACAATTTTATATCAAAATGTACCGGAAATAAAAATAAGTTTTGCTTTTCTTGTTTTTTCTTTTCAGGTTCCATTTACAATCTATGTACCTAATGCAATCGGATTCCGTTCCCTTTTAATAATTTATTTTTCACTTTTCGTTTTTAAAAATGGCCAATAGAGATATATTTTATTATCTAGTATAAAATCAAATGTTTGTTGAGTGTCCAAATTCGCGCTCTTCAGCACCACCTAGGGTGTATCTATACCTACTTATAATACAAGTACTGGACTGTACGTACGTACTCGAATGTAATTGAAAGCCACATTATTTAGTAAACCATTATAAATTTCATATATTAAATGTATTATGACTGAGGGTTGTACATCTGCTATGAGAACTCTATATGAAGAAATATAGCGATCAATCGTTACTTTATCGTAATCGTCAAATATATTTTTACGTATAAACAATAAATATATATAATGTATTAATAGAATTATTTAAGACAAATGAAATCTGCAAATTTTTGTGATTTCTTTCTTAATCGCCAACAAAGGAACCGAACCTTTCCCATTCTTATGACTCCTTCATCCATAGTCATGAAGCCTAGTGAAGTTCCGGGTGGTGCAACTTTCTTCTCATATATTGCTTTTCGAGTAGGTTCAGTAGTGGTCTGAAATGGAATTAAAATATTAAAATATGCCGATGGGATTATAGAACGATACTGTTTTAATTTTATTCATTATTATCATCATCCCCCGAGCCTTGATTTTAAAACAAAATATTTGAATATAAACTAATAATACAAACTATTACAAACCCACGAAATAGGAATTGAACGCAAATAGTTTTTGCTTCTACATCCTTATCTACTGTTAATTTTAATAACTTTTGAACAATGTTATTTTTTTATAATTGTTTTTATAATTGTAACTTTAACATTATTATTATAATTGTTACTTTTACATCTAATCCAAAATATTTCTAAAATTTTCAAATCTCACTCTAGTGTGTACTTAAAAATGTGTACACATAAATCTCAACCATATGAAGATGATGAACTTCATTTAAATGGCAGCATATAGATTAAAAGTGCATCACCTCATTAACAATGCTTACATACCGAGAAGTAATATCTGTTAAAAACAGTATCATGTACACCAAATTTAAGCCTGGAATGAAGTAAATCATCCAAAGTTTTAATATGCGAAGAACTGGATTGCAGTAGCGCCACAATATTTGCTGAGTATGAAGTGTAGAGGAACATTAGTGAAAGGAACAACACCAGCATTACCACTCGACCAAGAGATCCTGAAAAATATAATACACTTTGAAGTCAATTTAATTTTTTCAAGGAGTACTAAATGAATATTACGACCAGATAGCGTGGTGGTTTGTGGTTGTAACATTTAATGTTTGATTTGGTCTGGGTGTTTCTATGTATAATATGTATTTATTTACAAAAAAAATAGTATAAATGTATTTATATCAGTTGTCTAGTACCCATAGTACAAGCTCTACTTAGTTTGGGACTAGATGGCGTTGTGTGAATGTGGTAGATTATTATATATTATATTATATGACTTACAATACTCAAGTATGGTACTTGAGTATTGTAAGCCATATATGCAGCTAGAAATATTTGAAATAAAAAGAAATCGTTTCGACCTCATTAGTGGCAATAGGTTCTAGTAACTCAGAAAAACAACAAAACAAAAATAAAATCGATTGTACACTGAAGTTTACCTTTTAGTTCGCAAGGACTTCCTTGTTGACATGCAGCTCCAAACATTAGTATAATAATATCAACAGCATTGGCTCTTAGAATGCCAGAATTTGTTTCTCTCTGAAAAAGAAGTCATCACATCAACAGCCTTTAATAGTACACTGCTGGTCATAGGTCTTTCCTTAGAAATGAGGTTTTGGCTTTCTATAACACGTTGGCCAGACGGTAGAGGGTTTGTGTCAAGTTTTCCTTGTCTTTGCAGTGCTGTTGGCAGACGTAGTTTGCGTAATTAAAATTGCGTAAATTAAAATTAAAGTGGGTGTCGTAAAAGCCGACTAAGGGAAGTCGGCTCTTACGACACCCACATTAATTTAAATTTAAAAAGAATATCTTGAGTTACTCTTTAAAGCAAACAATGAGGATGTCACTGTAATATCACTGTCCATTATTTTATTTACAAGAAAGATAGCATATTTTTTACATGGACGGGGAGATTATAAGACACAAAAACATTACTCAATAATTACTTCTTCTTAATTCTATATTCTATTCAGAATTTAGGTTCAGGTTCATTTAATAATGTACTTACTGTTTCAACAGCATGACTCATTTTTCTCCATTCCCATTTCGCCACAAGAAACAAAACGAAATAAATTGTACATACTAAGGCTACGGTGCTGTACCATACAGTCGTATTGAATGGTAGTAGGAACAGATTATTTTCATATGAGAGCTTTGGTTGTTGGAATACGAACTTAGAGCGGGTTGGAGTTGGGCTTGCGATGTAGTCCACGATGGATATTCGTTCAAAAGTAAAGAACATAGGAGATCCTGTAAATCATATTCGGAATAATCATATTTTGGTATGTAGCTAGTGACGGATAATATCTAATATTTTGAATTCTCGGTTGAAGTCTCCCTTAGAGTGACTCCTTTTGTGGTAGAGTCACTGCTAATATGCATGTGTATTTCGTTACCGCTAACCTGCTATAAATAATATGCAAGCACTACTATGTTTATCGCACTCAGAATCACCGATTATAATTGAATATTAATTTGATTGGTTGCGACTCGTGCAAGCTAATGTACAATAAGTTTTGAAATCCGTGGTAAAATCTTTTATTGGTTTGGATATTTAAGCAATAAATAAAAATCAAACCGCTCTGTTTAAAATTTCAAAGAGAAAAGTATGACATTGCAAACAAGAGTGCGAGACTTTTCAAATGATGACATTATTTATTGTGACATATTTTCCGTAATTCTGATATAACGCAATATTTAAACAATGTGAACAAAGTTGTGGTCAACAAATTATCCCATGTCGTTTAGTGCTGAAATCATATGAATTAGGAAGTTTTCCGTCTATAGCGATACAAGAAATATTAAATTGAGTTCTGATTTAGATAGACTATCATTTTGTCCAACAGTGAAAACACTTACCTCCAATTTCAACTTCTCCTCTGACCAAATGGCCCGTCATTCCATTCCAAGTACCGTTGACGCGATAACCCCAGGTCTCAGCAAAAATATATTTTCTTGTAGCGTTGAGGAAATCCAGCAAATGGTTAGTTGTAGGGAAATTCACTTTCGTAATCGTATCAATGTGATCATCTCTGAAACAACATTGTAGGCATTTAACGCAGAATATATCACTATATCTAAATAGCTATAATCAAAGCTAGTTTTTGTAGTCAATCTGATAGAAATGATTAAAAATATCAAATTTCAATCACTTAATTAACTATTTTTTTAAAGATTTTCGATTATAGGACTCCTACTTTCGTGCAATAGTAAAATCGAATTACAATTTACGAAATTATGCTGCTTAATCAATATGCCTTCCTACTATTTTCCTTCTTAATTTTCAAAATTTTTAGGTAGGACAGAATTATAGTTGTATGTGTTACTAGATTACTGGAAATAATTACTATGTTTATTCACTATAATTGGTTTTACCATATTGGCATTATGAATGTACACATCGTAATGGGAATTTGTTAACTTCTTTTTGAGGGTTATTAATCTATTAAAGTTTTTTCGAGTTGAAAAAAGGTTCAAACTAGTCATGAAATGGATACTGGATAGCCGGATATACGACCGCCCAATAATCGGCGACATAGACAATATTCGACTGAACATTGTCGATTTCTAGTTTTAAATGCCGGCGGTAATGCCATAAGTTGTAAAAATATATGTAATTATTGACAACAAAAAATTTTTCATTTAGATTTACCATTTGTACATATGCTTTCAGAGTAAGGTTTTTTTCTATAAAACGTTGACTTACATTCCATCGCTCAAATGGTTAATGCTCTCGTTATTTGTGAGAACATAACAAATGCTTATTTCGTATCGATCTAAGTCGAGGCGTCTTAAAGATGTGGTTTCAAAGAAGGTGTCATATATTTGAAAGCCGTTTCTTTCGTCCCACGTTCCATAGTGTTCAGTTTTCCAAGAGCTATTTGTACCTGTTTTGTAAACTGTAAACATAAAAACTTGTCGTAAAAATGACTATATTTTCTGCGATATTCAGGATATATGTTCAATAAGACTATACATGTAAGAGACTATTTCTATTGAGCAAAGAGGAAAACCGAAGCAAATTTTACAATTTAGTTCAGGAAACTAATATCCTATTGCAATAATAGTTTTTTGTTATGAAAGTCACAATATTTGGTTTCATTTTTGATCCGTTTGATGATTCATCCGAAAGGTAAGGTAAGGTCCAAATAAAAGTTTACTTACTGTAATTCAAATAATGAGTGTCATTATTTTTCGATATGATAATAACCTGTGAATCAGGTAAAATATCAACACTTGCAACTAAATTAGGCACCATATCGTACACATTTTCGTCCACATCTCCGATAAGAAGCCAACGAAATGGCGCTCGGAAATAGCTCCTTGCGGCATTCTACAATTAATTATTCTGTTATAAATTTTCTGACAGGAAATAAGATATTTTTAAAATAAGTTTTCTTCTTTTATGCTCTTTAAGTATAGCCGTAAGGCACGAAGTGCCTTACCGCACGTTACACGCTCTGAGTATGATTTGAGCAAGACCGAAAGATGCATAACAAGACTTTTTTGCCGACACTGTAGTTGGCGCGTCGACGTTCTGACCGGGGGTCCATAGACCGTAGTCCTCACGCCGTTTTTTTTATTGGTATGACACTTCAAACTCATTTGTTGCTTGTACTATAATTCATTTGGTTCTTCAATATAAAACGTTAAGATAAGGTAAATGGAGAAATTTGTTAAACCTGTTAAGGTTATTTTTTTTGTACTAAAGTGTAGCATGTAATCAGTTGTGGTTAAATATTATATAGCTATTTCATAATAATTAATTAAAATGTACATGAAACTAAAATTATCTACAAATTTCATTCAGTAAAAAGCAGTGCTTTTACCTCCTCAAAATAATCGACGATGTCAGGACAATTAAGATCGGCTAGAAATATTAAATCTTCTTCTATATAATACAATTGCTTGTCAGTTACATTTGTTGCACCTGCTGTATTAGTCTGTATATTTCTATCCGAAATAATCTTGTTAAATTCAACTGTTTGACCTGTAATTTTTAATATTAACATAAATTAGTCTAAAGAGTCCTATACTGGTTTACAAGTTTTAATTTTTGATAGTAGGTACTTAGATTATTTAAGATAAGTTTTAAATTTGATTTTAATATATAGCGCCTTTTTGAAATATCATAGCAGTCTGTTGCCTTAACAAAAAAAAATGTATTTCGTCTAATATCAAGGGTCGCGTTACAACAAAGGCCACTACAGTTTCCAAGAGCTAAGTCTACGAACCAAGCAACTTTGCTTAGCAGAAGAGTTTGTAGAATACGGCAGGTTCCATTTCAAGGCTAGGCAAGTCTAATGACTGATTCTACAAATAAAATTAATATAATTCAACAGTATTAGTTATTTATTACTCGCATATACCTATTATTTCGGCGAAAGGAGTACAAGGTGGACCATTACCCAATGATTAAAAAAGAAGTGTTTAAATTGGAAATCAAAGGACTCGAACAAAAGGAACTCGCACTTTCTTGCGTGTACCTATGTTACTATAAATACGCGTATTACATTGTATTGGCATATGTACCTACTGGCATATCTTAACTTATACCAAGTTATATTTAATTAGATATTCTACTTTGGTTAAATAAACTCGAACGTGGGAATCATTTATTATTATTATCGGTCGTAAAAAGGCTGGTGCAAAAATAAAGTAAATACATGAACCAGTATAACGACTTTATAAAACGCCATTAATTGTAATGGTAGGTTTAAAATTCTCGGCCTTACAATGAAAGACTACGGTTTTCAGTATATAAATTTATTTATTACATAAAAAAATAATGGAAGCCACAAAATACACAAACCAAAACCATAAATTGTAATGTTAAGCTCTAATTTACATTAGAATAATAAAACTTCTGTTAGTTCTTATCATATAATTATTGAAACTATATTCATGAATACATACAATTCAAGTCAAATCACATAACCCGCCCCGCATCGCTCCCGGTGAAAAGGTGCCCATGACACTGGCAGCATTGCCTCGCTGAATTGCAATGAACATCCTTTGCACGAGGAACTAGCCGGAGCGGGAGTCACCACCTCTATCCCTAACTCGGCGACCAATATCCGCAATCAAACTTTTAACTTCCGACCCCCAACTGCCCAAAATCTCCGCCGCAATGGGCACAAAATAATAATGCGTCTTCATTGCGTCGTACTTTAATCGCATCTTACTAGCGGCATCCTCCGCCGCTGCCGCAGGCCGCGACTGTGCTAACGCATGTAGAGTCCCATACTAAGCACTTGCCGTTTTTCCACGGTACCAAAGTCAAGACGTCCGGCCGCTTCCCGCCAGATGGCGGCTCCAGCACGCAGGGGACATTAGCGGATATAAGAGCCCTTCGGACTATGTCATTTAGGGCATGGTGTGAAATTTACCTGTGCATTGCGGACAACTCAGTGCGTGAAGACCATCGGCCCCTACCATGGTGCCGCAGGTGGATCTATGTGGTTCACAGACCCTGCAGCCCAGATGGAGAGCCACTGTCGTACGCAAAGGGTCATCCTCTAGCAAGGGGCCAAGGTGAGGTGACGGACATGTAACCATACCCCTAATTCTGACTGCGATACGGCCCTCAGTCTCGCCAGATCAGTACATCTAGCAGTGTCCAACATTTGCTTAAGTAATCCCTTAGTTTTAACGTCATCACATACTCGCTGGGCATGTAGGGTTACTGGAAAATGTTTTCCCAAGCCCCCCCCCCCACTTTTTATAGGACGCGGAATGCTTCCTACAAATAATTTATTCAAGTTTGAGAGCAGAGCGAAGTCTAAGACTGCGAGATAAGGAGAAATGAGGTATGGTCGTGGCTTTGCATACACAACAACACCCAATTTGCACAGAAATTTCGCATAGGTACCTCATGTTTTGTGTTTATTCACTCTCATAACGCTACGTCTATCGTCTTACACAATATCATGCATCTTTCCGATGGTATCCGACGTAGATGCGCTTTCATTTCTTTGAGTCGATCACGTCTAAATTCAAATGACCATTTTTTAAAGGTTAATGTTAAATCAAAATAACTACGTTTTTTATTCCATTAATAATATTAATAAAAAGAAGTTGAAAATTGTCCTAAAAACTACATAGTACAGTACTACAGTAGGTATAAATTTTTACTGGAATGCCATCTCTATGTCAGACCTAGATTAGCTTACCCGTATTACAATAGATTAGATAATAATCTACAAAGCCGAATAGTTCATCTATTTAAATGCGTACCCAATTATTATCAAATCGAAAAATAATGAGTTAACTACTTACAAGGGGCCCAGCAAATTTTCGCTATTACAGTTGAAGGTTTGTGAAAATATTCAATAACATCAGCTATCATGGTGGGCCGAGTTGACTGCGCATTACTCAGGTAAAAGAAAATTTCGATCAAAAATATGCTTCTCATGCTCACGTTCGAAAAAGTACACATGTATTATGAGCATTACCAGTATGTTGGGGTGGGTGGGTACAAAGTATCAAAAATGTATCGATAGAAAATTGCTTTTTGTAGACATTGCAATTTTCTTCAATAGCCTTCGTAAATCACAAAATTGCATTAGTTTATTCGCATCAGCCATTATATAAAATTTCCCCGGTCGAAGAAATGTTTATCGATTTTGTAGAATTAATTTACCATTTCTTCATAATGCTATTGAACGTTATGATATTTTAGCTATTTATAGTTAATTTTTTTAGCCAATTTACATTTATTTTTAGAGTTCGGATTCGTTAAAAGTGTTAATTTTTCTCTCTATCTTTTAAGATCCTATTGAACTTTTTAAAATGGTACCTTCTATGGAAACAGAATAAAGAACTTTGGCAATAAGCAAGGTCTAACAACGCAATTAAAGGAAAAATCTGAAATACGTTAGTTAGTCCTTATAAATAGGTAATAAAAAATGAATATCCTTTTTTACTAAACTTACAGTAGCTAACATATACATATTTTCATATTTCTTTATAAAAAACTTTGTTTGCTGAAATCCTAATGGCAACATTGCATATAATAAAATATACTACCTACCTACTTTTTTACTTAATAGTCGGAATAAAATGACTAGTTTTAAAACTAGTCAGATGGTTCAAGTTCATCCATAGAATATAATAAATATGTAGTGGACTATAAAGAATAACGGCTGACGGTGGATTTACTCGTATAATATTCTGTATTTGTTAAAGATAACGTAAGACAGCTAATCGTACATATCTCATTATTGTATCTGTGTCAAGTTTATCCGCACTATTTGTTTACCAGCGATATAAAATAAGTATTTTTCCGTAACAATAACAGTAAACACAAGTTGGCAACTTCGACGTTTGGGTTATTCTCATCTCATTATAACGGCGTTAAAAGACGAAGGATATTTTTCTTTACTAACTTTGCCCACGGTTCTGTCTGCATTTTAAGTAAAATATACTGTAGTTTTATAAAAGAAAAAAAGAAAAGAAAAAGGAAGCTGTCCAAAGTAGTTAGCTTTATTAACAATGTAAAAAAGCTAAATGAAATTATCTCTAGCTATTTTACGTGGTAAGGTAACAAATACACCAGGAGTCATGCTAAATTAGGTATTTGACTTAGATTAATATTTTGGATATGCTTAAGAATTATTATTTTTGCATGAAGATCAAGCAAGTTAACAAAGTATGAACTTAATTGCAGTAAGACATCTTTGGTGTACAGACAGTTAATTTACAGTCACATATATATATTAAATACTTATTAGAACATTAATAACTGAAAATAAGGTAATCAGGATAACAAACGCTCAAGGAAATATCAGGTATGTTTTATAGGAAGTAGGAAAATTTACAAGGAAATTTATTTTTATGTACTGATGTTACTTAAGTTTTGAATATTTACATCCTTATAAGTCTACTCAGAAATATTAATGATAGGCTTTGTTAACGGCATATAATACGAATGTATTAATAGACAACACAAAATTGAGGGATTTTATGTATACGTATGCTTATGATGAGGTCAGATAATAGAATTGACCACAACGTGTTGTGTGTCGTTTCATGAAATGTTCTAATTTCATTGTGTATAACTAAAATAGACGACAACGGTTAATAATATGTCAATTCACGTTTTGCCATTAATCATTAGAATATATTCTTTTACATTATATAATGTACCAGAATATATATTCACTAGTTGAATACTAAATACCTATTAGCTATTCGTAATCTAAACAATATAAAGAATAGAATTATGTCGCCAAGTCAATTAGCAAACAATTTATTTGTATCGTGAGAATCGCCCGTTGCGTTCATTAGGTACTTCTCCCTTTATCAATAAACATATAGTAATTTAAATTATTGTGTTATATAATGTCATCGTACTTAGCCAGTGCTGGACGCGGTTTATTCCACTGGACCCTTAGAAGTAAATTTCTATGCAGGTCTTATCAATCGACGAACAAACAGTTGAAGTTTTCCAGTGTTTTCCAGTTTTTAAGTATGTTAAACTTAAATTTGGTTCCTAAAGTATTATTGAGAAGATGTTCGTTGCATTCAGTGTCTTTGGGTAAGCAGAGCGTATCTGCATCCGAATGGACACCTTTGTTGAGAAACACTTCGGATGTGCCGCTTTCTACTAGAGGTAGGTATTTGCTTTGTGTGTATTCTTGTGTTTACTTTAAAACATTCCTACAATTGTTTTACCACCGTAACAATAACTATGTAACTGTATACTTTTTCTTAGCAATATAATTTTTTTACTTTTGGATCGCGTTTAGATCTGGTTGAACGTTTAACATTTTGAACAAGGAAGTTTGACATTTTGAATTTGGCATATATGATAAAAAAAACCAATTAAAATTGAACTAACATTAACAGAAAAGTATAACCTTTACTAGATTATATTTTTTTCTATAATTGAAAAATATTTCGAACTATTAGGTACACTAAAAAACTGCAGTAGGCTTAAAGACTTTCGATTGAATAAAATATCCATTAATTGTTTACCACTTAAAAGTTTTCCTTATTAATGGAAACTTTCCGATAAACAATGTGATTAAGTAATTGTTCTGTATTAGGTTTCAAAAGCATAAATTGTTTTTTAATTACATGTGTCTTATTGGTATGTAAATACAGGCAAAAACTAAATTAGTACAATTTTTGTCAGTCCTAGAATACAATAGCAAGACTGAAAAGAACCTGCTTCGACACTTAAAGTTGCTGTTAAAACTAACCCGTCCTAATGCTTCTTGTGGTGAGAGCTTTGACTACCTTTGCATAATTGAGGATATTGGAGAAAAGCTCATACTTAGACTATAAAAGAGAATTATTGCAATAATTTTCTAAACTAGTCAAATTTTAAACTGTCTCCTGAGATCAGCAGAGACAAAAAAAATCCTTCCTAAGGGTAATAGTTACCAGAGAGCCCCGGCAGACTTGAACAGGCTCTTAAAAAGGAACTAGCCACACCAGAGGCGGATTAAGTATGAAGAGCGCCCTAGGCAAGCATTTCATCGGCGCCGCTCTAGCGCCCATAAGTGTAATAGTGATGACTCCAAACTTTAGTTGTCATTTCTTTAGTAGAACTTTTATTTTTTTACGTGTGGCTTACGCGCTGTCACCCCCCTTTGCGGTGGGCTGAGTGTCGGAATCGAACTGACTAAAACCATACTCTGCGCCTGAAATAGGAGACATCCGATCACAGCTTTTATTAAGACATGCGGACCTGTTTTTGGCGACAGATGAACACACCTGCCTCCTCCTGCCTGCACTTATGCAGGATTGAAGTCATTCAGCGACCTCCACCGCCTGAGCCGCCTGCAGTACTTGGTCCGTTGGAGAGTTCTAAGCCTCTTAAGATCCCGCTTCACCCTCTAGCGTATGGAGCGCCGTGTCCATGCTCTGGCCGTTGCAATGGTTTTACCCAGGTATTGGTTCTTTGCAGATCAGACACAGGTGATCTCCTGCGTCAGCCGGTATGAGATGGTCTCACGTTTCCTCTAGAGCCAATCACACAATCCCGACCCAGTACGCCCTAGACACTTACCCAGGTGCCTCTTGCTACGAGACTGCGTCAGTCGGAAGGAAAGAGTCTCATGCCCACTAGACGATTACCGGCTGGATCGCCTCCACGGCGCCAAAGCCAGTGCGTGAAGTCTCCAGCAGGGACGACCAACAAGTCGTTGTGGCTCGTGAAGAGCCTTTAGCTCAAAGTATCTAGATAGATGAGCAAGGCTTTAAGTGGTCACTTGCAATACTCTCACCGCGTTCCATTTTGTGGATCCTACTATAAAACGGGATAATTATTTCATTGATTTTTACTCGACTGCGCCAGGAGAGTTTTGTTTTTTGAATGTATTTAAGTATATATATTTATGTTTCTTTTAGTTTGGGAAGTAATGAGAGCGACGGCGAATGACGTTATGAGAGCGTCACTGGATATTTAAAATTAAAAACAAAAATTGGCGGTTTATAAGGTTTTTACCTATATATGTACATTCTCACGCTGCCGGTTTTTCCATTAATTAGTTTGTTTGATAAATTATTCTGAGTCTTGATATCCTCTATGGCAAATGTAAGCACAGCTAGTACGAATCCATTAAAAATTAATGTTTTTAGACTACTAAAAACTAAAATGTCATAAAGAGGAAATGAAAACTTTTGCTTCAAGTTTTACCATTTATCCATTATTATATTCGTTTTCGTAATAGAGAGTATTTAAACGAATCTGCATCAAAAGCTCAATCTAATTAGGCGTGAGTAGTGTGGTGTATACCGCTTGACGTGTATAGACTTAAAGTCCGGTGGGTGGAAGTAGGCCACGCGAAAATTTCCACTGATTTAAGTGGTATTCATCTTAAGATGAAATACAAATAAGGAATAAAAAACGTATCTTGTTTATTGTGAGTGCGTGTGAGCGTTCCGCCGCGTTTTGAGTCCCCCTGGACTTTCCCGCTCTCACCCTGGCGGGTCATCAAAAGATGGGCAACTGATGATGACTATCGCTGCCTCCGATGAAATGGAGCGGTATCTTCGCGAATGGCCTGTATCCGCTGAGCTCACCTCGGCATCGGGAGGAGGCTGATAGGCGCTTGGCTCATATCGACGCTCTGTAGAGGGCCATAGATCGTATCACCGCATAGTGGAGGCGCCCTCTCGCGATTCCCCCAGATTAGGCAACAGTATCTGTAGGAAGCCCGCCAACCCGCGAACTCCGGGGATCATCCGGGCGAAATGCCCCTCGAAGCTCCAGCGGCTGTCTAGGGTGAGGCCGAGTTATTTAATGTTCCAGCCAACCTCGACCTCTGTTCCCCCCCACTCTAATAACCGAACGGGTGGTAACTACACATCTGCGTTTCCCGTGGAACCACAAGGCTTCCGTCTTATGAGGTAAAACCCTTAGGCTCAGAACGCTGATCTTTTGGACGACACAAACCATCCCTG